GCAATGGTCTATAAATAGTTTTACTAGGTTACAATAGTTGTTTTAAATATGAATTTTAACTGTAAGTGAGTAAACAAGATAATAACCACCTCTTCATTAACCAAATGTCGGCATACATCGTAAAGTTGTATTAGTTTGATTAAGTATGAGAAATCTATTAAGGGCCTCCACTAATACAATTCCGTGTCGAGACCAAATTGGCAACTCCACCGAATCAGCTGTTGCGTCTGGCAATGTTTATGTTTACAGTGTACTGTTACCATGGCAATAAGCCGGCCGGTGCGACGTTGCCACACACCAACGCCGCGGCCTTGTAATGGAGGAGGCTGTGGTACGTGTAATCTATGCAATACTATCAACAAGCTACGCACACCTATACGAGTTTGTATTTTAACCTAAATGAATGCAGGGGTAAAATTAATGGAGTCAGATTATTCGTGTAGGTTTGCTACTTCGATCAGCTGTTTCTTTGCAGGACCATTTATTAAAAGCCTCTTATCAAGGACAGCTGGTCCATAAATTTAGCATACTCCTTAACAGATTGATCATCGTTATGGAACAAACAAATTATGACAATTTTAATAATCGTTTTGTTCGGTTCTGTAGACATGGGATTTACATGTTATAATAACGTAAACAGGTCCTCTATGTCATTCATGTCTCTTACTGTTTCTTCACTTAGCTGAAGGCCTGAATCGGCCTTAATACTAATAAAATGGACACTTGTATTAGAGCCTGTGTCCATACCTTTACGATAGTTTTGTTATTTCCCTACTTGTTTCTGATTATTCAACCAACTTCGAAGACTATATTGTTTGTTCTCATGTAGAAAACTATAGCCTACAATATCCAACAACAGCGTACTCCATAAACGTAACCATCGAAAAACATATGAAAAAGGTTTAAGATTTTACAATAGGACGAGAAGTCTTGCACGATGTAAAGTCAAAGTTACTAAATGCAGCAATTGGCAACTTTTCGTGCTATAATCGGTACAAGAAAGCACACTATGTCTGGTAACTGTAGGAAAATTATAATGTTCAAACATTTGTACAAACCATTGATTCAGAATGCTTGTAACTCCTAAACATCCCTGAAGAGGAATGCACATCCTTATGTGCAGGATTAAAAGCTGGTAAGTAGCAACTGGTTTGGGATCGAAATTTTTCTTTTACAAACCGATTCTCCCGACTCGGCGTCCTTCATAACAGGATATGAAAAGTCTGGACCCATCTTCGAGACAGCAATTTCACAATGCAAACTGATAAAATATAGCCACATCTGTGGTAATACTTAAGAATAGCTTACGGTAAGCGAACCCGCGCGCGATTAGATGACGTCATCGGAGTACATTGAAATACGGCGTTGTACACGTCACTTGTGCGTCGTTGAACGTAAGATAAGAATCAGCTGATGAGCACCAATCTACGGTGGATTTACTTCCCTTGCCACATCGGTGCGTTGCATTACTCCGAAAAGCACTGTTCCGAAAATATTGCGTGGCTAAGTCACTGCTCAGAATAAATATATACACATCTAGGCACTGTCCCGAAAAGTGTATTTTGGAGCAACGCCTAGATCAGATCTCCATTATTTTCACTATATGTGACATGGGTTGCGCTACTAACCTAGACAATTGTAACCTTGCAAAGTGAGTGAAATATTTTGTCAGTGGTCGATGAGGTGAAAGCGCCCGTTTAAAACAAAACTATACCCGCCATACATGGAGTCATCCAAATTGCCTATATGAAATTCCAAGGAGCCGCCAACGACTGCGCTGTTTCTTCTTCAATAATTAATATCCCTATTGGTTTTTAAAGGTTGAGTGTATTTTACCAATTACAGGCTATATTTCTACCTTACAATTCAACTGTTGAATTTTACGGTAGAAATTATAACCGAGAAATTATGACCAATGTGATATAAAAATATTATATTGGTTTCTAAATAAAGGTTTAACATATATAATCGTTAAGGTTCTAGAAGTTAAAAATAGTTTAGAAAGCCATAAAACAGTTTTAAAGCTTTAACCCCCGACTTCCTCCTTTTGTCCACACACCCCGGTAGCCCCCTGCCCTTCACAAGGTGCTAGAACCGCCACTGGATTTTTGCATTCAAATTTAAGAGTTTCAATTTGAAATTATTTGCTTCTTCTTCTAAAGCCAAAGGTAATTAAATCTGATATATTTTACTCAAACAGTTAGACCCACAACTTCTCTCGGACAGTTTAGTCTTCTTATCAAAGGCCTCGCGCGGGTTTAAGGAGTTTTCCATGTTGTGTTTTTGTTGTACGGATTGTAAGGTTATGTAAGGTGAGTGCAAGACATCGGCAACCTCGGCCCGGTTAGATCAACCAATCGCCGACCATCTTCAATGTCGAGTTCCGGTCCAAGGTTCCTGCTTGACCTTCCGGTCGGCCTCCGGATGTTTCCTCCTTTGATAGGGCGGACACAGAGTAATGGCTGGCGGGACGAGAATGTCATCTTCGCAGTATTGTACTCGGTGTAAAAAGGATGACGTTGATGGCTAACCTTAGAATGAAATTTAGGCCATTCTGATTCTCTGTGGATGCGATGCTCCCTGGTGTGGATTAACGTCCGCATTAGTGAGTACTACGACTATCCGCAGTACTATCCTGATAATTAGACCAATTCGTAAATTACAAGGAAAAAATGTGGTTAGGATTCCACTATAAACTATAGGTCCCTTAATTGCCATTAGCTGTATGGGCTATTAATTAACAGCTGTGTCCTAAGGAACATGTCGGCCTTAGTCACTAACAAGACTACAAGATCGCGCCACTCATCCTACACTCGCATTTTGGGGTTAAAATACGCACATAGTGGCGTCCCCATCTTAAATAATTGATAATAATTGATGACACAGTTCAGGATGATTAGGTTTATGTATCGCATGTAGATGGGAAGCTGAGTTACAGCATAGTGATAACCGGTCGCCGGTTCAAGTCAGGAGTTTTTTTCTCTGTGGATGATTCGAAACTGTATTTATCATACGGTCTTGGCTAAATAAACAGCTGATCCTCTTAGTCGGTACCAAATCAGCATCTAGTATACACAGTAACTACATTCCACACTCACACCCCCTTGAATTCATATTGTTTGTGCTAACCTTTTTAGTTATTCTCAATTCGGTTTTCGTTAAGACAAATCCACATAAGGTTGAAAGTTTGGTGGATAATCTTCTTGAGACTTTGGAACAGGATACCTTGTGACCTGAACGTTTTAGACCGTGTCGGCCCCTCTATGTTGGACGTTGTCTGTTTTATTTGTTGATTTTTCAAATAAAAAAATGAGACCCTATATACGTTAACCAAATCTAAATACTACGCAAATAACAAACTCACAATACATTTAAAGCAAAATTACTTCCACAAATTTGTTAAATAAACCATTTTGTACATAAAGATTTTCTGGGGGAGGACATCTCAATACCCCTTTTTACTGGAGGTTGTTCCTTTTTACCTCCAATCCCCCTTGTGGAACAGTTAAATGGTTGCCCCGCATCTTGTTAAGCAAATTAAAATCTTATTGTTTACATGGTAAGGAGTTGGCTATTTTTCATATCATATCAGAAGGGACTTGAACAAGCGGTAGATGAAAGAGGTAGTCTGTAAGGTAGGACTGTACATTAATGTCACTTAAGGAGTCTCAATGAGGGGTTAATTCTGAGTCCATTGCTTTTTAGCGAATTTCATATAGGGAATAGGCTACAGTATTAACATAGGTGGTATGGCAAGACCTGGACCCGGGACATATTTCGTTGCCCATTAACGCAATAACTTGAGCAAAAATGATCCGATTTTGATAAAGTTTTGTACTAACGTGTAATCCTACATTTATTTGAACAAACTCGTTAAAACTCGCATGATCAACAGCATGATGGGTACAGGGGTTTACGGGGTTCAAATGTGATTTTACCATTTTTGGCCCTAAAAACATTGAAATTTGCAATTTTTTTCAGAACCATTTTGAAGAGCTTAATAAATTAGTACCTATGTCTATGTCAAATTGTTGTTATGTGCTTAATGGCTAAGGAAAAAAATGTAAATTTTGCACTCATTTGTAAGGAAAATAAGTTAACTGTTGTATTTGCTTGTTAACGAACATATTTTTTTTTAATTTGGGAAATTTGTTTCATATTGAACTATTAACATGTCACTGAAAAGATACCTTATCTGCAGGAAACATGTACTCTACTAGTTTAACTAATGTTATTTAAATAAATACCCATTGGTAAAATCATATGAAATTTCAGTCCGGAAGTTGAAGAATTAGTGACGTTTTAGTCAGTGAGACTTTCGCATGTTTTAGATGTATATAATTGGATGTCCTTACATATTGCATACATACTCTAAATCATGTGGTTGATTACTTAAATAGCCAGTAGCTTGAATCTTCAGTTTAAAACTTATAACCTTAAAATAATTCCACCTTCAGTTGATCATGCATCTGAATAATTTCTTGATACTCACCTTCAGAAATCAATAAAATTAAACTTCAAACAAACCAAACAAAATTTTAATACAAAAAACAGCAAACTGGACACATAAGTTAAAATCCCCATTATTCTTCCAACAATTTCAAAAATAAACATATTGCCTATGGACTGGCTTTTCTATATTATGTGGATCATGATTGGACAAAAAGTGTTCTTTCCATAATACTTACAAAAATTATATATATTGATAAGTTATAAAAGTAGGGTTTATGAATATGGTAGCTGAATATACAGAAATAATTTTATCTTTGACTTACAATTCAAGGAAATTATAACACACAATGATTTCATAATCCACTAACAAAGTAATACAATTATTTGTACAAAAGATTTACAGGTTTATATAGTATCCCAATTAGTTTTTAAGCCACTTATTGGACAGTTTGCACCAAAAGAGGAGGAAAATCAGAAACAGCACTTGTTAAACTATAACAATTCCATTCATGATGTAGGGTAAATAACAACACAAGGAACACTGAGACTTTAGCAAATATCTTTTTTGTATTAAATGAAATTTCACTGTCGAGTTATGATTAGTAAATATAAATACACAATATAACTTGACCGACCGTAAACTATCCACATTCTTACTTATCTACAAACATTTCTGAGGCTGTACATGGAGATGTGGGCCCAGCGACGCTTGTAACACAACTTCACAAGCGCACAACACTTCACAATTAATTATCTATCAATTAAAATCAGTCTTATTTTTTTATTGACTGTTAAGCGAGACTAAAATAAAAAAAAGGGCTTGTGAAACTGTATTTACACGGGTCTTCGGCTATTTCCGCGGATACCCGAATACTTTTTGATAATATTAAGGAGAGCGATATTCGATATCTCTCATGCAGACTACAAAAATGCATTAGAAAATACGGCAAAAATAATACGATTTGGATCGATTACGACCGAATCGGTAATATTTACGAAAAACAAAAATCTAAACTACACATATAATACATATTCCATCGTATGAGTCCGATCGGCCCGTGACGGGCCTTGACAAAAACATTCAAGAGGCGACATTGAGAGTGCAAAGCCCGTAGAACAACAAAGAAGGAGAGAAGGTTTAGGAGCTGGTGGCCCAGAAGGAAGGGCTGTAGTTCTGCTGCTTGCTGCCAGCTTTGTTGGGCTGAGAGGTGGACTGAGTGCGAGGACCTGAGTTGGTGGCTCCGTCCTGAAACAACAAACATTCCGTTCACATTTGTACTCTTTTATATCTGTTTTTAAGATAATTTTACTGTTATAAATATTGGCAAAAAACTGTATGACAAAGAACAGAGAAGTAAGAAACAGAGGAAACACAATTATGACAATTGCGCTTTCAGCTCTGGTATGTTGCGCTGGAAGTACAGGTACTTGTGACAAGCAGGGAAGAACCCGAGAGGTGAGCACTGTGTGGAAATTCCTATAGTACGGGTCTTCCTCCACAACGAGCGTTGTAGTACATGAAGGGGAGGAAGGCAGTGTTGGTTTTTGCCCTAGACACCACCTTAATGGCATTTATTACTAACTTAATGGTGTGTATTATTATTGTATTACTTAATGGAAGTGAGTCTATTCCTTACTTCTCTATGGATAAAGTAACCACCTCTTCTTTTGCATATAGCACAGAAAAAACAATAACTTCTAACTAAATGTGACCTTGCTATGTTATAAAACCACTTTTCAATATTCACTTTTGTTTGTTACAAGAGCTTTCTGAAAATTGAGTTTGCAACCAAAACAACTCACTTCCTATATATAGGTTCACTACCTGATGATAGAGCGTTACTCATACTGAGCAGGAGTGAAAATTGGTTTTCTCATTGTTTGGGACCCCGTCTCACTTGGGACCATTTGTCTCATTTTACCATAATAATAGTCAATGAAGTTAAGAACATAGCCGCTACGGGAGCTTGTAAGAGACCCTCATTTTGATAGAGCTCTCGTAAAATAACAACAGTGTCAGTAGATTTTCATTAATAATATAAATAACAAAACTTGAGTTTTCCATCATCCTATTGTTGTTGCCCCAAACTGTATAGTTCATATTAAGTTCTCCAATGAGAGTAACAAATAACATGGGTAATTCCAACATTGAGGGTATGTTAACATAGCAAAGCTTATCCAAATTTTAAATTAGTCAACTTTAACTATTGACATTGTAAAACCTTTATGAGATTACATTACAAGCTATTAAGAAAATCTTTTTCAACATTTGAAATTTGGCAACTTTGACTTTTTCTCCTTTTAAAAGATCTAGCGTCATTTCAGTCTAAATCCCTTAACACCCAACCAATTTATTAAGAGTAAGATTTTACAAAATAATATTTTTGAAAAGTCAAAAATATTTACAAACCAGTCTTTTTGAATATTTGGAAATTTTGTTATTAGGAATTACTTGTTTGCCTTTTTCATTCAGTTGTATTTCTCTGTCGTACCATGGTATCTAGTTTATTTGCATTTTAAAATTCAAGACTAATTCTAGATTTTTCAACAATTAGTGATGTGTCGAAGAAATTTTTATAGTTCAACAAAATTTTCTAAATAATTTGGTTACACTACACCAAACCCTGTCTTATGTTATAAACTATTATTAATTTAATTGGGGGTTTTTAAAGTAAAGAAAAAAATGCAGCAATGAAAAATTGTAACTAGCAAATTTTTTATCATGAAAATCTTCCATGGCCACACATCATCATTGGTCACGGAAACGCCATCGTCGTCGTCCGCAGTCACAGGAACTTGATCAACGTCTTACACAATCACCGCAAAATTATAAACATTTCCCGTGGCCATATAGGCATCATTGACTCCTGCAGTACGGTAACGGAAACGTCATCATCGTCGTCAGCATCGTGGCAAAATCGTAAGCATCTGCGGCCGTGTAGACATCAACATTGACTGCCACGGTCACGGAAACGTCTTCGTCGTCTAGCAGGGTGTGTTGTAGCCTTGTGGTTAGTCTCTGACTTTAGTCGATCCCTGCCATATCCATTAAATTTAAAAAGTTTGGGATTATCCAATTACTCTAAAAGCATTTATGATTATTTATTACCCCTGACATAGACACAAACAAATAAGTTGTAGACAGCTTTCATTACCAAAAGTAACTCATACCATCATGATTCTAAATATGTATCCTGTAATGAACTATATTACTACACGATGACCAACTACATTGCAAGATTTAATTATCTCCTATTGGTAATCAAACAATGGATGAACCCATGGCTCAGTAGACAAATAATATATTGCTTTCTAAGAATCACAGTATACATTTTTTATACATAGTTGAACTACAAATTGATTATAAAACGTATGTTAGCTATTTACACACAAGTCAACTAGTTACTGTACATGTAACTAAAATAACTGGTTAGCTGTATTCGTGGACACCCTGGAATCTTGAACCTACAGACTAATAATCCAATATAGTTTTCTTCTCTTTTACTTAACTCTAACTTCACAACTATCAATATAAAGACTATACTATTTGACCCAAAAACATACATGTTAAGTGCAGATTGTTAATATCAGAATATTATGAACATACACATGTTAAACACCCAACATAATGTAAAACACCCATCTTTAGATATTTACAGATTTTAGTTTACAAAATGCGAGGAACAACGAGACAGCAGAGTTTTCAAGGGTATGTTTGATTTAATTATAAAAATTAATGCATTCAAGTAAAAAAACTCATTGTATTGACATTGACTATGTTATTAAAATTCCTATTAGGCCCTAAAAGAAAATAAAATGGTTCTTTTGAATACAGTACAAAATATGTCAGTAGTTTCACATTTCAAATTCTGAATATGTTTATTTGTAAAACGATAAAGGGTTTTCTAAGAGTGAAACACTGATGCAGCCAATAACAAAACAATGACATTTAACAATCATAATGAGAATGAAGGTAACTTTCTTCAATGAACTTTTTGATGAATATTTACAAAACCACACAACTATTGTCTGTTAGATTTGATGATTTTTGACATGCCATGGTTCAAATACTTGATACGGAGATTTTTTGACTACTTCTGATTCAAGATGGTAACTGACATTCATGGGAAGAACAAAAATTGTTACTGGTAGTGAAAATTAAGCATAAAAAAGCAGTCAGCATTAAGACAAATGGGAGGTTGACAGGTAAGGTAAGCAAACAAATGGCAGACATACATTTCCACTAATCTCAAACGCCAGTCGGCAACAATGAGAGATGTTGGAAAATAAACAGCAGAAACGGTAGAAAACATTTATTAGGAAATTTTAGAGATCTCGACACGGACAACAATTAGTGGAAATGTTGAGTTTGTCAAACATTTAACATTACGGGGCTGTACTGACCATTCTCCTCCCATGATTCCTCATCTCAATCTGCAAACAAGACAATAGCTACAGTATCACCCAGACACACTGTACTAGAATCATCATTTACTCAGGGTGTCCACGCAATTTATCTATTTTTGTTTTTATCAGTCATTTTTAATCGTATAAGGCTAGTGTTCAGTACAATAAAAAGAATTGAAAGCCTAATGGTTGCCTAATAAATTGTAATTAATCTAAAAATACAAATAAGAATACAGTTCACTTGCCAAAGCCTACAATTCAAAATAGTACAATAAAAAAAATACCGGATTTCATTCAGATTTCAAAATAAATAACTCAACACTAGTAAGGATTAAATATTATAGATGGTGACTCAGACGGTACCTATTTTATCGAGGAAATATTCTTATCATAAAAAATTGCAATTGTTTTTTTACACGATAGTACCTAACTGTAATTGACAACAACTGCTTTATATAATAGCGAGCCACTGATTAGCACTAGCTTAAGAATGTTTCTTTGAAAAGGGATAGAACTTAGGTTGGTTATCTGAGAAAATTAGTGGCCGGCTTAGTGTTTAAATGTCAAGTTTGAAATGTTTTATTGTTCGTGTCTTGTCAGTGTGTGTGTGCTAACTAAAGATTTTGTACACAAACTCATTATTTGATGTTGGATTTGACAATGAGTCACTCAACACAAACTAGTAATCCACTAGTCAAACAAAGTAGACTGAAAACGAACAAAGGACGCTAACCTTTAATTTTATTTCAGAAATTAGTGTTAAGAGAAAAAAATTCAACAACTTGGAGTTCACGGAGTAAATTGATCAGTAGTAAATTGTATACTGATTTATATTGAATACCTCAACTTTCAAACGAAGCCTAACTGTAAGAATCACTTACTTTATCGAAGTAACAAAAAAGTAAGGGAATATCTCAGTTTGACAGAAAAACACTCTGCAATTGGCTCAACTATGTTCTATTTTAAAGAAATTTGGCTACAGCTGGTCCATGAAGGGGGAAAGTCTATTTGAGAGACTTCAGTATACAACAGACATACAGTTAGCCCCTGAGCAATTTTCTCAGGTAAGCTAGCTGAACTCAACCCTTCGTACAAGTTACCGCACAGTTTTCACCCTAGACTTACCTGGTGAAGGGGCTGATGCATGAGCGTTGCTCCGGAATGGTGTTGTTGGTGAGGAGGCATCGTAGGGATAAACAGGTGAGGCGCGTACGTCCCACTTGGGGCCAGTCCCGTCTGACTACCAGTCAGGTTGAAGGGGGGAGGTGTGCCCGAGTGGAAACCAGCCTTGTCATACGACTGTCAACAAGAGCAATAATACTATTACTAAAGTGTCACCTATTACTTTGGAAATATAATACAGAGAATATCCTATTATTTTTGTAACGTCTGAACTGTTATGAGCAAGTCAAATAATGCTTTAGTCATCATGAGATGAATGTCGGCATCGGATATGTTTCTTGTGGTAAAAAACATATCAATTGACCTTATCTTGCATGCGGTGAGAGATTCAATAATTTTAAAAAATTACTTTACACACAGCAAATAGTGCACGTCCGCTATAGAGCTACTAATGGTGACAATACCACCATAATATAAGAATGGTTATAATATGAATGGTGCGAATGCTACCTATTTCCTAATGACACCAGTAAACGGCAAGGAGCTTATTACTTAGTTGTTGCGTGACCCTCGTTCAACGTTTTCTAACACATAATCTTACTCCTTTCGCCATCTCCCCTCACTGCTCTACAGCGTGTTCATTTGGTCACAACAAAACTGCCGTATAAAATTGTAACAACTTAATCATGCACAACCATAAGAAAGAGTTCACTTGACCCCTTCATGTACTCACATTAACCTTGTTGAGCGTAGCGTGGCCTTTGGTATACAGGTCGGCGGAGGTGGTGGGGGTGCCGCCTGCCTTGGTCTGTGGCGTAGCCGAGTAGCCGCCGGCAGCCCCGACCTTGTAACCGTCCGCACCTGCCTCGTAGCCAGACCCGTAACCGGCTGCTGAGCCGTAACCTGGCCCCTTGTACTGACCTGACGTTGAGTTGGCTGCTGCCGCCGTTGGTGCCATCTTTAAACAAAATCACAATTTTTATCTAAAATAAATAACAGTTGTTTGTTAGGTTGGCTAGAAATGTTTTTAAAAACATTATACAAAAAGGTTTCTTGCACAAAAATGCACAGTTTAGGATTTGAACAGAAAGAATAGTTGTACGTATATTGAGTGACAGAAGCTGTTATATATAACACCTTTGACTATTGATGGTACTAGGCATTCCATTCCCGTGTTAAAGTTTTTGCCAGTTTTAGCTCAAAATGGATGTAGTTGACATGAGCCTGGTATAGTTTTTAATAAAGGTTTGTTGGAAAGTGATTTTAACCAGACTTGGGGGGCGGAAAAATTATTGGGCCTTGGGGCACCAAAATGCTAAATCCGGCCCTGATTATAGTAACAAATTAATCAACTCAACTACATCAAATAGAAGTGAGGTAGAAAGGAAAGATTCTATAGTAAATTTTAGTGGTGACCAGCACTAGTGTCTAGGGATGGCAACGATACATCGTTATTTTTTATACATCGATATTCTGGGCCCGATGTATTGATATCGACAAAATTCATTCCAATAGTATCAGAGTGGAGACATCAATCTTTTTGGTCCGATATATTGGATTCATAAAATATCAAAAATTGTAATTTTTTCATGTGTTCAAGTATACGCTTATTTTCAAGCGGTTTTATTTTTTATTTAAATTATCTATCTTTTATTTTCATCAACAAGCGTTTCAGTTGGCTGCCCTGCTCCCCTGATGAATGATTGCGTGCGAATTCTTCTCCCAAACTCTACCATTTGGTTCTTGAACACTCTACCAGATAATTAGTCTATTGGAAGTGAAACAAGTTTGACAGACTGCTTTTGATTACTTTGTGTTTATTGTGTTTTTTTTTTTTTTTTTTGTATGGGTCATTGATATATTGCTTCCGATATATCGACAAATTGAAAAATTTTGCCATTCCTACTAGTGTCTAGTGTCCCACACTGCCCTCCTCACCCTCATATACTACAACGCTTACGTGGAAGAAGATCCTGTGGGATAGGAATTTCCACACAGTGGCTACTTGGCCTCTTCCTTGCTCAGAGTATAATATACAAGTAAAATATACAAGTATATTTTTGGCACAACATACTGGAGCTAAAAGCACACAATCGTCCTAAACACTATTTTCCTCAGAACCTAACTTCTCTGTGTATATAATTTTGCCGATTTCCCCCTACATTTAATCATAGATAAAAAATACTCCCTTAGATTTCCCATACTTATGGAACAGCTGAAGCCAATGTTACTGTTAGTTCTGTCCGGTGTACTGTAGATGTCGTGTTTGGTTTACAATTCGTTTCTTGTTATTTCAGTAACTTAAAACCTCGTTTCACCAAATAAAACTATCCAATCATAACATAAACAATAACTCGTCCACTAGCTATATAACCAAACAGTGAGGCACAAATAATGAGAAAATAACCCTAAAATAATAGAAACAAATTGTAAACAAAACACAACATCTACACTACACCGGACAGAACTAACAATAAAATTGGCTTCAGCTTTTCCATAAAGATGGGAAATCTACTTACAGGGAGTATGTTTTATCCATGATTTAATCAAATGTAATAAATCAAAATTTAACAGTAAACCTGTTTACATTTGTACTTGGCCATCTTAGCATTAATTTCTCATTCCTTTTTGTGATGAAATGTTGTATATTGTTTTTAATACTCAGCTACCATTAACAAGTTTTAATCATGTTTTATTTACTTTTACCTATATTAACCGGAGGGAGGAAATTGGTTATGTACGACATAATCTTAACTAAACATTGGCAAACTAACAGGGTACAGCGCAGTGGGCGTTGTAAACTGGGCGTAGTTGGCGGGGAAGCCACCGTAGATGTAGGCATAGCCTGGAGGTAGACTGGGGTTGATCATCGGCTGCTGATGTCCCGTCGTCACGTTCTGACTGAGTGTGGACGGCACAGGAGACGCGTTGTCTGCACGTGCAAACCTCCCATCAGACATGGAGTATGCGACGTTTCCGAGACTTGCGTCTCTACCTGACGTGCCCGCTCCTCCTTGCTGCTGGAAACTCATGTCAAAGTAGCCGGTTGGCTGTAACAATGGTACGAAGTGTCAACAATCTCTTACACCATATAAACAAATAATATATATATATATATATATTTTTGGGATTGGCGGCCTGTTTTAACCTTGCATTTGCCCGTCCACATAGACTACAGATCTGTGCGAGGAACGTATCCAATAAAGCAAGGGGTGAGCCGGTACAGTACGAAGGTGAACTATACTGATAAAATGTTTGCGGCAGTGACCAGGATCCGAACCCACGACATCACTGCCTTGGGCCCGAAGTCTGTAACGCTACCAACTGAGCCACCGACTCAGGAATAATTTGTTATTGTAACTTATTTTTTTCTAGGTGTTCTTGGTTAAACTATGTAGAGTTCAAAGAAGAATCAATTGTTAGTTAGAATATTCATTTGTTCTAGACATTGTAATGAAACGTTTGGATGATAAACTTCATCCATAGCAAACATAAAATAAATACAAAAAAGGAACTAACAATGTTTATAAACCTACTTATTTAAAAAGACGAATGCGCAATTAACTTGTAAATTAGATTAGGCCACTGAGTAGATGGAAACATAAATTCTACAAATATCGATATGAGTACCTAATTATAAAAATAATCTACTAAAGTATTAATGAAATTCGTAATTCTCAAGCTATACTTATTGGGCCAGTTACTATACATTTAATTCTTGTGATGGTATTAAGCCACAGGAATTAATTGCAACTTAATTAATCAAGATATTTTGATCAACATAAAGCCTTTTCTTTGACTTTTTTAGAAAAGTTCGTTCAAAGATCAAATCAAATTAAAAAGAACTTGAAAAATTATGAAAACACTAAGTTTGAACAAGCCAAATCTAGACTATTCTTTAATGGGGTGTGTATGTTGTAGGTACAATAAATGTATGTATTCTTGTAAGAAATTGTTGACTTCAAAGATTCTCTCACATAAAACGAAAATAAAAATATATCATAGTATAATTCGACCAGTATTAACATATGGAGCTGAAACTTGGATTTTAAATAAAAAAGAAGAAAACAAAATGATTGCTTTTGAAAACAAAATTTTAAGAATGATATATGGACCAATACAAGAAAATGGAGAATGGAGAAAAAGGCATAATAGGGAGATAAGGAATATGTACAATGATTATGATGTAGTAGCACACGTGAAAGCAAGGAGAATAAGGTGGGCAGGACACGCACTACGGAGAGAACGAGGTTCACTACTAAAAGAAGCAAGTATAGGAAAGCCAGAAGGGAAACGACCATTAGGAAGGCCCAAGAAGAGATGGTGGGATAGTGTTTCCAAGGACGTCAGAGAAGTGGGGGCAGAAGTGGAAGAGGCAGAAGATCGAGAGAGATGGAAAGCAGTTGTTGGTGCGGCCAAATCCCGCCTTGGGCATAAATGGCCATGGGAGTGAGTGAGTGATTGAGTTGTTGGGGTAAGTGTTAAAGATTCTTCCTAAAGAAATGTCTTCACTAGTGTAGACAGAAGAGGATAGCCTAAATATTTATCTAATCTATTGTGTAGTCTTAAAAACATTCCAGTAGATTCACAAGATGTAAACAATGAAAATGTAATTACAGTTTTAGGAATAAAAATTGATAAATGTTTAAGCTGGTCTCCTCAGATAGATTAGGTTTGTGCAAGATTGTCCAGAGTAATCTGTTTGCTTAGAAATCTTATGGGTGTTGTACCTGAAACCTACATAAGGGTAGCCTACTTTGCATTTTTCCAATCCATAATTAGCTACGGCTTGATTCTTTGGGGAAACAGTAGTCACATAAGTGAAGTGTTAATACTCCAAAAGAAGGTAGTTAGAATAATAAACAAAGCTCCAATTGAAGAGCATTGCAAGCCATTGTTCATAAGAAGTAGAATATTGACTGTGATTAATCTGTACATATTTATGTGTTTACTTAGGGTTAAGAAAAATACTAGTTCCCATGTTTATAGGTTTAATATCCATTCACACAACACACGTAAATGTAAAAATAGTTACCATGTTATTTCATTAAGATTATTTAATAAGCTTAGCATCAATGCCAAAGAATTGGACCTTAAGTCATTTAAAAAAAGAGCTCAGGATTGGTTACTTTTAAATCCTTTTTATGACTTAGAAGAATATTTTAAGGTTGACGAAGTTAACTTTTAATGTCCTCACATTTCCACATTATTTTTTATTTGTAAGCATATGTATTAGTATAGCCTATTTTGACTTGTTTTTAGGCTTGTTTTGTTTTGCCTAAAAATAGGCTGTTTATGTAATAGCTGAATTTTCTTGACTTTAGTCTATTGCATCTGTTGTAAATGTTGAAGGACAATAAAACGTTTCTGATTTTCTGATTTAGAAGGGAGGTGTGACAGTGTTTAACTCACCATAGGTGGGGCAGCGGCTGCTATCCTCTGTTGCAGCATGAGCTCGTCATAGCTGTACATTGGCTGCTGGAAGTACGGCAGACCTGCGGCCTGGCCCATGATATACTGGTGGGTGTTGATCATTGGAGGCACTTGCGGAGGAATACCAGCCACCAGCCCGCTCTTGTTGGCTAATTAATGGACATCGCAAATGTTAATCGTGTTATTATTGTGTGGGTAGGGGGAGGAACTAGAGATAACAAATTAACAGCTGAACAAGGTGAAAAAAAGCACTCCAAACGTGAATGTGATACTGTGTGCTTTAAACTACTGTGTGCTTTAAAGGCTTCAGTTTAAAAGAATGTAAGCGTTTAATTAAATGAAATTGTATTTTTTTTATAGTTGTCGTCCAAGAAAGCATTTGTTCTCTTGAATTAGTTGGTGAAACAGTTTGCAAAACATTTGATCTACATTTTACATTGCCCACTAGGTACTTTGATCACTTAGAATGACAACAAAACACAGCACTTAGGCCTACCATTGGAGGAACAATTTTATGTAGCACCATAGCAATGCTACTTAACCAATAAAAAAAAAATCTGATTCCACAAAACAAATATGTCCCAGATCGAGAAATAAGAACAGTTTATCTTTTTCATAGTCATAATAGGAAAAGTCCACAACCTTTCAAATAACTTAAACTTATCTCACCAAAATGTAACTTTGTCATGAATGTAGAGAGTTGTTACCTGTGGAGAGTGCGGTGACTTTGGTGGAAGCTGCAGATTGGCTGGTCGCAGACAGTCCAAGTGAAGGTGTTGAACTGACTGTGGACACAGCTGGGACACTATTACTGTTCACCTGACCACTCTCATACTGAAACATTCGACAACATGGCTTACAAAAGTGATAAGACGAGACACACTGATAATATTTGAATAGATACCACTTATGACAAATTTCCCATAAGGGAATAAGCTATTACCGTCTCATAGTAAGAACTGGACCCTGCCAATTTACTTTCCGACAATATTTAAGGCATTTCCCTATTGTAAAAAAGTGTGTAAAAGGATACAGGGGAGAATAACATCTGAAAAACCTGAGAAAAAAAATCAAAAGCAGGAAGAATGGAGGCCTAGCTTCATTAAACTGTAGTACGAAGTAAATACAAATTCTTACAAAACAAACAATGTTTTCAAAAACTGTGGGATCTAAAATAAAGAAACAATATAATCACCTGTGAGTCTTTAGCCTGAGAAGAGCCTAGTGCTGAGCTCATCTTATGGCTCTGCTGAGCGGTTGCTGTGGGGGGATAGCTGCTGTTCTGGTAAGACGCTGGGTAGCCCGTCGTCGAACCTGGAATGGTGATAAACACTCATCACAAACAGAACAAATGTAATGATTCCATCTCAGCTATCTAATGGTACTGTTAATTCTTGGTTAAAAAGAGTCTCTTGATTACAAATATTTTAAAATCCACAGAACTATAATAGCCTGACAAAACCTGAAATCATTTTAGAGTTTATTTAGAAATAATCCAGTGAATTTGTGTCACGTGCGTAACCGTTTCATAAATATATATATGTCCAGCGTGGAAGCAAAAAGTACTGGCCAAAATCCCTTTCAGTCTGGCTACAACCAAGAACAGCAGAAGTGAATGTGTATTAAAGGGTTAACCTACTCTCTTCCTCTTACCATTCAAGCATCAGCAGCCTCAACACATCTAAGGATTATCTTTTTCCTTAAAAAAAAAAACTAAAGCATAACAGTAATATTTCGTCCTTCTTCAGACAGTAGGAAGAAGTCCAGGACAAATATTTTGTGTTCTTTTATTGTGGATCTATCAGCCCCCAGACTCTATTTTCTCAGATAAACTAGCTGAACTCTATTCCTTTCTAAAAAAAATTCTTATATTTGTCGATTGCTATTCCCAACCAAGAACACAAGTGGTCTCTTTTTACCACAGGTTGGGAAACACTGTTCTATGTTCGGTAACTATCGTGATGACCTACCTGAGCCCTGATACATCTGGCCACTGCTCTGGTAGTTGTTGGTGGAGGGGTAGCCGGTGTAAGCGTACGATGTCTGGTTGCTAGTGTACGAAGGATACGACGCCGTGCTCTGTGTCACACTGGCTCCGTAACTATTGGTGTAGCCAGTCTGTGAGCTGTACCCTGTATTGCTTGACGTCACCTGTAATACACACTCAAATAGAATCCCTCTTTGAGAGACTTATTTGATATCTGTTAAACAATGAGAAGTATGCTGCGGCCTAAACATAACAGCTTAAATATACTACAAACTTCCCCTAATCCTATGATTGGGCAAGCTGAGTAAACCAGCATGTCTGAAAAAAAGTCGTAGTATAAAGAGTTTGATTTTTGTTAGGCGATTACAAAAAGCACATTGGCCTTTGAGATATGTTAAAGATGGATTCAACTGAGATTAGGATTTTCATCAGTCTAAACCACCTATCTTGCCCAGTGAGCCAGTGTGCATTTGCATGGTTTACCTGCGACGTGGAATAGTTGGAGCTGTTGTAGGTAGACACCGGTGTTGGCGCGGGGTAGTTGGCCGTGGCAGGTTTCTGATAGGCTTGTGACTGGTAGAGTGCGCTGTCAGTGGAGTTGTACGACAACGTAGTGTCTACCGATGACTTGGCTGTGCTGTTGGTCAGTTCTGTCAGCACACTACTCACTGCTGGCCTGCTGGAGCTCTGGGCTGCATACGAGTTGGCTTGCGTCACAACCACGTCCGGCAACATCGAGTCTCCTGACCCCAGCTGTAATACACATGTTGCTTATGATAAACAACGGAACTCAATTTGACCAGTAGCTAATGATGATGAGGTTCAAATTAAATAAGTTTGCTAGTAAATGCTCAATGCAATTAGTAATGATTTTTACAAAAGTCGTAATTTCAATTCCACATTGGAAACCCTTATATTCAGTATAGGTTAATTATAACTCAATTGTTTTAGCAACAAGTCAAAGATTTGTATGTTGTTTGGCTTTGATTGATGACAAAAATGTTTAATTTTCACAAGCATTAACATAATATCTAAGCTTACGGGTACAGGAAAAACTTGAAGCTGTAAATTGACAACATCACAAGTACAATGTGTACAGGTTAAGCATGAACAATCAACTATGTACTTGAACCAGAGCTGGCAGGTAGAGAATGGGTATTGAAGACTGCAAATTGAAGATTTTAAAAACAATTAAATTTGTAATCTACTTTCTGAAGAAAGTTTTATATTAGAACAATATATTGATGTTAAGTTTTGTGACCGTTTTCAAAATATACATAGTCCCTATGAGCTCATTTTCTCAGGTAATCCAGCTGAACTCTCATTTAAAAAAATAATATTGGCTTTCATTCAGAACAAAAACTTGAATTACAGCCACTTCTATGACACCCTGAGTAGTCTTGCATACAATACAACCCACCTTCTGCGTCTGCCCAAGGGCGTTGGCCAGGTTGTTTTGCTGAGGCTGAGAAGAAGCATACGACTCCATGATGGAGGCTACCGAGGCTGCTACCGAGGTAGGCGTTGGCGCGGTGGGGGTAGGTGTGGGCGCAGAAGACGCTACAGTCGCCTTGGTGTTAGTTGAGTCCAGTGACGTCGACGTGTCTAGCGTTGAAGAGTCAGAGCCAAACTCCATCGCACCAAACTGTACGTCCAACATAGCCACGGCGATAGCATCCCCTGGTGGCATCTCTACAGCACTCGATGGTATCTGCAAAATCGGTTCCTCAGTCAAAATAAGTCATTTTGTAAGTACAAGTAACAGAGAGAACTTTGATTAGATAGGTATTTAAAAGATCAAAAGTATATTAAGATTACATTGGAAACAATAATTTATCTAAAGGTTTCACAGATTTTTGTAAGTATACCAGGCTTACCTTAATCGGAAAAAGTCAATTTTGGCACAGGAAATCCAAAAACCTTCCAACATATATACTATTCTTCTGCTGTGTATAGTGGTAAGTTGTTTGTGTTTCCTGTGCCGGAGTAAACTCTTTCTCCTACAGGTAAGCCTGCTGTGTTATCCTAACAAAAGTTCCTTAAACCTAACCTCTTGTAAGCATTTCATAATTCTTGGCCATTTGACGGAACGGTCTCAAAGATAGTGGACTTTGGTTGTGTTCATTAGCAATCACAATCTAACCAGGAACAGAACAATTCAGTACCTTTGACGGAGGAGGAACCCTGGGCTTCTGAGGCTTGGTCCTTGCAGGAAGAGGTTGTGTTGAAGGAGCTGATGTTCCATCCTGCAGAGACGAGCTGTAGCTGTTAGTGTTGACACCATAGCTGGATGAATAGGCGACTGTAAAGTAAATGTTTATCTTTCAAATCCATAAAGTGTACATTGAAAGAAATACCAAGGACATATACCATAAGCCAGACATTTTGTTATTTAGACTTTTTTTAGTATAAGCAAACAACCATAAAATATTTATAAAAACACCATGAAATTATTATTCAAACTACAGTTAACTAAGCTGCAAATATACCTACAATACTTCAATTAGAGTTGTGATATCCAGAGTTAGATTAGAGTTTTGCGTTTTTTAGAGTTGTGTCGCCCAGTCTGATACCATGGTGCTGAATAGTGATGTTGAAACCATCAAAACTTTAGAAAAGTCTCCGTTTTGAAATTTTATTGGACAGTTTATAGGTTCAAAGTGTTGAAATTGAAGATTTTGGTTTGGAACCTGATGACATAGTTTGGTGCCATTATTATTGTTTATAACACCGTTTACACTCAAGCTGGCTGCAATGGAGCGAACAGATCGCCACTAACACTGAAGAAGTAACTCAGTTTCATGTGTTTATATACAGATAAATATTGACCTCCTAATGTTTTTTTTAAATTCATCCAATGTTGCCTCGAAGTGCAAGCTTCATTTTGATTTGTCACATTTGATGATCACCTTTAAATTTGATTAGAGCATAATCCAATCACAAAAAGCTTGAACCACAAGGCAACAAGCTGTCAAATAACTGGTCTGGAAAAATCACAGATAAATACCCCCGCCGCAGCAAACCTGCAGACTAAGCGAATTTCCATTAACCTGATTAGATTTACATTAAAATGCCTCCATAAAAATAGCACATTTATTTCCTATTTAAATAGAATAAGTTTAACGAGTACTTAGGTTTGCTGCAACAGGGAGGGTAAAAAAGTTTTTTTTTTATAAATTGATAATAGTTTAGTAAGAAATAAAAGTATTTTCCAAAATCGATCAAAATATGTTCATAAACAAGCAAACTACAACAGTTGACTTATTCCCCATAAGAATAACATGGGAATTTCAAAATTAAATTTTTTTGAATTTTCTCCGTAACAAATAGGCGCATAATAACGCTTCAATATACTAAATTATTTGTTTTTTTAAGCTCTACAAAATGGTTTAAAAAGAAATTGTGAAATTTCATGTTTTTAGGGTAAAAAATGGGAAAAACCTATTTTTACCCCATAAAACCCCCCATAAACCCCCGTTCCCATAGTCTGATCATGCTGGTTCGCGAACTCATTCAAGTTTATCCCGCCTTACACCTTCAAACCAAATTTTATCAAAATCGGACAAAAATTACTCAAGTTATCGTGCGGATGGACATATATATATATATATATATATATATATCTATTAATAAGCGAAATAATAAAAACCAGAGTACCCTGAAATTCATTTTTATTTAAACTGATACGTATTTCGGCACTAAGGCCATGATCACAGTAATTCATGGCCTTAGTGCCGAAATACGTATCAGTTTAAATAAAAATGAATTTCAGGGTACTCTGGTTTTTATTATTTCGCTTATTAATTGAAAAAGTAGCCCTAAAAAGTGAACAGAACTATCAAAATATATATCTATATATAGATATATAAAAATTTGAACGAATGGTGTTTTTGGCCTCTGGGGACATCAAAATGAAAAAGTAAATCGGTCCCGGGCTTAGGTCTTACCATGAGACCTACGGTAATAGCTACTTCCCTATAGGGAAATTCGCTAAAATTGGTAAATACTCGCCCGATTGCTTTTCAGCAACATCCACGCTTAAGATACATCAAGAGGGATTTATTTCAACACTCAATGGAGTAATCAAATAATATCACAAGTTAAGCTTATAGGTTAAATGTAGTGTTTATTTACTCTTGTGACTCACCGGAGGGAGGAGCGGGGTAGGTGGTGGGGTACTGTTGAGGCTGGGGTTGTGACTGAGTCATTGCCTTGTAGTCACTACTCTGCTGCGTCAGCTGACTGAGATACTGCGACTGAGCTGGCGTTAGAGTGTTCACCCCCACTGGGCTCTGTAACAATAACATCGATATTACGCAACTGTTCACCAAAAAATCTGTTCCATTGTGTTACAATGTATTTCACCGCAGAACCATCTCTTTTAATCACCAAACTAGGTTAAAAAAAAATTGGGAATCAGATATTTTTTAGAGGCAGGCAGGATTAAGTCAAGAGTCAAGAGATTTATTGGTCAAATAACACAAAACAGAATAGTGTATACAACACCTTGTCAAGAAAAATGTTAAAATAATGAAAACAAAATATCTCAAGCTATCAAAGCATGAATTACAATAACAAAGCTAACAAATATAAATCAACAATAACACAGATGTAAACAACCCTCGTAATATGCTACTCTTTAACCTCTTTAATCTGCCTAATGCCTGTCTTTTGCCATTTGAAATAGGCTAACTTTTTCCTCGAACAACTCAGTTATTCAGATTTGTATTATCTGGACAAGGACCGGTTTCAAACATTCCAAATAATTGAAGTTCTACTGTACATGCATTGATTTAACTTATGAATGAAACAAATAACCTACCGGAGGCATCTGCACAGGTCGGGGCGGTTGCTGAGTGTCCAGCAGTACGGGTTGCAGAGGCTGCTCCACTGACCCATCCTCAGGTTGGTCTGGGTCTGCCGCAGCCTGGGGTGCCGCCGGGTCAGGCCCGGACGACGGGGTGAACACCTTGCTGTCAGCCAGCGAGCCGGTGTACTCCTCGTTGTCCCAGTCTTCAGGCGATGGAAACCCGTCACCCCAGTTCTCTGCAAGGTTATGGATATCACACGACATTCTAAAAACACCTAGTCAGCATTAAGCTGAGGTAAAATCTACAAAAAAAGTGTATAATTTACCTTTTTTTACTGAGACACAATTTTGCAGCATTAGAAAGAATAAAAACATTATCAATTGTCGAATAACCATTCCTGAAACCGGCTTGATATTCACATAGCTTACCATGATCTGTTATCCAAAGATTTAATCTGTTGTGCAGTAAACTTGTGTATAACTTAGCTACGCAATCTATAAACGATAAACCCCTATAATTTTGGGCATTGTTTTTATTACCTTTCTTAAACAGAGAATATATTATTGATTTTTTTAAACTTTTCGGTACTTTACTAGTTTTGAAAAGATTGTTATAAAAATTCAGCAACTTAACTAAAAAAAAAGATTCTGAACTTTTTTTAAAGAACTCGTATGGTATTCTGTCAGCTCCTGGTGCCTTACCTTACTTTACTTTTAATAAAACTGATTTTAATTTGTTCAAATTAAATTCTCTATCTAGAAAGTCGTCTTGAATAAGAGGAAGCGCATAACGGACATTGGCTGACAGCAGGGGCGGGTTCAAGAGACTCTTAAAGTGCTCTGCTCTAACCATTCGTTTGGACTGACTTGACCACCTGTATTGGGACTTTTAATCTTAAAACTATTAATAAGTTTCCATAAACATTTACCATCTTTAGTCTGAGTCAAAGATAAATACATATTGTCAAAGTAAGAAGTTTTTTTTTTAGGTTTAAGTACATTTTTTAAAGATCTGTTGCCTCAATATATTCATTTTGTTCTCAATTTCATTGCTTTTTCTGTAGTTTCTCAATAGTTTAAAAATGTTGTGCCTAGCTTTAGCGCACTGTAAGTCAAACCATGGCTGTTTTCTTGCAAACTTGAAAGAGTTGTTTTTATTTGACTTTACTTGTTTAACATGAGCTGACTCTGTAGTACATTGAATGAGACTCTTAACATTTCTTTTCTCGTCTATGTCCAATTGCAAATTTAAAGCAGCAGTGTGTATTCTTTCCTAGAAATTAAAATCATCAAAATTTGTCCACTTTAATCTTGGAAGTAAAGATAACACTTGTCTCTCGTCTCTGGAATCCAATTCTTTCCTTATCATAAGAGTTAATTGTATTGGCAAGTGATCTGACCCAATGTACTCTTATTATCTTAAAATCACTAACTTATTGAGCCGGTATACTCCTCGTTGTCCCAGTCTTCAGGGGATGGAAACCCGTCCCAGTTCCCTGCAAGATTATGGATATCACACGGCATTCTAAAAATCCCCCAGTCAGCATTGTTGAAGTCAAAATACTACTGTTGACTTTAGTATACTTAATTAGACATCTCATCCATATGGACCAGCTGCACCCAATATTTTATTTAAATATAAAAATATATTAATGAGACACAAACCGTGAATTATTATTAATCATTAAGACGGGGATGCCAACTGGGTGTGTATTTTAACCCAAATATGAGTGAAGGATGAGGGTAGAATTATGATCTGTGTATGCCGCTGTCATAATTTAATTCACTCCTGTAGTTCATGGAATGATATTAGATGTGAGATGAAACAAGCTATAGTTTAGAATAATTAACTCTTTCTATTTGCTTGATTAACACATTTGTGTTGTCAACAGACAGTAATTATTGAGATTAGTACACACCGTCAGTAATAATTCAACTACTTTATCATTCTACAACAGGCTACCAACATAGGAATGGAGTGTTAACTCCTATTAACAATGATACTATTGAGTTGTTTTAAAACAGTGAATAAACACAAGAACAATATGTGAGATGCCTTAATTTAACTGGTGATTAAAATTGTCAATGAAACTGGGTGTTTTAATAATTAATATAGAAGCTCACACAGGCATATTCCTAATTTAAGTTATACTGTTGATTTTAAACACTACCAGAACATTTCTCATCTTATTGTTAAAATCTGGAACCTGAAAATATGTTTGAGCCACTCAATTATATATTTATCATGCTTATGAAAACGTGATTTTAAAAAGATAATTTGAATAGCAGATCAGTCTTGTTTATGTAGAGAGGACAATTTGTTCTAGAATGTTTGTTCCACAGTACTTAGCTTATCCTACTAATATTATAAATGAGAAAGTTTGGATGTATGTTTGTGACAAGTAAACGCGAAAAATACTGGTCGGATTGAGCTGAAATTTGGTATGATGATAGCTCACATTCCCGATTAACATATGGACGCATTCTTATCTCAAAAGTCCTATCGGGCTCCGCCTCAGTGGCTCTGGAGTTTCCCATGTTAACCTTATGAGTAATCATATTTAAAAGGAGTAAAAGAATTTTGTCTACTACCTGCGCCGGGACCGTCCGCGTCGTGTGATAGGCCTATCTAAATGTTATGTTCGTAATTCGTTTCGTGTTATTTATTTATTGTATGCGTGTGACAACAATGTCTTACTGTGTTTGTACCCTGACGATGCCGTATTAACGGTGAAACATGTAGGTTTTTAGCCTAACATCACATCATTTGGATTACTTGACGAGGTAATTATACCACAATATTATAGTAAAAGAATTTTGTCAGCTGTTTCAACTACACAAGTTGGTTCTATGATATTGAATAGCATTAAAAAGTTACAAGGTTTACCAACAGGGTGCGATACTATTATTTTTTTACATTTATAACATCTATTTTATAAAGGCCGTAAAGGTTAAATTATGTTTTCAAAAGGCTTATGTGTAACTATTTTATCAACAGATGTAAAGATCAACATGTTTCTATTTCGTGTTCTCTTCCCGTTGCAAAGCACGGGTACAACAGCTAGTTTAAAAAATATTTTAACAAATAAATTGGCCCAATTATAGAAACAATAGCTTAAAACTGTAAATCAGAATTCGCAAAGATCTACCCTACCTAATATAGAAACATTCATCAGTGGTCAATCCACATAAAAATAACACTCATTAAAAACTAGTTTGAGTTTTTTTAATAATCGGAAGTCTACTTGATCCTCAAACATCATAATTCAATGTTTTCAGTATTACCTACAATTTAATGACATTGACTGAATGCCAATGTATAGATACTTTACTGGGTATAATTCAGTTTTTTAATGCAGAGAAAAGTCATGTTACAAATTACAAATGTCTTTGCATATTAAAATAAAATGTTATATATTCTTATTCAGGTAATGGAATCCTCAAATTAAATTTTTTGACATTAAATAACAGATAAGTATAAAAAATTCTCAAAATATAATTTTTTTAACAATAATTTACTATCAGTGCAAAAAGATAAAAATGTTCAATAGCACCAACACCATATCAGTTACCAGGGCAAGGTTGGTAGTGTATTGATTAACTGATAAACACAATGTGTAATATTAGAAGGCTGAGATAAGTAGTGAAATTATTGTTGTGACCCTATCTATAAAATAATATATTGCATTGCTTGAAATGTAGGCTACTAGAAATGTTTAGCATATTTGTTTTAGGCCAACAGTAATTGTTTATTTAAATGCAGATAAACAGCTTTTAAGGGTGAGGCAAGACCAAACAAATATCTAAAACTTCAAGAAGAAACATATTTTCCTATTTATTTTTTCCTATAATTATTTTCCTATTATTGGTAGAACCATTACTTATCTTATCTAGAAGGGGTGAACTCATTCTTATCAAAGAATGAGCCAGACTAACATCTAAAACTATCAGGAGAACCATGTTTTTCCTATCACTGTGCAGATAAGTATTTTTGTTTAAATTTGGGCCATTCTTATCTAGAAGAGGTGGATCAAATCCTCAATGCAACTAGTTGACCAAATCCTCAACTGTGATTAGTCTAATTGTTGAGCAAGTCAGTTGGTGTATTGACTTTCACTATCCAACAAATGTTTATATTGCGGACCATTATGTGTTTACTTGGTAATATTCTAAATACAGGGTACGTAAATGATTCGTCAGGTTTTAACATCAAGTATCTCACTTATTTCTTATCTACTGTTAGTTGATGATTTTAATATTGGCTTGAAGAGAATGTTTTAAATTGTTATAATCACATGTTTAATAATTATTCATGCCATTTTATCGGGTTTGTTTACATGGTACTTGGATGATTACTAGGGATGGACGAGATTGAATTTTTAGTTCGAGAAAGGACAGGATTTTTTATTTCTCATAAAATTTCGAGACAAGATTGAGACGGGTTTTTTCTTCTCGTATATAACAGGAAATGCACGTTCCACATTTTAACCTGATTATTTTAAATACCTACTGATTTATGACTGTAAATAAAAAAATATTAATATACACAAATATTTAAAATCTTTTATTAAAAAACATTAATAAAAATATCAGTATAAAAAAAATATTATTAAGGCCTAACTTATTAAAAATAACTCTCCGGCATAGGAATCATGGAGATATCACTTAATATATAGTTCAACTTTGAAAAATATCAAATTTATAAATCTTTAACAACAGTATTACTAGTTAAGTATCAAGTAACAATTTTCAAGTATTGTGTTATTTTTAGAATGATTTTGGAGTGACTTATTTTGGCTATGTTTACAGTTAAAACATGTTCCCCACTGCTTACACTAACAAAACTTCTCATTATTTGCTATGTCAAAAAAAATAATAAAACAATTGAAGCAATATTTCCATGTAAAGAATTAATCTATATAAATAATAATTAAATAAAAACACCTTTGCAAAGTTTTTATTTTTAATGTTTACAAATTTTTAAATTAAATTTTTTTTTTATCTTGTCTCGAAGAAATCTTGACCAAAATAGAATCTCGTCTTGTAGAACGAGATTTAAAATTTCCCGAAATTTCGAGGCCCGTCCATCCCTAGTCATTTTACTATTGATTACAATCCAACAGAAAAAATCCGCCACAACAAAGCAGCCTACGGCGGTGTCTTCAGTTTAAAAACTCTGGAAGTGCGCTGAAACGTAAACAAGAGACGGATTTGCTATGTCAAATTCAGACACTTTGGTGTAATGTCTTCTGTGGTTTTAAAACCCTAGGTGAATGGCCTGTTTGTTTCCAGAAAAAACCCATCACAGGAATAGCCATTCTTGACACGTTGGAGGACTGGTTGTTTCCTCAGATAGAAGTCTCACAAGACTCAATGTTTCAGCAGCATGGGGCTCCACCTCACTGGCACCATGAAGTACGTAAATTCTTACACGACAAGTTACCTCACGTGACTTGTCCTTTCTCTTATGGACCATACGGTGTTCAATTCTTTTCTCTGGGACTAGGTTTAGGACAAAGTATATATACCGCCAAAACCTCAAAACCTTCAAGAACTACATGAACCAATTCTCATTGTCGTAGATTGTATTGCTAGCCCGTGAATGAGCAAATTTACAACATCGATTAGAAACTTGCTCCATGGCTAACAAAACGGTAGGGGTATCTAAGAAGAAATTTTCTTTCTATTGATATAGATTTATCAATATTTGTTCAGTAAAAGGTCATTAACAAATTTTAAACATGATGAATCATGTAAATCACCCTAGGTACAACCAGGCCCTAATAACATTATGCAAACCTGTTTCTATAAAAGCGCCTCGAGCTATTGATGAGAGTCCATGCAAAGTTTCAAAACTTAAAGACTACTTGGCTAAGAAGATTTTGTTGAATATCCTTTTTTTAATTTCCTTAATGATAGTTATTTTTTTTAACCATCCCCTTAGGCCTAATTAAACAATTAATACATTTCATGAATGGGTGGAAACAAAATTTTATAATCAGCATCTTGAACCTTTGCAGGATACTAACGACTAGAGAGAAGGACCTCTGCTACTTTCCCTAAGAACAATACTATACCATTTTGTTTGGTTTTGGGCTCTTCCGTGTCCCAATCTTCAGCTCCGTTAGCATCCCAATTTTCTTCAGAACAAAACATGGAACGAAAAAAATGTTTAATAAGTATTTGAAATCGCAAATGGCTTGGCATGCAGAAACCCATCACCAACAAAAGAAAATGAACAAAGCAAACACCAGAAGATAGGAATTAAGGGAAAGAGAGGATCAGCGAAACAGATGCCACAAGACAAACAAGTCCAAAATAAAAATTTGACAAACTGGAACCAAATTGTTTAGGTACTCTTTAATCAAACGTAAAATTCTGTCAATAACTATTAGTCTTTGAGCCATAAATTATTGGTAGGAAGAACAACAATAACCAATTCAAATATAAAAATATAGGATAGGTTCTGAATTTAGTTAACAAATCTATTTTTTTATCAGGAGGTGAACTAGTATTGATTTGATTTGATTTAGTAGCCTAATGCTTTTCAACGACGTTACATAATGTAGTAAAGAGACTAGGGTTTGAAAAATTCCCGTACAAAACATGATTAAAAATACCACCACCATATAATATAAAATAAATACCAAAGGCCCTACCCTAACACAATCCGGAAGGAAGAAATTATTTAAACCATCAAAAATAAGGTAAGTAAAAAGAGAATATTAGAGTAAAGAAATTGGGGAGGATTAGGTAGGAGATGAACACATGATCCATAAAAAACAGCATATCATAAAAATAATAGTTAAGAAGACCAGACCACAGCAACCTTCAATACACAAATTAGTCAAAGGCACAATTACACCAACTTACCCATTTTTTCCCCGGAACCGTCTTCAGCAGAGGGGTTGTTCCAGGTCTCGATGGATCTTGGGAATCCACCCCCGCTCGGCCTCTCCCCCCGCTGGAAGGTTCGAGAGCCGAGCCGTCCACCACCCCTGCCTCCGCGACCTCCTCGGCCTGGACCATTGGACATACGACCTCCACGGTCACCCCTACGACCTCTTTCTCCGTTGAAGTTGTCTTCCAGGTTCCGTTCATTCTCTTTGTTTTCTCGACCCCTCCCTGTAACCAATATTAGTCATACAGGTATAGACTTCTAAACATTTCACAATAGCCATGTAAAAGTTAAATATATACATATACGGTATATATATATTTGTATGATTATGTTTAAACAACAATTCAGTTCTCAACTCAGCCCAGCCTAAGATAATCAGATCTAATAAATTACGAGAATTGAATTAAACAACTACTTAGAAGGACATAATTCATAAGCAAATACAAATTCATGCAGAAAAATACCATGTGACCCCTCATTTTAAAGGGTTTATCAAGAGAAATTGAATGGCGCAAACCAGGGGTCAATATCACACCCCTAATCGAAATGGCAGCCATTTAATTTAAGATGAGCAAGCAAGATAAAGTCTGGACACCTCCAGTTAACTTTATAACGTGTGGCAGTGGGAAAACCAAACTCGGCACATGTTTACAACATTTAAAAATGCACTTTTTCATTTAAGTCAGAACTTGTACCCAGCCCCCAAAATGGGGTATTTTGGGGGCAGCCCCAAATTTTCAAAAGTAATCACCTATCATGTGACCCCTCATTTTAAAGGGTTTATCAACAGAAATTAAATAGCGCAAACTAGAGGTCAATATCGCACCTCTAATCAAAATGGCAGTCATTTTTAAATATCCCCTATTAAATTTTTAACAGGTTATAGCAGGAAAACTAAACTCAGCATACCTTTATAAAAAAAGAGAACTCACCTTTTGGTTTTAAAATATTAAATGTTTTAAGGTAACTGGGGGTGTCCAGACTTTATCAGGGTGTCTAGTTTATTTCCATTATAAAATTCAAGACTAATTCCAGACTTTTCAAGACTAATTCCAGATTTTTCAAGACTAGTTTTTTCCACAATTAGTGGGTGTTGATACCAAAATGTATCGATTCTCGATTCTTGATACCGATACCTATTCTTATAGCTTTTTCTAACCAAATTTTCTGAATAATACTACACCAACCCTTTGTATTTGTCATAAAGTAGTATTATGATAATGTGGTGTTTTCAAGTAAAGAAATAATGCAGCAATAAAAAATTCTAACTAGCAAATTTGTTTTTTTTATCATGAAATCTTCTGCGTACCGTACGTTTAGACATCATCATTGACTGCAGCGGTTACAGAAACGTGATCGTCGTCTCCCGCGGTCACGGAAACTTCATCGTCATCTCCCACGGTCACGGAAACTTCATCGTCATCTCCCGCGGTCACGGAAACTTCATCGTCATCTCCCGCGGTCACGGAAACGTAATCGTCGTCGTCCGCGATCGCGACAAAATCATGAATATTTCCCGCGGCCGAGCAGATATCATCGTCATCTCCCGCGGTCACGGAAACGTCATCGTCATATCCTGCGGTCACGGAAACGTCATCGTCATATCCTGCGGTCACGGAAACGTCATCGTCATCTCCTGCGGTCACGGAAACGTCATCGCCGTCGTCCTCGATCGCAGCAAAATCATGAACATTTCCAGCGGCCGTGTAGACATCATCGTCGTCTCCCGCGGTCACAGAAACGTCATCGTCGTCGTCCGGGATCGCGGCAAAATCATGAACATTTCCCGCGGCTGTTTAGACATTACCGCCATCTCCCGCGGTCACGGAAACGTTATTGTCGACGTCCGCGATCACGGCAAAATCATGAACATTTCCCGAGGCCGTGAGGACAATCATCATTGGCTTTCGCGGTTACGTAAACGGAAGACGACGATCGCGGCAAAATCATAAAATTCCCGACTTTTAAATCAAATTTAAGACTAAATCCCGACTTTTCAAGACCATTTTGAAATTCAATACTAATTCCCGACTTTCCCGACTACTAGACACCCTGCTTTATCTTGCTTGCGCATCTTAAATCATTCAAATGGCTGCCATTTTGATTAGGGATGCGATATTGACCTCTAGTTTGTGCCATTAAATTTCTCTTGATAAACCCTTTAAAATGAGGGGTCACATGATAGGTGTTTACTTTTGAAAATTTGGGGCTGCCCCCAAAATACCCCATTTTGGGGGCTGGGGCAAAGTAGTAACTTAAATCAAAAAGTGCAATTTCTTATGTTGTAAATATGTGCAAAGTTTGGTTTTCCTACTGCAACACGTTAAAAAGTTAACTGGGGGGTTCCAGACTTTTGCCTAACCCTGTAGGTATACAGTTAACACAGAATTTAGTCAAAGGTTCTAAACTGTCTTGACTCACATCTCTGACTCTCCATGGATCCTCTGCCCCGTAGTCTTGGTGGGCCGCTGCCCCGCTGTCTAGCTCTGTCTCTGCCCCGCCCTCCACCACTTGGCTCCACAGTCTCCCACTCCTCCGCTTCTGTATGGTTGTTGACAGCCTCCGCGCCCTTGGCCGCACTCGCTGTCCTGTTCTTCTTCTTCTTGACAACTGATGTGGACCACTCGTCCTGTACAAAATCATATGTAACACTTTGCCCTATTGCTGCAAAACGCCTACAAATAAACCGACACCACAAACAAGATGACTGACACCATGAGGGTAGAAAAAGTAAAACTGAGATGGTTCAGACACATGTGAGAAAAATATGAGAGAAAATTCCAGGAAATATATAAATGGTGGTCAAGGCTCTATGACGATGATAGAGGGAAGAAAAATCTTGAGGAAGGTGGATAGTTGAGGTAAAAAAGAGGAATGAGATGGTAAATGGTGGAGGCCTACACAATTTGACAGCCATTATCTCTTCAACTAAAAAATAACATATATATCTTTTAACAGCAGGGTGTAAAAAGTTTAAAACTTCAAATGGGATTTTGGGGAATTTGTAGACAATATTACCTTGAGACTCCCTTCCAAAAGATAGTTAACAGCCTTGTTAGCATCATTGTCACAGTCATGAAGAGCAGTGCAAACTTCATCCTCTGATTTCTGCGTGGCATCCATCACCTGAAAAATTATGAATTAATATATTTATTCATATGCCTCAAGATTATAAAAAAAAAAAAAAATGGTACAGAATTTAGTTGTGCTTATAAATCAATACAGACAGAGTTTATCTACTTTTTCATTAACAATCAAAAATGTGTCTAGGCTATTTAAAGAAGGAAATTCTAAGTTGCTATTTATAATACTTAAGAGAAGTTAATGTTATTTCCATGAATCCAGTGCTGGTGATGCTTACGCTTATATAGATTAGGCCTGTAGTGGTAGCCGCGAGAGAGAGAATAGTTAAATTGCATAAATTATAATAAACAATTAGAAGCATTTTTGGTACCATTATGTGATTTTTAAGTTCAGTTTAACTTAAATTAGATCCTGTGGGGGGGGGGGGGGGGGTTCTAAGAAAATACAGTACAGATAGATCTGAGGAAAATAAGGTACAGTCTCAGGATGTTAATATTACCAATCTTAACAATTGACGTAAACTGTAAATTATTAGTTTTAGTGCTAATAAAAGATAATAAGAGTTTACAGACAGTTACATTTCTAGCATAGGCCTATCTACAATCTAACACAAATCGGCATGGAGCTAAAAATGTTAGGTTAAGTTACAGAATAGATTATGAATTTTAGCATATGACACAGTACCTGCTTGATTTTGTCTTTTAAAGCCAAATCATCTTTCTTGGTATCCATGATTTCTGCCATTCGCATCTGTTCAGCTGTGGGCTGAAAGTTACAATCATTGTGGTTATTAAAGTTCCAACAAAAATTCACACACAAGTTTCATTTTTATAGTTGTGTCAAGTATTTATATAATTATGCGTAGATAAAATGGCAAGTTTTTATATAGGTAGGCCTAACAATGTTTATTTGGATAGGGTACGGTACTCATGGGACTTAAATATTTTAAGATAACTTGTTTCTTTTAGAAAATCAAACGGTTAACTTTCTTAACTAGAGTATTCAAGTAAAAAAACACCCACAGAAAAAGGATGCCAAACCTCTGGTGGTAAATAAAAATTTACTTTCTTATTAAGTTAAATGAAATGAAAATCGTTTATTTTTCCAGGCAAAGTTAGGGCCACATGGCCCTTTCTTACACTTACCGGTAACACAAACAGAAAAAAAATTACACCTTCTCCATGTTTAAATACAGGTGCAGTACCGTCACAAACTCTTGAAAAAAGTGGGTAAGAAAGCTGGCAAGATTGATGAATGGAGGATTAATGGCAAGAGAGACCAATTCATGGACCTAACTTAAATACTTTATTTACAACACCAGGTTAATTTCTTGCTTAAGTTATAAGATGACTAAATTGCTAGCACAAGGTCTGTACAAAAACTGCACATGTACCAGTATAAATGTCTGCCAGTAGTCCTAAGTTAGTTCAAATGGCAAAAGGCAAAAATTTTACTAATGAACCAGCTTGAGGCTCTGTGAACCTTCTGTAAAACCGGGAAGTTTTCTCCAAGAAATCCAGACCGCAGGGATATTGATTGTTGGAGTTTGAAGGACTTAAAAGCTATTCTGGTCCTTCCAATCGAGTAGGCTAATGTGACTTAAATAAACATAATTTAATCCACCAAGTTACTTTTTACGTCTATAATCAAAAGACACAAAATTTCAAAAAATGAAAAAGATATTTTTACAGTATGACTACATAATTTAAGTTAGGTTACTTAGACATTAATTTTCAAGTTGGTTTACCTAAAAAATAAACATAAATCTTCAGGCCTACCTGTATTAAGCCTAACTGTTTACCAGCAATAAAATCTTAAAGATATTTTTGTTGAACAATCTCTTAACTTACTGTTAAGTTAAAATACTTACTACTTGTGACTTGTCAAGGTTGGCTACTTTTGGACTCTCAGATTTGTTGGTTTCTGTTTTCTGAGTTTTCGGAGTCGAAGCCGCCTCCGCTTTGTTGTTCTTCCCACCCCTGGGGGTGGAACGGGCCGTTGTGCTCATTGTTTGATAACTATTTTACAATATTTACACAGTAGTTACACTGAAACAAAAAGCCTAAACTTAATTAAATCCCAATTAAAACATTAAGCCTAATAACATTATATAACTGCAAAATTAAGTGAAGTCTAGTACAAAAACTTTTTGCCTAAGTTAAATCATTGCGAACTTAAAAAAGAAAATTGTGTTAAACGCTGAAGATTAATAGCTAGGTTAAGAGGGAGGTGTTGTTCCTGAGTTAACTTAAAGAATGAATTTAAGTTAATTAAGAGTTTAGCTAACTTATTTAAAAATACTCTGCTACAGCATGTCAATGAAGTCGGATATCAAAGTTTCACCCCACTGTTGGCTTCATAGAACTACCTATGCAAGATGAATGGAAACAACTCTTAAGCAATAAGTTTAAAGTTAAGCAATAAAGGACGAGACCTAAGTTAGATGATGAATCATGGGCCTTGGTGGTAAAAGGTACCCTAAGTTTAGCCTGTTAAATATCATTTTGTTTGGTAGCCTAGGTATATTTTTATTTCAACACCTACTTTCCATTGCCCTGAGCGTTGGTTTCACTATTTATCTTTCAACCCATGTCCGGCCGATAAGAAAGGAATTTCCCGACCTTTGTACTTTTCCAAGGTACGATGTTCGGCCGCGGCACAGTCCGCTACTACTCCTCTAGACAATAAGTCACTTTTCATGCAGCAATACGCTCACCGCTATAACCGTTCATTTATTATACTAATGTATATATAGGTAAGCTTAAGTTAACTTAAGCCTGATTCCTTAACAAGGCCCTTGTTAACCCTTGAAGGGTTAAGTGTGATCCATGTAAATGTAAGGAGTCTTTGTTTATTTCTACAACTTAAGTGATGTGAAATGTAAAAGACAATACCCTAGCCTAGGCCAGTCTACATAGCCGTAATTTATCTAAACAAATATACAAACATCCTCTTTTATACTAATAAGTTTTAACTTTATGTGTGTAAAAACACACAATATTTTATAATTTTATTTCAATTTCAATAACATTATTTCAATACTCCTCTTTATCACTAGCCTAACTTATCCATAATTTTAAGTACGGTAAATTAAATTTAAGAATAATAGCTTCAGTACATAACTAAGTATTCACCAATGCCACCAATACTTACCCCCTTTCTAGCCTTAGCCTAAGCTTAATAGATCCCTAACTTAAGTTAAACTTGTTTTAGTGTAATTAGCCTATGCTGTTTAAGTGTCATTTATCAAGTAAATTAGGATAACTTATTGGAATTTTTGTCCTCAAACTTTCACCTTGCATCTTACGTTATTACAATATGCCTAGCCTATTTCACACATGTTCTCCCATAAGTTACCGTACAAGTAAGTTAGGCTATCCCAGTGTAAACTTAGGCCCTACCTTAAAGTTTAACTTGCCTAAACATGATTGCTATGAAAGCCCAAGCCTAAGTTATATTTGACAGTAAATTCAGACCCCTGAGCCTTATCATACTGCAGCATAGATAAGGATACAACTAGCCTAAGTTATTTGTCTAATCAGGGAAATTTGGAATTCTTGCAGATAAGACTAAACTTAACTTAATTGACAATGACAATTTAGCCTACATAAACAATGTAGGCTATTTAGAAATAAAGTACTTAGGCTAACTTAAGTTTTAGAACTTTAAATTATGAATTGTGTGTGTGATTGTAAATGAAGCAAACTAGCCTAAGATAATTCTTTAAAACCTGTATTCTAAGTTAATAAGTTAGAAGAATATGCTATACAGATTAGGCTACGTCTATTTATTTTGGGCTAGAATAGGCCTAAGTTACACTTAAGTTAAGCCTAGACTAGGAATAGGCTATCAAAAAGTCATATTCCTGCAAATGACTCATAAACTGATTAAATAGGTATAGCATTGGTATAAAAACTATGGGCCTAGTAACTATGCAATTAATAGGCCTATTTTCAAATTTATGACAAATATTTCCTAGTTTATTATTGCGCGACCGATCACAATGGACCTCAACATTATGATCGGCATAGAATCATCCAACAAGGAGACACCCTTGCGAGTTTTGGATGAGTTATAGATAACGTTATGACTAACAAATTTGACGCGAAATATAAAGTGAATATATTAGTTCCTGGCTTTAAAGAGGGTCATTAATTGCCATGTGGAGAGGACGCCATTCCGAAACTTTGTTTGAGGCCTTGGCAGAAGGTTCATTAGTCCGCTATTCGACAAAATCAAATATTGCACAAGAAATAGAATAACATAAACCGGTAGTACCAAAAACTATAACTTGTTATTCTAAAGTGGTCAACTTAATTTTGGAACACAAGTAAACAGTAATATAATACAATTTACCCACTAAATTTGATAAATATATAATTTAATCACGGTACCTGCAGCAAGCGCTCAAATGGTAGTCACTAGTAGTAGTCAGGTCACGTGATCAGATCACTTCTTCTGTTCTTCCCAGTTGAGTTCCCACTGCATACCATTGATGAACTATGTTTCCCAATTTTCATATATTTGTTTTATGTATAACAATAGTCTTTTTATGGATAGTCATTGATAACGTGGCCATAACTGTGTAAAAAACAGATATGTGGACAAATTAATGCTTCTTATGAATTCAATTATAAATACTCAATAGCTTTGGTAATAATAAAATGTACGATCAATTCATAAATACCTCCGCCGCAGCAGACCTGCAGGCTAAGCGAATTCCCATTCGCCTAATTTGATTTACACGACACCATAGATAAGACATAGGCTACTCCTCAAGTATTGGTTACTGGGCTATGAAAATGTTGACTCCCCTTTAAACGTACAGAAGTATATTTTCAATTTATATTGTTTTGGTTTTCGATTCTATATGTTTTATTTTAAGTCTTTTAATAAATTTCTGTTCATAAATTTAAATTCAAATGAATATTACGCGGATTAATGAATTGGTGTCACCTGACTGCCATGTTATCTTATGGGATTTGTCGTGTGGCGCTAACACTACTTGCGACGTAGCCAATTCTACCAGGCCGCGGCCTGGAGTTAAAGGTTGCCGTGGCCAGATACAGCTTAACAATTTATTGTTTTAGTATAATGGTTTAAATGCCTTATACTGTCAAAAGTGATCCTTTGTAGTCTATGTAGGCTACTGCAGTTTCGCTATCATCATGCCAAATTTTAGCCCAATCCGTCCTGTAGTTTATGCGTGATTGAGCAACACACAAACGCACAAACTCACAAACTTTCAGATTTATAATCATTCCTGAGGGGAACTTCAAATGGTAAAAATCCATCAAAGTCACATTTGTATAAGCATAGATTAAACATAAGTCACTGACAAACACACGAACCACGGCCACCTTTAACTCCTGGGGCCCATTTCATAATAAAGTACAAACTAATATTATTAGTAAATCAGCTGATTGCCCAATGCAAATCTAATGGAAATAACAAGTTACAAGTTGTAACTTGTAACTTGTAGTTTATTATGAAATGGGCCCCTGGCCTTGGCCTGGTAGAATTGGCAACGTCGCTATAGTAGGGTTGTTAAGTGTCAGACATCCCATAAGATAACATGGCAGACATGTGACATTAGCTCATTAATTCGCACTTTATTGATTTAAATTTATGAATATAAATTTACTAAAATAATATTGAAAATAAAACATACAGAATTGAAAACCAAATCAATATGACATCTGCACATTTTAAGCGAAGTCAATATTTGCATAGTCCACTTTCGTAAATACACATAACCCTGCTTCCAAACAAAACAGCTGTTACAACCCTACTTGCGACGTTGCCACTTTGAAGGCCGCGGCCTACATAACAATAATAGACATTTCAAAAACCCGGTACCGAGAAACACGTTACGCACGGAAGGCTGGTCTAGACGTTTTGTGTTTTGACATGACAAAATGAAGTTATTGTTTTAGTTTGTCTATGATAAGCTTGTTCCCACGATTGCGATGATAAAAATAGAGCATTGCAAACTGAGATATATCTAAGTTTCATTCCTCTTGCTCTTATACTGTCTGGCTAATAAAATCATAAGTTAGATTGTACGTCTTTGCTTTTAGCTGAGCATTGCTTGCTTTGCTTTTGTTTTGCCTGCCTGGTGCCTGCGTTGCGTAGCGTTTCGTTTCGTCAATCGTCCGTCATTTTGTTGTTTGTCAAATGTTAACCGCTAACCACTTTGTTTATACTTTCAACTCTGGTGGAATTCTCTAAGAAAGACGTCGTATTTGTAAGCTTTTTATTGTGTTTTATTAGTATCCTAGGTGTATTGGAATACAACACTTCCAAGCATATATATCGATTAATTTACTTAACAGCACGAGAATGGCTATCAGAACGTACGGTGATAAACCCATTAGTTTTCAAATAGAAGAAAATGGAGAGTACTACTGTATTGGATCCGAAGTTGGTAATTATTTGCGATTGTTTCGTGGTTCTTTATACAAGCGCTACCCAGGAATGTACCGAAGAACCATCACAAATGATGAAAGAAAGCGTCTTATTGACCTAGGTTTAAGTGCACATTGCCTAGCTTCCAGTGTTTCTCTTTTGAGAGCCTCTGAAGTTGAAGACATTATTGATGGTAATGATGAGAAATATAAGGCAGTTTCCGTTCATTCCACGGAAACCCCGACTCCTCGGGAAGGCAAAGCCAAGAAAAGCATGCCTTGGGTACCATCACTGCCCAATAGCTCTCATTTGGATGCTGTCCCTCAAGCAACACCAATCAATAGAAATCGAGTAAATAATAAGAAGATAAGAACTTTTCCTTTATGCTTTGATGATACTGACCCAATTACAAATCATGAAAATGCAGCACAACCAGAGACATTGGTTCCAATCCGTTTAGATATGGAAATAGAAGGTCAGAAGCTTAGGGACACTTTTACTTGGAACAAAAATGAAACCCTCATCACTCCAGAGCAGTTCGCAGAAGTTCTGTGTGATGATTTGGATCTGAATCCATTAACATTTGTGCCCGCAATCGCTCAGGCTATAAGGCAACAAGTTGATGCCTTTCCTACAGATAATATACTGGATGAACAAACTGATCAGAGGGTAATAATAAAACTAAATATTCATGTTGGAAACACTTCTCTTGTGGACCAAGTTGAATGGGACATGAGTGAAAAAGAAAACAGCCCTGAAGCATTCGCAATGAAACTGTGTGCAGAGTTAGGACTTGGTGGAGAATTTGTAACAGCCATTGCTTATTCTATACGTGGACAACTGAGTTGGCATCAGAGAACGTATGCTTTCAGTGAAGCTCCTTTGCCTATTGTTGAAGTACCGTTCAGGCCGCCATCTGAATCTGACCAGTGGTCGCCATTCTTGGAAACATTAACAGATGCAGAAATGGAGAAGAAAATTAGAGATCAAGACAGAAACACAAGGCGAATGAGGCGACTTGCCAATACAACACCTGGGTGGTAAGTTTAATGAAATACTGGCTGCACTTTGATTTACGCCCCACATTCATTCATTAAAATAAAATAATCCAAAATAATCAAAATTTTTGAAATAATTGATAAGGTCAAGTTGGGCAAGCTTATGCCCGGGGCAATCCAAAACATAATATAACCATGTTAACATGACCAAATTAACCAAAACATGAAAACTTGGCCAAAGGTAGACGTACTTCAAACTACATGAATGCATGAATATACATTAATAGTTAGGCTATGCTCTTTTAAATTATAATCACTACCTACAGTATATAAAATTCTCTTGTTACTATTGGTATGAGCTTGACGTGTTCAAAAACCCCCTTGCGTTTCCACTCAAAACGCAAGTGTCCCTTGGAAAGAAAAAGAAAAAAAAATAGGCTACTACAAGGATAACTAGGTTTATCCAAAATATATTAATCTTATTACCTACTTATTCTTTTAAAAGGATTTCCAAAATAACATTGTTATAAGTTAGCCCTAAAAAGTCAATTTTGGGGAGTTAGGGGGGGCGTACACTTACCCTGTGTTAAATCCGTTTGGGGCATGTGTAGTTTTTTCCATGGAGCAAGTGTAGACCCCCCTCAATAACTACTGGTAATATATTATCTAAGAATAAAGAAAACTTGACCAGAAGAAAAATAAATGGTAAGTCTTTGACCAATCTTATCTTAAAAACATTTAAATAAAAAAATATTAAGGTTTTAAGTTACTTCACCGAGCGGAAGTTAAAAAAAAAATTCCTAACTACCGTACCGAATAGTTGAGATATTTTAATCAACAAAAAAACAAATTAAAGCTCAATTTCTGCTTTTTGAGACTTATTAATTGTTAATTCAACGAAATAGCCTTGTGAAATGTATAAGGTTTTTATTTTTTAGTTTGAATAAAGCTGACTTTTTCATTTTCCCTTGCAGAGGTTCTCAAAAAAGCTCACAACTCCTGAACTGTTTGAACTATTTTAATAAATAAAAAATTAAAAGTAGGCTACGTTACCGTAAGCTTATTTTTCCTTTTACAATCCACATGCCCCAACATAAAAAAAATATGCAGTGCAAAGCTACTTTAAGTGGGGGGTACTCTTACCCCAGATCAAGGGAGAAGTGTACATCCCAAACATCATTTTACAATAAAATCTCTAAAACAAAATTAATATTTTTAACAAAATAAAAAAACACATAGGTACAAAACATGTAAAAGAATAAGCTCAGCAAATTTGATTATCCTATAGCACCTACGGGTATTTTTTAATCTGTGGTCAAAGTTTTACTATGCCATTTGGGGGGCCCATTTACCCTACTTGACCTTAGGTATATTGATAGTTATAATCAAAAACATCAGTCAAACGAATGCAGGGCGTAAACCTTAATACTTAACAGTACCGGCAGCCTTTTATTTTTAGATAAGATCTAGGTAGAAGTTAAACCACAGTTAGTCCTACCATAGATAAAACATACTCCCTTGTGTTGCTTAGTCTATGGTCCTACTTTCATTCCCTGTCACCATGTTTTCTTTAACATTTTTCCAGCAAGTAAAGGCTCCTCTAGCCAGGACTAATTGTTTACAGTGTTTGTTTTAATTGTATTAAATAACCACTTTAATTAAAACCAGACATAGAGTCTACATTTAATTTAAACGCTATCTTTTAGAATTGTAGCTTAATCATGTTTAAACGACAGTAAGTTACAGTAGAACTTCAATAATTTGTCCCTCGATAAGATCCGTACCCTACAGTAGAATAAGCAGGCTAAATCCCATCCGTTAAAAAAAATCAGTACCTTCCTGGACATCCCGCATAGACGGTACGGGACGGGCCCGCACCGCACTGGTGCAAAATAGGGCTAATTAATTACTTTAAAATGTTAACTTATAGTAAAGGGTGACTGAATAACTTACACAAAATAGGCCTAAATATAAAAAATAAGAACTGGTGATCTATTTAATGAGCTGAGAATACTGTGCTGATATTAGCTTTGTTTAATCCCTATAATCCCATAGAAATTAGCAGAATTGACTGTTGGGTATTTAACTTAGAAGTACCAGTAAGATTTTAAGCCATAGGCCTATAACTTATGTTAACGGATTTGATACACATTTATTTATTTAGACCTAGGTACCGATATAATTCCCTCACAGCCTAATATATTAGCCTACCATTTTTAAATTAGTTTTATTCATTAACCTAAAAATTGTGCTTTCACCACTTTTTAGTTACCTAGATTATCTTTTTATTTATTTTACCAGCAATTTATTTTTATTTTTTACTTTTTCAGGACTTAAAGGGAATAAGCATTTCATCACCTTATTTCAACCGTTTTCAAGATTGTCAAGGACAAATCAGATTACCTAAATGTGTTTTCATTATTAACTAATATTTTACACACTTGTATAGTTTAACTTGTAGGACTCTAGACTTTTAATAAACATTATGCAAACAATGATTTTATCGCTGTTTATTTCCTTGCAGTCAAGGTCGGCCAGTTTAAGGATCTGTCAGCCTAGAGCAAGAGAATAACGGCTTTGGTAACCTCGCTTTTGGTAATTTGAAAATTGATCTCGACTGAATGCTCGATAGTATCTATGTAGTTATTTCCGTTGTGCATGTTATTAAAGTAAACACACTTGATGTTGTAAATTTGTCATGTTTCTATAAAAAGGTAGCCTAATAAAATTGTAGTTTTATATTTAACAAATTAAATATTAATACAGGCTATTCAAAGTTTTGCTATTTTGCTGTTTTCATGAATATTTGTTTGAGTAAACAAATTTAAAACTGATTCATCCCGGGTAGGTTCATTTTTTGTATTGAATAAAAAGATTCTCTTGTATTTAACTACGTCATTAATTTACTGACCTTTTCAAGTCCCCAGGTAATTTCTTTCACCTGTTATAAATTACATGATAAATTAACAAAAAAGTTACAAATGCTCTGTTTTCATGTTGCATCCATAGTGCATGAGAATATGGGTTATCAATTAATGAATATGAGCATGGAAAATGTGTCCATCTTAATGACCTAAATACATCTACTAAATAAATGCAAGTGTAGATAATGCAGCATTTAATTTTAGGAGGGACTACATTATTTTATTACATTTGAACTATTGCTGGATTATTCACTAAAGTATTTTGCTTTCAAAGAGTGAAAGGTTGTTGGGGTCTTTTCATATTTAAAATTCCCCACAGATGAGTGTTGTCTACTGTACGGGGTTTATAACAGCGAGTTAAAAAATCTGTCTATAAAATCCTTGGAATTATTGGCTACCATAATTGGGTATGAATTAACTTTCAAAACAGAATCATTTTGTATTACTTACTAAGACACTCGATTTGAAGTTTATATAATTATACTACAGAATCTTCCATAATCCATAGTCCATACCCTTATGCTGGAATTTCAGTTGAGGACTGAATACTGAATTTAAATCAAATCAATACAATTATGTCTTTCATTGAGGATGGGGTTTTTAATAAATGGAAAGCTAAATATACAATTTTATATTGACAGTAACTCATGACACTGTTTTGAAGAAAAGTCTCATCACTTCCGCTGCGTAAATATTCCTATGCTGTGTTGTGCCACTTTGCACACTAGTTTTACACAAATAACTATTTCATAATTTTTCATGAGTCACAACCACACTAATTCCATATTGGTAATAACTTGAATACTGTCATGTGTAGAATGCTACAAGGCTAGGCAGTTAAATTGAAAACTAAAGGCAGCAGAACATTTTTATAAATCTTGTTTACTTCATAATACAAAAATAAATACATTTGATAATTACTTTGTAAGATTCAGTTGGAATATGATAACAAATTACATTTTAATTGATACAAAGATGGACCAATCTATACATTGAGGAAGTTCAACTCATTTGGTATTATATACTCTTGTAAACCAGTAATCACATTTTGCTTTTGACTAGATATGGCAATATCTGGCAGATCTGTAGCCACAGTATTATCCAAACTATTGACCATCGAAGTCCCAATGGGCGGTGGAAGGATGTAATCATTGCGGCCAAACAGGTTTCTCACATTTATCAGTAGGTTGGAGCTTTGTTTGGGATGATTTTCCAATTGAATCATAGAATCGACCACTTGCAAACCGCTCATGTCCAAACTCTGCGTATACACCACCTGGGATTTGTCTTGAGCAAAGTCCATGCTGTAAGACACTTGCAACAACTGTTCCGAATTATCACTCATAACAACCACATTTGATTCGTTCATCACCGAAGAAACCTCCTGTACCTGACTTTCCAACAGCTGTAATCCCTCTGAACTCGTAGCGGATTCTACTTTATCCTTTTTCTTCTTGCCAGTTTTACCGTCAAACAGTTTCTTGATACGCTTCGGTTTATCTACTTGTCGATGTCCCAAGAGTTGGTGACGTTTCAGATTACTGAGAGACTTGTAGCTGTTGCCGCAGTGACAAGAGTACAAAGCCGCTTCTGAATGTTTGTTGAGCAGATGCCGGTTGAGGTCGGAGGATCGGCTAAACACCGTGCCACACTTATCACAGCTGAAGTCCTTACTGTCGTTGTGAAGTCGCAAGTCGTGCTCCTGCAAGGAGGCCTTCGTGTGGAATTGTCCTCCGCACTTGTCACAAACAAATTGTGGCTTCTCTGTGTGCGAGGCAATGTGCCTTTTCAAGTTGTTCCTCACCTGAATCAAATCAAATACTTTACTCGTCACATAACATTACAAAATTGAGCATAGTTAAAGTAACAGACATTTCCTAATTGGAAAAATGATCAAAAAGATCAACTTTTGTTTAAAAACCCTTATATTTTAGTGTTGGCCTATTGTTCTTTATCAAATCATAATTAAATAAAGCCGAAATTCCTCCTAGGGTATTTCATGATTGCTAAAGAATCAGCTTAGTTTAACCTTCCCCTTGAACTGCAATGGTATTTTAAATTATTTCTCCTACAGTCACCCGACAAAGTTGGCTTCCCTGTACTGTTTATAGTACAGAAAGCTGCTAATTGCTGCATATTTATACTTTGCCGCACGGTTTATACTTTGCCGCACGGTTTATACTTTGCCGCACATCAGGATTCCAACCAAACAACACAAAACAGCGTGGTTTTATTATGCACGTAATCCGTGTACGCTTGGAAATAGGTTGGCAACACTTAAAGATAATAATACTATGAACAGCTGATTGACTATTATAACTACGATTTAACCTGTCATTTCGTGTTTATAGTTTCGGTATTTCTGAACTTTCTGGACTTTTCTTTTAAACGTTTTTAAAACATTCCTACGGTCTTAATAAACAAGAAAATACCTTTAAAGCATTTTTTTAGGCGCGGAAACCACTTCAAATTACAAAAACATACGGAACTATATTCTCAAAAGACGGAGCACATTTCTTGCCGAGGAAAAATAGCGGAGTGATACGGACCACGGGTACTACTTTCTCCAGGGCACCATTTGTGTAATTGTGTTGCTAGGTGAACCTAAAAACGTGTTGTATAGTGTTTGAAAGACTAATTATTTATGTTTTATAGTGACTGTAGGAAAAATATAATGTGTAACACGAGTGAAAAAGGCCTTTGCTGCACTCGAGATCATTCCGCACTCGCCTGCGGCTCGTGCGTAAACATTGCTCTCGTGTGCAGCAAAGTGCCACTTTCACCACTAGTTACACAAATAACTATTGTTAAGTAAAGCTTCAAAATGGCATACTGTTGGGGTATATGCATACTTCTCCTAGGGCATTATACAATTCCTCAACAGGATCTTTCCTGTTGTTTAAATACAAATTTATATTTTTGCATTCGAGCAATTTAACTTCAAATTGTTTTGAGAAAGCCAACTAAACATTTTGTCAAGAGTAGATTGTCAAGTGTGTCTGCAACTTTTAATTTACTCTCCATCTTATGTTTTCATTGGCTGCTGATCCATCATCTGCATAGATAAAAAGGTGTGTTAATATTGAAAGACAAATGAATAGCCGCTTAGTATTAGAAACAAAGTGGGTCCCAGGATTGAGCCTTGTGGTACCCCACAGATACTTCTTAACAATCAAAATAAAACCATCTTGTCTGACCATTTTAATGCCCTTGAAATCTATTCTAGCAGAGAAAATTAGTCACCTTGGTCTTGTAATCGCAGTGGGGACAAGCGTGCTCTTTATTAGCCTTGTGAACCCGGCTGATGTGAACTCTCAGATTGTTTTTGTTCGTGAACGTTTTTCCACATTGCGGACAAGCTAACAGCTGTTTTGGAGCATCTCCCTGAAGATGTTCATTGCTCTCAAGATGGTTTCGGTAATTCCACAGCCGTTTGAAGGTCAATTTGCATTTCTCGCAGTACAGCTTCTTTTCACCTGAAAATAGATGAGAAGTGTTTAAATACAAATGTAAAAGTACAGAAACATAATATGAAAGTTACTTTAGTAAAGGCAACAAAGACAAATAATAGAGGAAATAATTCTGATGAGCGTGATGATGGGGGGGGGGTTATGGCTCTAAAGGACCTTTTTTTAGGTTTTTTGTAGATACTCTTGCAAAAATTTGCTCCCTTATTTGCTCTTTTGTTGTCTTTGTTGCCTGGACTGTTTTACTTGTTTGATCACATAAGTCAATTATTGTTATAATAGAACTGAGGCAAATCCAATTTAAAACACAGTAAATCAAAAGCAATCTATATAAAGCCAAAAGTACCCATGAACTTTTGAGAAAACTACAAGTCACACCCCCATAAACCATATACTTAAAATGTTCGTCATGACGAGAAACCTTGCGCAAAATTATCCATTATTTCATAAATTGTCCTATAAGGTCGTAATTGCTTTCCAAAGGGAACTTTCCATTTACCTAATGTTAAAAATACCACAGCTGCTGTTATTATCTGTTTGTATTACCATTACTGTATTCTGTTTTGTTTATTTCATCTTAACTTAACCAATCAATAGTTTTATTAATACAAATGTAGTAAAACGGGGTGGAGCCCGTGGGTAACAGCTAGTCTTAATAATTATTGTTATGTAAATATTTTTTACTGTCAACTCCAGGGAAATTTTTACACGAGACACATGAAATAACGTTTTTAGGGAAAGCGGTCAAGAAGCCCATATGTGCTGGGAATCAAACGTGTCCTTCCCGCACGCAGTCTGTGACGCTAACTGCTAGGGAGATAAGTTATAGTTGAACTGCCAATTTGAGTTTCCTTATGGCAATATGACCATTATTAAGGAAAACATTATTACATGACAATAAATGTTCACACACTCATGTGTTTACTGTACTAAGATTTATCTACAAAAATAAACATACTTATGTCACTTGGTAAAACAGTACAGTCGTAAAATGTATTTTGATAGTGCTATGGAAATTCTACAACTCCCGATATACCCATTAACACTATAATTGTCTGCTGCGGTTTGATGTCCTTAGTTTACACGGTAAATTGGCAATTATTTTGAACTTCCGGGTCCTGTACAAAATGCACATACAATCCACAGACTTTTTCCCAGTGGTCATTACAATTCCCAGTTGGCTGGATGGCGATGGTTACCTGTGTGCTCCATCATATGATTGTTGAGCTGACTGCGTGTGAGGAACAGTTGGCCACACTGTGCGCATTGCAGCTGAGGCTCCAGACCTTGTACTGAGTGTCCCGTCGCAGCGTGAGCCTCGGCCGCCTTCTTGGACGAGAACCCTTCACTGCACATCTTGCACTTGTACTTCTCATGCTCCTGGAAACATCGAGGTTGGTTATTGACTGGGTAGCCAAGTGGTTATAGTGCTCGCCTTCAAGTCTAAAGATCGCTGGTTCGATTCCAAGTTAAAACGTTCCAGACCCAGATGTAATTTGTCATTGTGTTGTAAATTATTTGCTAAACAAAAGTTCAAAGATGAAAGCTGACACAAGGGATGGGTTCAGCCTTCTTGTAGCTGCCAAGTTCGACAAGGGCACACGCATAACATTTCGATTCCGGGCTGTATTCGGCAACTAAGAATACCTGTATTTAGTTATGTACTGAATGTACCAGTAGGGGTCTCAATCCCGGGATCCCAATTTCCGGGATCCCGGCCGATTTTTGATACCTAGAAATCCCGGGATTGGTGACTTTTAATCACGGGATTGCAAAACCTATGTTTATATTGATTGTTTTGTGACTTTGAGGACTTTTACTTACGGAAAATTAATAAAAATAGCCCAATAACACTTGAAACACATATACTCTTTATTTTTAGGACGATTATATGAAATTGTATAAGTAATGGTCTTTTTTGATTGGAAGATTTTATTACAGTATCATTAAACTCAATAGGCGAACAAATGTAGGCCTAAATATATGTTTCAGTTTTTAGAGGAGGATTTGGATTTACTTTCTGTAAATGTTATTACATTACCTAGTTAGAACTTAATTACAGTAGGCCTACAAGTTATTTTGAGTTTTACTTTTAACATTAAACGTAAACAACGCAATTCGTGTAGCAAACATAACATTGCAATCGGAAATTTAAGTATTATTTTCATTGAAGCCATAAAATATAACTATAAACACACTAAGATTGCTTATATTTAGGGTCTATAACTTTTATCTTCGTATTTGGTTATTAGTGTGGTGATTAAATTTCTTTCAATCTAAAATTACGTTTTTCATACACACGCTACAACATAAGCATATATGGTTTATTGTTTTACAGTATCTTATATTGTTTTATTGCTGTAAGTCAAAATAACATTTTTACGCTGCTACTCGTGATTCTTACCATTTTATCTTTTTCTCTTATTTAGCTATCTTTAATTAATCCATCTATTAGCATGGTATAGCCTATGCGTGAGTGCGGTTGCTCGTGATTTATTTAAATGTATTTATTATATTCTAGAGTGACGTATCGACATTTATACACTGTAAATAAGAAATATGGGCAATGAAAGTTCCACGTGGTAATATTTATTTACTTAAAAAACTGAAACATTGTGCAGTGTAACACTGGTAAGGCCAGTTTAATACATTAAAGTACTTAACAAGGGGACTTCTCGCTCACTTAAAATGGCTTAAAAGTTAAAAATCATAATATTGTATAATCCTGGGATTGATCCCGGGATTGGCTGAGACAAATCCCAAAATCCCGGGATTGGATTGAAGGCCCGGAATTTAGACCCATGTACCAGTCAGATACACACCCGCCATTTTAAATATCACTCGTGTAGCCAAGTGAATGTTCATTCCTTACGGAGCTGTATTCTATCTACTGCAAGGAGCAGAAATCAAGAACTTTTGTCAGCCACAGGCACAGGAGTTATGTTTGCTGCGCTCCGCTTCACTCACTTTAACATGCAGCTGATACTGCTGTCTGCGGGAGAACGTCTGTCCACACTTGTCACAAGTGAAGGTGGTCAACTTGTGTGAGGCGAGGTGCGTCTCCAAGTCTTCGCTGTTTTTGAACATCTCTAGACAAACTTCGCACATCACATCACTGCCTGGGTGGGTCAACTGCAACATTCCACAACACTGTGTTTAACCTCTATGTTATCTAAAACTAACATAAGGGTATAATGTAAAAAGAACATCCATATAAAACCTTCTTAAAGATGCCACACACCGTGGCGAAATATATTGGATTAAACAACAAATTCTGCAAGAACAAAGGCTACTAAACAAGGTATATTAAAGAATTCAATCTCAAACTCACTTGAATGGAGAGATTTTTTATATAATAATGGTGAGTTTGATAAATTAAAATTAGGCTACTTTAAATGTGCATATTACAGATATACACAACTTATCAGAAAATAGTCATACACAATTGGTAGCACATTAGACTAATGAGTTTTGACAATAGAAATCCTATTCCTAAGCCTAAGTTGTAGCCAATTTTAGTATAAGAATGGACGTAATTGAACTGTGCCACTGACAGTTCGCTATTGTCAATTAACGATATGTAAAATAAGCTAAGTGCTTAACCCAGCCAAGATAAAGAGGTAAATGATTTAATTTGAGCATGTTTTATGTCTTATCCATTTATCAAAGGATAGTATGGGGAGCGAGCTGGCGTAGTGGCACCTTCAGTCCCTGAGGTCCCGGGTTCGATCCCCGCCAAGTCACCAATGGATTTTATCTAAGTGATAATGCCGCAACCCCTAGGTCTAGTCTGAAGTAATGTGAAAAACAATCCCAGACTCGTGCCTAGCGTCCTAGGAAAAAAAACTATCAAAGGATAACAATTATCAAGGTAAGGGAGGGGTAGAATTTTGACAATAGATGTTTTGTAAATGGCCCATTCTACTTTGTTCTATTCAATAACAAATTAGCTACAGCTAATCCATAACACCGATAATACGAACCTTCAAGTGATAAACCAGAGAACGGCGCTGAGTAAACTGTCTGCTACAAATGTGACACCTGGCAATGAAAAACAATCATACAAGTCATACTCAAAATTCAGCAACATAGGTAGGCCATATTTTGACATTATAAGAAACATACATATACAGGGTGATTGATATAAGTGTGCCAGCCGTTTTATTCGAAAACTATAAGAGATATCAAAAAAAGTTAAATAGTAAGTGCTTTGGATTTTTGATTTAAAAAATTGTAGTCAAGTCAAAAAAATTATTTTAGCCGCCATTTTTCAAATATGGCCGCCAACTTTGATTTTTCTTACGGAACACCCTGTATTTTATGATGTATTCTGGTAGAAAAAGTAATTTTAAGACGATTTTATACTTGTAATTTTTTTCATAAACCTAACCGTTTTAAAGATAATAATGGTTAAAGTTTTGAAATTTCTGCATGAGAAAGAGTTTCAATAAAGGCCTAAGCAAGCATGCCAGCTGTTTTGCTCGAAAACCATTCAAAATTTCACAACTTAAACCATTATTATCTTTGAAACGGTTAGGTTTATGAAAAAAATCACATGAATAAAATCGTCTTAAAATTACTTTTTCTACCAGAATACATCATAAAATACAGGGTGTTCCATAAGAAAAATCAAAGTTGGCGGCCATATTGGAAAAATGGCGGCTAAAATAATTTTTTTGACTTGACTATAATTTTTTTAATAAAAAATCCAAGGCACTTACCATTTAACTTTTTTTGATATCTCTTATAGTTTTCGAATAAAACGGCTGGCACACTTATATCAATCACCCTGTATATATATACAGGGTGTCCCGTAAGTAAACAGCCAAACTCCTAGAAATGGTGCCATGGGTCAAAATAAAGAGAAAATTAAGAATAACAATTGTTCCAAAATCGCTTTGTTAACCAGATATCCGCCATTTTATATTTTTTACATAAACATTTTTATTTTAGGATTTTTTCAACCGATCTTTATAAAACTTGGTAAGGCCTATGCAGATTAAGGTAGAAGAGCTCCATGGTAAAAAAAAAATCATCTTGATTCAACTTAAAATTTTTAAATGGCGGCCATTTTCATTTTTTTAGCTTAAATTACTCAAAAACAGATAATTTTATGAAAAAATGCCAAGAATACTTTTATTTAGCATTTTTAATTCCCTATCAAACGATACCGGTACCAATTTCAGATTGAATATGAAATAGCTGAAATATTACGATTTATAGTTGTAAAATGGGGTAGAATAAGGCAGAAGCTAGTCAGGTTTGCCCCATTTTACAAATAAAAATCGTAATGTTTAACATGGGGCTCTTCTACAACCTGCATACCAAGTTTTATAAAGATCGGTTGAAAAAATCCTAAAATAAAAATGTTTGTGTAAAAAATACAAAATGGCGGATATCTGGTTACTGAAACGATTTTGGAAAATTGTTATCCTTGATTTTCTCTTTATTTTGACCCATAGAACCATTTCCCGGAGTTTGGCTGTTTACTTACGGGACACCCTGTATAACATGTTGTGTAATTTTATTAAAAAAAGGGAAAAGGGTACTTATTTTATATATTATTAGGCTAATATATACTGAGTCGTCCAGTGGTCGAAAACTCAAACAAAAATATGTCATGTACAGACTTCTCTAATTTCACCCCACGCTGTAAAGGAAACATGTGATTGGAATTTTTTTTAATTTGTTTTGATTTTCTGTTTATATTTTGTTGTTATTTTGTCCCCAGCATGGCAACCCATAAGGCCCATGTTAATTTGTTTGGATTTTAAATTAATTGTTTGTGCTTATTTTTGAGCCTATATTAATTTATATCCTGCAAATCTACAGGCATGTATTTTTCCAACAGCATGCGTAGATTTTTTTCTGCGATGCACACAAGCTGGGAAAGGGGGCTTAAAGAAACATGCTTGCCTATTAATATATAGGCTAGATATTCCTATTATTTTTTTACTTTGTTAGACTTAGAACAAGTAAGAGTTTGATTTAAGCCTAGTCTTCATTTTAACATTTAACTGCTAATAAAATAATCAAATCTCTTTTGGCAGTCTTTATTTTAATTATTATTTTAAATATTTATACTGTATTGAACTGGCTGGGTAGCTGAGTGGTTATAGTGCTCGCCTACTAATCAAAAGGTCGCCGGTTCGATCCTGAGAAAAGTCAGTAGCTTTTTGATGGTTCAAAACTGGACCCAGCTGTTCCTGATCATTGGGCTTTAAATAAATGATCCTGGCTAATGAAACAGCTGATCTTAGTCAGTAACAAAGCTACACAGATCATCTCACTCCATTCTACACTCATCCTTCACTCATATTTGGGTTAAAATACGCACCTAAGTGGCGTCCCCATCTTAATGATTGATAATTGATAATTGAATATCAATAGCCTACTCAGTAACAAAAATAATGTAAATATAAACTCTCCATGAAGTGAAGTCACCAAATTATGGGACACCGGCTACCCATAAGCACTGAGGTAGTGTCCACCATCAGCACTGGTGCAGTCTCACTGACTAATTACCAATTGAAATCACTCTAAATAAAACATGCTATGTTTTACTATTATCTGCCAAAATTAACTACCTACTATAGTACTTAAGGAAAACGCTCACTTTGTCCCCACACGCGGGAACGACAGATCGCACTAGCGTGCACAAAGTAAACTGAGAAGAATATTCGCGAACGAAATATCGCCTTCCTCTGGCCAAGCCTGAGCTCACACTGAGTTTTCGTCGGTTGGTTTGGATGCAAGTATCCCAAGCGCATTTGCCGCCGGATTATGAAAATACAAGAGGCTAACTTGATTAAATTAAAAGGGGGCTTTAAATAAAGCCTGCAAGAAGGCGATCACAGGTGACAATGACTATGTTTTGTGATCATGGGAGATGTTCACGATTTCACCGCTATTGCGGGGCCGCTCGGGTTGATTTAGCCTCGGGCCACTAGAACCCTAAATACGAAACTGAATGTTAGTAGGCCTAATGATTATCTCTGAGACACATGAAAAAATACGAGTTAATAAAAATGCTTAAGAATGTCTGAAATGTGCGAACGTCGGATGAGTCTAAGTAAAAGACGGAGGGGTGCCGACGGACGAGTAAATTTCTTGTATGATTTCTGCTATGATTAGATTTGGGAAAAATAATAATGAAGTAGTGGGAGTATGCGTAAGGGTCTCCTTCCTTAAAATATATTATTTACCCTTACTCCTACAGTCCTATTTGGCAATGTAAATACACTTTTAACCTCTAGAATTGAATATATAACATTTATATGGCCCTTTAAATTTATTACCAACAACAAGAGTCAAAATTGAGCAATAAACCTTTACCAAAGGTCAATACTGAAAACATTTTTACTGTCAGGACTACTGGCTCATACGTACTTTCTGTCCGTGACTAAAATAATCAAAGTATAGAATTTGGTAGCAGTGTTTCCATACAAAGGATCTTTATTTCGAAAACACCAATTTTAGACTATATGTACGGTTAAAACCAAGATTTTTGGCTCTGAGGCCTGTTTTAGCGAATTTCCCTATAGGGAAGTAGCTATTACCGTAGGTCTCATGGTAAGACTTAGGCCCGGGACCGATTTACTTTTTCATTTTGATGTCCCCAGAGGCCAAAAACACCATTCGTTCAAATTTTTATATATGTATATATATATATATATATATAGATATATAGATTTATATATATATGTGTCAGTGAACACGATAACTTGAGTAATTTTTATCCGATTTTGATGAAATTTGGTTTGAAGGTGTAAGGCGGGATAAACTTGAATGAGTTCGCGATCCAGCATGATCGGACCATGGGAACACGATTTTATGGGGGGTTTTATGGGGTAAAAATTGGTTTTTCTCACTTTTGACCCTCAAAACACAAAATTTTCCAATTTTTCTCTAAACCTTCTTAAAGAGCTTAAAAAAAACAAACAATTCAGTATATCAAAGTGTTTTTGTACGGTTATTGGTTACGGAGAAAACAAAAAAAAAAATTAAATTTAAAATTCCCATGTTATTCTTATGGAGAATATTGTAAAATGTTGTAGTTTGCTTATTTATGGATATCTTTTGATCAAACTTGGCAAATATATTCATTTTATACTAAGCAATAATTATTTTACTTAAAACACACTATTTATTAGTTTCCTTGTAGCAGCAAACCTAGGTACTCGTTAAACCTAATGTTATTTAAATAGACCAATTGAAAATCAATTCAGCCAAATGGAAATTCGCTTAGACGGCAGGTTTGCTGCGGCGGGGGTATTTTATACTGCTTTCCAGACTAAACCAACCCCAAATGATTAAATTATTTTAGAACAGTTTACAGCAAGGTTTAAAGAACTACCTTATTTTAAAATGACACGTGTACAAATTTACTCGGGATGGAACAGGAAATTTCATACGAAACAAAATGGGTTTTTTCATAATGTTAAAGCGGAATAAGAGAGAATTTCCTCCACTTGTATAGAGGGATTTTTGTTTTATTGTATTGGTAGGGTTGCTGTAGAGTGAAACTACAGATAGACCAAGAATTGGTTTCAAGAAGTGCTACTTAGCTGCCAATACCATTTTATCTAAAAAAGACATCTCACTTCATTTCACATCATCATTCACTCTACGAGTTGAAATGCAAGGCCTATCAAAGCCCATGCACCTTGGTACTTATATAGCGATGATTAACCAACCTGAACAAATCCTTGTTGATGGCTCCATTGTGAACATTGACAATGTGAATTTCCAGGTGTTTCTGTCGAGAGAAGTGATCGCCGCAAGTCTTGCACTGGTTGCGTTTGTGCGCACTGAGATGTGCATTGTACTGGCTCTCCCCGTAAACCAAACGTTTACACAACTTACACTTGAACACCTTACTCGACTTAACGCACATTCCCAACTGTTTGTGGCATTTGAACGCTAGCGAATTTTGAAACAACTTGGGGCAATCACTGCACGACTTGGGTTTTCCAGAATGTGATTGTACATGTTCCAATAGATTGCGTTTATTTTCATACTTTTTTTCACACTTGAGGCACTTCAGGGATGTTTTACAATCGTCCTCGCTCTGTAAATCGCTCTCTTCACTGATGAAAATTAAATCTTCTGCATTTGTATCTGAAGATGTTTTTTCCACATGACTAGGCCTATTGTGTGTAGAATGTTCGGGAAGCTTGACGGACTCTGTTCCTATAGGTGCAGACCTTTTGTATACTTCTGAAAACATTACATTTGTCCAAGAATTGGTCATATATTGCTGAAATTAGACTTTAAATAACTATGCACTACAGGTAGGCTGTTTCCCATGTTTATTACTCTGTAGATAATGTACTTATCCTTAATATCTAACACCCAAATTTGAATTTAAAACAATAAATACCTTGATAAACCCTGGCGCTTAGCCGATTTGCATATACTTTTTTGCATTTCCATTCACAAATTTTAATATTTAATCCACATTCAAGATTCAACATACATAAGGTTAGGATCATGGAAAAATTGGCCTAGATATGCTGAGGGAAACGCAAACAAAATATTTTGGTTTGATTACAAAATCCTGTCAAGGAGTGAATAAATTGGCAGATATTATTATTATTATTATTAGTTGCACAGTATAAGAAATTAACAATTAGGCTAAGTTTTCACCAAAAGGGTAAAATTATATAGTTTATAAAGGGAAATGTTCGCTTTGTATCCAGAAATGTTTCAGCTTACCATTCGATTCAAATCCCTCAAAAGCAATACTTTTCTCTAATTTAGAATTTTCACTTCTCAACATTGGACAGTTGCTGGGTCCGTCGTTGTTTTGAACTTTGTTGCTGATCCCTTCTGACTCAACTAAAAGAAAATCATGCTTTGCAATTACATACATTAAATTCAATGAATATAAGTGATTATGATTAAAACCAATTAAAGTTAATTTTATTCATTTTCATCCAACATTGTCATTGTTAACGACATAGAAATAGGATTTGTTAAGTAAGGTTAAACAAATGTAAATGCAAGAATTATTGTTCAATTGCATGGAATGGGTTACTGGAGAGCTATCTCACTTTGATTTGTTTGACCCGAGATTTGGCTGTGCTAATTTGTAAACTTTTCCTTATCTTAAGAAAACGGGAATCGGAAATCCTCATACATCATGTATTTGTTGGTAACACACATAGTAAAGATAATGAAATCTAGCCAATTGCCAAATTTGAGGACAGCCAATGATCAGACCAATCCACAAGGTAGGGCCAACTGCCAAATTGAAATCCCAGGTTCTAAGTTTGATTCCCATGTCCTAGCACATAAACTGCTTTCAACAATTTTTTTTTGTTCTGTTCGTATAAATATTTAAGGTTATTTTACTAATAAGGTTGAACAAGTTATTGAGATTTTGTTACTCTGTGTGAAACTAACGTAGATTCAAATTACATTCATTAAAGCAGTGTTTCCCAACCTTTTTCCGTTCAGGGCACACTAACTAGAACACGTTTGTAGTCACGGCACACTTTTCTACAAAAATATTGTGACAAAAATATCATGACCACAGTCGTGTCCACCGTGCTACCTGCGTCAGTGTGTTCCTTATAAATGTGGCCGGCTACCTTCATTAAATGTATTTTGTGTTAAAAATGTGTAAACTTTATGTTTAATGTTGAATGTAATTTTTAATGTTGAACTTTATGCTTAATTAACAAGATGACGTGTATTTGTATCTTATAACAAGGCTTCTATCAGTTCGTACATCAGTCCCGGTGGCAATAATGTTCGAAATATCAAGGGATAAGAAGTACTTTATTATATTTCCTTCAAACAGACGCAGACTTTTCAAAATTGGAAACATGGATTCAACACTGACAAGTAATTCTACACAAAAGATTGTGTTCTCATGAACGCGCAACCACACTTAAAGCACCTCTATTACGACATCAAAAGTTTTTTAACTACTTCAAATTTTGCGGCACACCTACAGAGGCCTACCGGCACACCAGTGTGCCACGGCACACTGGTTGGGAAACACTGCATTAAAGGTTTTAACTTAATTTTGAGTTACCTTCGACTAAAGTAAAACTGTTTTTACAGTCTTCAATGCATTCTTGAAGAATTTTGATTGCCTTGTCTCGTTCATCGGGTTTAAAGAAATTCAGAGTGTCAGATAATGAATCCAACTAGAATAAAAAGAGAAAAAAAGCTAATATTAAGATGAATCATAGTAGTAAATTAACTTAGTTTAAATTTCCAATACTGAAGTCAAAGAATAGGTTAAGGCCAGAGGCTAGAATTGTTCCTTGAGACAAGTGGCGACTGGTTACCTTAAGGAGGTTCACAATGCTTGATTGAATTTAGTGTACTTCAGTGCACTTTGACTTTCCAACGCTACCAAATGCTACTTTTTTATTTCAAATATTATATTATTATTAGATATTTCAAATGTCTACTATAGTTCGGCCGCTTAGAAAGCAACCTCCTCTAGCATTGGTTAGCATTAGCGCGCAGGTCGCTTTTTAAGCGGCTGGACTATAACATGTAGAGAATACTAGCAAGAGGTGCACGAGCGCAGACAATGTTGTTTGGGGATCCTCCCATCCCAGTAGATTTACCTTTTTCAAAAATGCTTGCATTTTTGAAATAGTAATTTGAAGTGTTTTTCTCTGGATTTTAACTTTACAAAAACAGTCTGCAGGCGACATAAACCAACAACTCAGTTGCATTATAACCTAAACTTTAACTTACCTCATCCAACCTACCTTAAAAGGACTTAGTGCAGTCACCAATTTACATAAAGCACGACCTACTACCCTGACATGCCTTTTCTGACATAAAATGGAGTTTGCTTGCATTCTAGAGGTTTGGTTAGGTTAGGTTACGTTAGAATAGCACCATTTTATTATGTAATTTCTAAACGATGTAATATAAATCAATAAATTATTAATAAGAATAGAATACTGGTGACAATAATACAATTTATTGAATGTGTTCGCTTATTGGTCTTAGAATGTGAAAAGTGAAACTCAATCAGGTGATTTTCATATTTCAGAATCAGAGTTAGCTTATAAATGTTCACTTCCATTTGCTTTTGACTAGCCTATGATTCAAAACAATCAGCTGTTGGCTTACTTAACCCATAGTTCATTCCACTTGTAAATGCCATCCATCCTACCTTGCTTATTGTAATGTTGTATATTATTATGGCGATATCTTGAGAAATATTCATCAGCTGTGAAAAATAATGGTATATTTGGATTCACGAGGTAAAAAAAACTATTAAGTAAGATATCAAAATTAAAAATTTGTTTGGAGGCACCTACACGGAATAATTACCGGTATAGCCTCTTGCTCACTGATTTTTACAATAAAAGGTTTCAATTAGTGGTGGGAATCACCGAATGAAAATAACCTAATCAATCGGTTATTGATGCTGAATAGACTAGTTCGGTTATTTTATCCTGGTTCGGTTAAATTAGTCTTACCGAGCGATTCGGTGGTTTAGTTATTTAGTCACATCATCAGGAAACTAAAATTTATTCGGCGATTCGTTCAACTAAAAATCACCGATTGACGCTAAAAGACTAAATGGCATTCAGTTTCCCATAAGATAAAAATTAGTTGTGCTTCGTGACAGTGAATAATGACTAAAATTGATTCGGTGATTCATTCAACTAAAAATAACCAATTGACGCAAAAAATAACTGATTGATTATTTGGTCATAGAAACCATTCGGTTATCCCATCACTAGTTTCAATACCTTAATCCGTCGAGTGATCCTGGTCAACCAGGATCACTTGAGGGATAAGTTACAGGTAATTTAAATCAATAATATTTAGGTCAATAACTTAGAATAATGAAATTAATTTTAGGATCTACTTTTGTTCTTATTTACAAGTAATGAGTAGTAATAGGCCTATTTAATGTTTATACGTTTACCAATAAAATAATACACAATGTAATATTAGTTACAGCCTAGGGCCTATAAGCAAAATCGAGTCCAAGGCCTAGGTGGTCCCACGTACCTGTTTCCTAAAGTCATTCAAATCCTTGACAGAGTTTAATTCATTCATGTTTGGCGAGATTTATCACATTAAAATTTATGTAAAGTTTAATTTCACTAACATAATCCATAAACAATTAGCATTCAAGACCCTAAATCCTAAGTTTACCGTTTACCTAAATCTTAGCTAGCATAGCAACATAACCTAATAATAAAAAGCTGTTTTGTTTTTGTTTTAATGTTTTTGTTTTTTTTACAAACTAAATATTTTTGTTTTTAAAGTTCTCCATTGCAAAACACTATTATTGTACAAACATGTAGCCTAGTTTACCACCCAAATATAATCAATGCCATATAGCGTGGATTTTAATTCAAATTATATTCATAAGCATACAACAAAACAATAATGCTAATGAGTTGAATGGTTGAATGAATCGGAGCTATAGGACCTTGCACTTAGATTATGATGTGATAAAACGGAGTATGCTTTATCTATGATAAAACATACTCCCTTTCAATTTGCGATAATAATTTGTTTCTTGATATTTCAGTTATTTTAAACATCATAAACTAAATAAAACTAGAAAATCAAATATCTTATTTCTCTAGTTATATGACCAAACAGTAAAGCAAAAATCATGAAAATAATCGTAATATAATAAAAATTAAATTCCTTTGACACCAGTCAGTGCCATCAGTCAAAGCCACCTCTCTCTAGCTACCAGGGCTTTGACCCGCAGCTGTCAAGATGTATATGCTCCTAGCCTCCTAGCGAGCAGGAGCTTCACGAGATGTAGCGCTAGTCGCCACAGTCAAACACACTGGACTTGGACTTATAATATTACATTGAAATAGTCTATGGCTATTACATCTATATTTGTACTAGCTGTACCCGCGGGCTTTGCCCCGTTTAACTTTATAAGTGAGCTGGTTCGCATGGCTCAATCACGTCCTGGTTGAAGTTCGTTCGCCAAGCTCACTCACTTTTAGGTTGGAGGGTTCGCTACGCTAACCCGCCTCCAGGTTGAAGTTCGTTCGCTACGCTCACTCACCTTTTGGTTGCAAATTAGCTGTTGTCATAAATGTAAAAGAAATAATAGTGCTGCACCCTGTTGGTAATCCTTGTAACTTTAATGATATTGAACATCATAGAACAGAACCAACTTGTTTAATTGAAACAGCTGTTAAGATTCATTAATTCCATTTCTCATAAGGTTAACATGGGAAACTCTAGAGCCCCATGAGAGTGCCAACCAGAGGCGACGCGTGTCTGGACTCAGCCGCTACCAATTTTGACTCCTGGGACTTGAAAGCGGAGGTTGTTCCGTCCCATGTCGGTGACCACAACGGAGCTGTGGTCCTTACATTGGGACTGACCAAGGTAAGCAAAGAACCCCACTGGCTAGACTCTTACAAGATAGTGAAAAGGAAACTAGATTTAAACAATGTACCGACCCTATGTTGTATGCTAGAGAATATAAATTGGGAGAGTATCTACACAGTACCTGACGCTTCTGATGCATTTGGGATGTTTTCTGGTCTTTTCCAGGAACAATTTGACTTGGTCTTTCCAGCTAGAGAAATTAAGAAAAAACCGCAAGCTACAAAATCTCAATCCACCAAAGTAAGTAACAAGCCTAACAGTTGGTATACCCCAGAATTAAGCAAGCTGCGTTCACTGATGATTTTAGTCCATGATCACTACAAACTGACCCTTGACCCTGCTCTGAAAATTAAATACCTCTCACTCTATTCTAAAATAAAAAAATACTACAGTTCCAAAGTTAGGTTAGCTAAGAAATTGTCCAATGCACAGACCATCTTGAATGCTCCAAATTCATGTAAAGCCGCTTGGGGCATCATCAACCAACACAGACCATCCACTCATGTACCATCATCTCCATCATCACCCGACGACTTCAATGACTACTTTTCTGGTATTGCTGATAATATAATCTCTTACCTACCTCTGTTACAGCCTAACTCAGTTGACTACCTCCCGGACCTAACCCCAACTGTCACCCTTAGAAATTGGAAAAAGGTGAGTGAGAAAGATCTAATTAAAATAGTACACAACTTTAAAGATTCTTTTAGTCAGGACATAAATGGAGTTTCTAGTCATATTCTTAAATCCGTATTTAAATCGATTGCTGCCCCTCTTGCTTATTTAGTCAACAGCTGTTTGGCTAAAGGTGTTTTTCTCGAAAACCTGAAGTTAGCTAAAACCATTCCGATTTACAAGAAGGGTGACCCGGCACAGCCCGCAAACTTTCGGCCGATATCAATTCTTCCTGTTTTCTCTAAGGTTCTGGAGTCAGTAATGAAACAGCAACTGGTGGCCTATTTCGAGAACAACAATCTGTTTAACGATTCTCAACATGGGTTTAGGGCCGGAAGATCCACAACCTCTGCACTCCTTAGCTTAGTCAAGAACATCTCTGATGCCTTTGAATCTAATGACTCCGTCCATCTCAGTCTCTGTGATCTTAGCAAGGCATTCGACGTGGTCTCTCATGACATCCTTCTTGCCAAGCTTGGCAAATATGGCGTCACTGGAGTAGTCCACAAATCAATAGTTAGCTACTTAGAAAACAGGAAACAAATTGTTTCGTTGCAGGGAGCCTCCTCCAGTATCAGGCAAATACACCACGGCGTGCCCCAAGGATCGATTCTGGGCCCTGTCCTGTTCGTCATAATGATTAAAGATCTGTCCCTAAATAGACGAACGCTGCTCTTTGCAGACGACACAACACTACTGACCAGGCACGGCAACCTGAACGACCTGAGAACCGAGGCAGCATTTCTGCTGGATGAGGCCAAAGAATGGTTCGTTTTGAATCGCCTTAAAATCAATGACGATAAAACACAATCCATCACGTGTACCCTCAAACAGGGCATCGAAGACGAGGCGGTCAAACTGCTAGGATTCTGGATCGATTCCAAACTCAACTGGAACCTCCATGTGGAGAGAGTGTGCGTCAGGCTAAGCAGAATATTATATCTGATCAGGAAACTGAAGCATGAGATTACACGTCCCTACCTAGTCATAATGTACCATGCATTATTCCATAGCCACATAAATTATGGACTGGTGGTATGGGGCCATTGCTACGCGACCCAGAGTGTGCTGTTGCTGCAGAAGAAGGCGCTAAGACTAATAACATCCTCTGGCCCTACCGATCACTGTAGACCTCTTTTTAAAGAACTTGGCATACTATCAGTTTTCAGCCAGTATGCGCTAAACACCCTAGTTCTTCTGAGAGAAAATATAAACAACTTCTCAACCAGAAACATGCAGCACAACTATGGAACCCGCAGAGCCTATGACCTGGATGCACCCCGTTGTCGACTTAGCCACACGCTTAACTCATATCCATCTCTAGCGATAAAATTATTTAATACGCTACCGACAACCATCCGGACCCTAGAACCAAAGCAGTTTAAGTCTGCACTTCGCCAGAGCCTAGTCAGTAGGCCTCTGTACTCCATCAAGGAACTGATTGACAATCCACTCAACTTTCCAAAAATCCGAGTCACATCCGTCAGTACAGTTTAAATTGTATATATATATGTTTATAGTAGTGTTTTATAAGTTACTCTTTTTTGACGCAATCTATCCAACGTTTGTTGGTCAAGGATGAAGGAATCAAGTATTCAAGTATAAGTAAGTAAGCCACTGGGGCCGGGGTGGAGCCCGAGAGTCCTATCAGAATAAAAACTACTTAGTTTTCCTGAGTGAGTGAGTCAGTCAGTCAGTAAGGGCTTTGCCTTTTAGATATATTAAATACATCTATAACTTAACATTGCTGTTGGATTGATGGATGAATAATAGCTAAAGGGGAAAATTTGTCTGTTGCCTAAACTTTTTAGGTAAAGTAAATGGTATGCCTATAATTTGTTTAGATACTTAACACAGCAAAAATAATTCAATTCAATAACTACCAGTAAATATACTTCATTATTGACTTTGACGCAGTTGTTGAAAAATGCAGGATGATTTCTTACCAGACAGAATGTTTCATAATCGACGCTTTACCCCTTCTTCTAAACATACTAGTTCTTCTGGTCTCTTCCTAAAACTTATCCAGCCTACCTCTCTAACCTAAAAACCAAATCAAACTCTAAACCTAACCTAACCTTTACTTTTTACTTACAAAGCTTATTCAATATTCAGTCAGATCAGAGATCAAATTCAAAGTAATGAAGTAGGCCTATTAACTTAATTAAGTAAAGTAAAGTTGTAAGTTGTTGACTGCTGTAGTGAACAAGTGAACGGTTATTTAATTTCATAGTTATTTTTGTTTTAACTGCTGCAATGGGTAAAATTTAGGTAGGCCTAATTATTTAGTTCAAATCCCCCATTAGGCTTAAACCTGTCTTGGTTAGCTAGCTTACTCCAACTTTTTAGAGTTATAATCTTTATTAGCAAGCTAGCTACTAAGTTCAGGATACTTATACGGGTACAGTTTCTTAACTGGGCTATGCTAATATCGATTGAAACTACCGAATTGGAAATATTGATTAATAATCAATATTTTTAAATAGGCTATATCTATTATAAAATTAAACTATCATAACCTAACCTAACCTACCAAACTTGCTGATGGTGAAAAATCGCATTAGGGTTTACTAATCGAAGCGATAGTTTCAATCGAAATTAGCATAGCCCAGTTAAGAAACTGTACCCACTTATACATTGTTGTAACTACACATAGGTACGGCAAGTTGCAAACATAAATTTCTGGCTGCACTTTATTTACGTGCTACCCTCATTCGAATGAAAATATCGATCGATTGATTATTTCATTTGATATATAGTAGAACCTCTTCAATCCGAACTAATTGGGACCAGGTGTAGTTCGGACTATTGAATAGTTCGGATTACATAAAATATTGTTGTTTTACATAACAATAGCTAGGGATAAGTGAAAAATGCTTTATAAAGTAAAATACTGCGTTTATTTAATACAGTTAGTAAACATAGGGAATAAACAGTAAGTTGAGACAATTGAAATAATTACGGTGCGTATATCAATAAATACAGTATACAATAAAGAACTACTGTACTGTGTACATAGAGTACAGCAATGAGGCATTCGGATTAAAGAGGTTCTACTGTATCAAGTTTGGTTAGTTAGGTTTAAATCTAACTGAATGAATAATCAATAATAGGTAACAAATAATCTACGGTTAGTTAGGTTTAACCCTCCGAGTGTTAACTTATGTGTCGTAAAAGCGACTCATAACACATCCGCTGTAGTGTTATGCGTTGCTTTTGCGACTCACAAACACTGTTTACGGCGACGGCTCTGGGACTGACTGAATCGTATTGAACTGGATCGAGTTAGGTATGGGTTTTTTCAGCAGATTCAGAGCTTTCTCCTGATGTCTGTTTCTAGACACTTTTAATTTTAGTTCCGAAAATATTGCAGCAGACAGCTGACGTGGTATTTGTAAACAGCTTGGTTAACCTCGCACCGATGACTGATGTGTTTTATTACGTTTATCATTGTTTTAGTGTTAAAATCAAAAGTAGTGATATACGTGGTGCATTATAAGAAGATTTAAGTGATTTTGAAGGGCTGGTTGATGATCCTAAAGAAGTGGTAGTGATATTGATGTAAATTATCAGCCAGATTCCTAGCTATGGTTAGGCTATGCATTCTTAGCTAAACGCTATGTACCGAAATCTGTTTTTTGCCCATAACTTATTTATTTGCAAACCTAGGCTACTTCCTTATATTATTATATTTTTGGAATCCTCATAAAATTCTGAACAAAGTGGCTATTTTAAAATATTTGTAGACCTATAAATTATAACGGCTGCACTTTACTTTAGGTCCTACACTCATTTGAATGAAAATATCGAATTGATATATCGATTAATCTATTGTTTCATTCGATATATCGTTTGGTTAGTTTGGCTGCACTTAAGTTAACGTCCTTCACTCAATCGAATGAAAAATATTGATATGTGTAGATTATTCGTTACCTATAGGCTATTGATTATTCATTCGGTTAGATTTAACCCTCCAAGTGTCTATAGTTTTGGTCTTAATGTTCGCCCATTTATATTAGGTATATTTGTTCACCTATGTAGAAGCCCCCTGCTTGTTTGGGCCAAGGTAGGCCTAATTTTAAAGTAGGCTATATGTTAATTTACTTTATTTACCTATGATTGAAGAATACTTCAGGTTCATGCCTAAAAATTATTTGCTTACAGAATGGAGCAAGCTATCATAGATCTTGAGGAACAATTTCTCAATACTGTGAAGAGACTTGATGACATCGAATGGAAAGTAGAAAGCACTCAGACGTATAAAAATAACAATTGTGAATCTATAGTGAAACTTATAACGGAGAGCAAAAGTTTAAGCAACAATTTTGATAGTATTTCAAGCGAACTGGCAGAATTGGACCCTAACCTGGATGACATAAGGTCCAAACTGAGAAATGCTTATCAATACCATGCAATAAACTTCGATTCTTTGAACAGAAACGTGCAAGCCTTCCAGAGTTCGTCACCATCAACTGGATGTAACAAAAATTAAGGTACCTAGGCCTAACTTAACTTGGGCATCAAAGGTAGCATCTGAGCCTCGGCTTATCCGAGGTTGTTTTAGGTCTAAATAAGTTAACTTAGGCTATGTATATTTTAAATTTTCAGTCAGAAACAAATAATTACCGGCACCTTAGCCTTACATTGATAAGGTATGTTTTTTTTTTCAAGTTTAAAGTAAAAACCGCTCTTATTTTCTATATGGGAAATTCGCTGATACAAATTAAATTATGATTAATTAAAACTAATGTAGTCTACGTAAGAATTTTTTTTATGTAAATGATCCGCAATAACATACGCACACAGTGTTTAATAGAATTTACTAATTTCCATTTAACAAAAGTATCTTTATTACTGAACTCAATCTGTGTACAACTTGTAAAAAATTCAAATGTAAACAATAACAATAATAACATAATATGACATATGATTATACACAGATCAAGGAATACTTTTAACCAAACACACAGTATTAAGGCGGGGACACACTTGTCATACACCCTTCCGATCCGACTCCGATCATACTGCGGTACGACTGTCGGAGAGGGGAATGGTACATAACATTGAACGCGGTTGTTTACACCTCTCCGACACGCTTCATGTCATACTCCGATCCTACTCCGATTTTGACTCCGATCACGCACCGACACTGCAGTCTATTCGTTTGTCGGATGCAGGACGGGTTATTTCTTTAAAATCACCTTTATTGGAACAATTGTTTGAGATAAATATATGCCGATGGTTGATTTGAAATCTGTGCGTGCATACCTTCAATTCGAGACCACAATCATGAAAATCGGACGGGTAGGAGAGCTAAACGAACTCGAGAGAGAAAAACCTATAATATATAAAATGGGCACTTCTGCTTTCCTTCCATGCAGAATGGACCAAAATTCTCCGTTTTCCACTGCCCTCCAGAGTTGTCTGACTTTCTTCCTCTTCACCTAGACAAACCATGGCTAAATCCTGAATACAAAAGTTTTTGAACATACAGTATTTATCACCTTCTGCACGTAGTTTACGTTTACGAATCAGACTGGCGAGTGTTGATCTACTCGGTGGAGGAAATCGGAGATGGGTCGCCGGTTCGGAAGCGTGTATGACATGTGTGTTCACCCCCTCCGATCCCGCACCGATCCTTCTGGAATCCCGCAAATCGGATCGTAGTAGGATCGGAAGGGTGTATGACAAGTGTGTCCCCGCCTTTAGATTGGCTGCCAACTGTTGGCAATCTGGACGAGCCGTCTGCAGAGTGTAAAGGTTAGCAGTGGCATTACCGGCTCGTAGGCTATCGCTTTTTGTCAATCTTTGTCATTGCGATGTTGTGATGTTACTGTAACTTGATAGTGTCAAGTAAAGTAAAGCTCAGGTGGAACTCATAGGAAAAGTACAGTACAGTACTTCTAAAAATTCTTGATTGATTGTAGGCTAATGTTATACTTATACCCTAAACTAGAAAGAACTAAACAAAGGGTGTATCTGCAGTTGGAAGAAAGGTACAGAAGGGTTAAGTCCAAGCTGGCCTACCAGTGTGGCCAACTATTGAACATATATTTCCCAGCAGTCAATGAGACCGGGGCTTTGGTAAATGTGGATCTAAGCTGTATGTTATCCAGCATATTGAACTAATTTAGAAGAAAGGGCAAGTTATTTGTCTAGTTACTTTTCATTCTTCAGTGATTACAGACAAAATGGGTGGTGACAGATTGTTGAAAATTTACTATTTTTGTTACTATTTAAGTTAGTGCAGATGTTCTTCAACGCAGCTGGATAAAAAGTATCATAACTGTGGCATAGTATTTTTTGACACCATGATTCTCAATTTATGGAACAAGCCCTAACACCGATTAAATAAATATCCAGCGTTTTTAAGGATTGGTTGTAATTAACAGTTGTAAACGTGATACAATTCGGAAGAGAATGGATATTAGAGGAATTTTGCTGATCATTGTTTTTTTAATCACAACATTTTTGTTATGAGCATTATCATTGAAACAAAAATTGCTTTCATAACTTTTACCTAAAGATTGACAAGTCAACCCCATGACAAAACTAATAGAAATAGTATACAAAATAAAGTAATAAAATTCCATTTGTTGCAGAATCAATGGATAAAACAAGCTCTACCTACTTTATAGGCCCTATTAAGCCGTTTGTCAAAGCGTCTGATGAACTAAAAAGCAGTTCAGAAAATACTGATTCTAATCCAACACCTAGACCTGTGTTTGTTTCTGGTAGTCATGTCAAACAGTTTTATGAAAAGGTGATCGGAAAAGTTTCCAATACTAAGCGAGTAGAAAAAAGGGAAACAGCTGATGATTGCAAGAAACAGAAAACTGTAGTCAAAGTGACATTTAATATTAATACACTTATGAAGGCCGTTGAAGGCGGAAATTTGAAGGATGTTGAAAAAATATTAGATGGAAATGAAGATAAGATCAACACGACGGATCAGTTTGGTTGGACTCCGCTGATGTCAGCATGTTGTACTGGGAATATAGACATGGTGGAGCTGCTACTAAGATGGTGTCCGCGACTTGATCTTCGAGACAAAAAAGGCAACACTTGTCGTCAACTAGCTTCTAGTAGAGGTCACACTCATGTCTTGACTATTCTGGACAAATATACTCTACAGTCCAAAAACACTACCGTAGAAGAGTCTACCTGTTCGGAACAATCACGAATCACCCCGTTTTACTGCAAGAGGTGTAAATTAAGTTTCGAGGATACATCGTTAAAGCAACATCTTTCTTCCACTGTTCACAATTTCAACGCTGCATCGAAGAAAAAGATACCTACAATGTACGGAATTCCTGAAAGCAACAAAGGATTTCAAATCCTACTCAGGTCAGGATGGGACAAAGAAACCGGGCTAGGTCCGAGCGGCGAAGGCAATAAATTTCCCCCGAAAACCATTTTGAAACAAGACCGGACGGGGTTGGGAGCTAAACAGTACAAACCAAGAGTAACACATAATGTGGAGGATGCACGGAGGAATGCAAAACCCAAAGATACATTCAAAAGAAAGCTACAGTCGCAAAAAAGAAAGGACCAAAGACTGGAAAGGAATTTAAGACAAATGTTGTCATAGCATTGGGTCCAAATAGTCGATGTTGGGTGTAAATAATGTAAATATATAAATTAGTGGTGAGTGAGTTGAGCTATTAATTTCTTTAATACAATAAGTGTAGGCCTATATTACTATTTCCATTACAATCAGTAAAATTATTTGTATAGTTATTAAATTTAAACTATTCATTTAAAAAATAAAATATAGATAAGCACAGTAGCCTACATTTTTTTAAAGGTCTGTTGCTGTAAAACTCAAAACATATAATAAAATAACTTAACAAAACAAATAACCTACACTATTAAAAATTATTATTCGGACTATTCATGCCAATTAATTGTTCTGTACTACCATTAAATAACTTATTGTTTAACATCTTTGCTACACAACGGTTTACCAATTGTTCATTTGTATTCAAAACCAACAACATACAATAGTACAATAATTAGTTCATTCTTAATTTTTATGTGCATCAATACCGTACAAGTTGACATTAACCTTATTGAGGCATTTCCTATTTGTCAAATTCGGCTGCGTTTTTTTTTTTTTTACAACCCCTTCACATGGTTCAGGTTTAACGATTTTCCTAACTGAATGGCTGTACTAATGAATGGGCTGTAACCTGAACATACTAAAACCCTCGAATGACATTCAAAATTATGCTGCCGTATTTGGCAGGTAGGAAAACCCGCCTCAAGGTAGCATCTTTAGTGACAATTGCATCAAAATCTTTCATTACTGCTAGTTATCAAACCGCAAATTTCAAATTTGAAGACAAGCTCCATACACTTGTGTTAAAACTAAAATTTAACATCCAAGCATTATTCTAATTTGTATTCATTTAATTAATTATTTAGTTGCAAGTGGGGCTTTATTAATAAATATACAGATTTTACTGGTTCTACATAACTTTTATTAACTTCACACAATACTTGATTTACAGATTACATGTTCTCTATTTGAAGGCCAAAATCAGAGAGAGCGAATTAACGGTTTCGCTCCAAAATCCATAAATAAGAAAAAACAAAGAATAAACTCCAAGTCATTATAAAGTTATAAAGCTATAAAGTACAAAAGGAACAACATAGAGTAATGAGCTATTACAATATAACACAACTTATAACAAGCATAAAATGTTGTTACAGTTTTTTATACCAATCTTCAGTAAAAGGTTAAATTACCTGTGTCCGCCGGTCGATCGTAATATTGCTGTGTCCTATTACAGGAGATGCATTTCGGCAGAATAAATTGCCATCATCAGTCCTAATATAAGTTCTTGATCTTCCCCATTGAAGTTTTGAAACACATACACAAACTTTACACTTAGATACATCACGATTAAAACGTAAAAATACACGGTAGGCCTACTTTTATTTGAGCCATGACGGACATGTAGACGCGCGTCGGTCGTGTGTCGAGTCTCGGCTGGGATACCAATCTGTTAGTTTTTATCTCTCAGACCAATAAAGTAGTTTTTGAATGATTTAAAGGCAAATTCTGTTTTAATGGTCCCCTCCCAAGTTTACTTGTTTGCTACAATTTATCATCAAACTGAACCATATGTTGTTTTTTTTTTCAGAGCATAATCTGAAATGGAAAATCCTAAATTAACCTTGAAACAACTGCATGCTGCAGAGCTCCAAGCTGACTCTATTTTGCGAGACAGAGCTGAGATTGTCGACCTCGACCGCAGACGCAACAGTAACCGAGAAGCTTTGAGAGCTCTGTCTAAGGAAAAGGGGAAGAAGACTTGGTTCACCCTCGGACCAATACTTGTTAAGCTACCTGTCTCCACAGCCAGTGATTTACTGAACAAAGGTAAATGCTATGTAAAATATGTCCACTTTGTTTAAAGTCTTCAATTAAATAGATGAAAATCTACTTATATACTGTACAGGGTGATCAACTCAAGGAGGCCACCATTGGGATATCGGAAACAGTAAGAATTAGAGAAAACTTTAAACTACTCTAGCACTGGAGTCGGATGCTTCGATCACTCTAGCACTGGGATTGGATGCTAAGATTGCTCTAGCACTGGGGTCAGATGCGTAGATTAGTTTCAGCTATAATTTGTTTCTTTACTACAGTGCTAGAGCAATCCGAGCAATCCCTACTTCCCCTCCCACTAACGGTGATGATACTGGCACACCTGAAGTCTTAGGACTTATAGCCATATATCTGAGTTTATCCTTTTCCTTCCCATAGACCCCTGGAATATCCAACCCAGCGACGACTGAGTCATCCGTGGCAACGATTGAGACGACCTTCGTGAAAGTACGTCACAACGTTAAGCTCTTTCCATTGACACCAAAAACATTCAATCGGTTCAGTAGTTTAAAAGGAGTAATTGTCACAAAAAACCTGCTTGCGTATTAAATAAGTATAGATTCCGCTGGAGTGTATGTTAAATGTAGATCATCTGGTTAAAATTGTTTTAAACTTATTGAAAAAATAAGGAGTAAACCGTAAACATCAAAATTAACTGTACACCTTTATACACAGAACAGAAACGTAGGCCTAATTCAAAATTGTCTTCAGCTGATAAATCTCTGAAATGTGTTTTATCAACAGTAGTTTCAACCTTATCAGTAACCTAAATAGTTCAGTTTCTGATAAGAAATTTACTGTTCTAGATCAAGTAACCATCAACAGTGAGATCAATAAACTTCGGAGTGAGTTGAAAGTAAAGGTGAATGACCTCCGAGATTTGGAGTTTGAAGATCCGGTTCCAGGACTGAATCTAAAGCCGATGACACGAGAAGAAATGTCAGCCATAAATCAAGTGCTAGGATACCATGCGGACTAGTTCTTTCTCTTTCTCACATTTTATTTCTTATTATTGTAAATATATTTTATACTATGAAAATAATTGCTGTGTAAGTTTTTACTCTTAAGAATTAAAGGCAATTGTCTGAGACGTTGTTATACACAACTCAAGATTATCCTTTTAGACTGTTTTTGCAATACAATTTAAGATGGTTCAATTATATTTTCAAATAAATTATTTTTAAAATGTAATTGCACTTTTCATTGACAATCCCTGTTAACAATCCCTATTAAGGTTTTCAATACAAAGTTATTTAAAGAATCTTAACTCCACTCATAACTCGCCCTGCTTTCATATTTAGCTTAAAACATCCATGGAGTTTTCTAGTCAAAGTACTGTTCATCTTCCAATCAACAAAAAACACCAGCTTAAAATTTTTTGCTGGACTTGGACCTTAATAATTTCTATTTCAACATTTTAAAAATAAAATTGGATATTTACAATAACAGGTTAAAAAGTCAATAAAGGTATAACATAGCCATATAAAAACCTTTATTTGATCCAATTATACATAGGCCTATGTCATAAGATACTATAAATATATTATTTAATATGAAAAATTTACATTTCTACAAATTATTTACATCTTTATACCAACCAATCTCGAGGCTTGCAATTAAAACCTGAAACATAAATGTAAACATTTTACATCTCATCAAACACATTTTTTTCATTCAGTAGAACGTCAATAATTCAGATATTTCTATAGCAAAAGCAAGAAATACAATTTTGTCCTGCTATGTAAAAAGCTATGTCTGCCCTCAAACGCCTGTAAGAGTGGGCTATGGGAGTCAAGAACTTAGCTGCAAAAAACGAACCTCTACCGCATCTTGAAAGCCTATCACATGTTTTACTGTACCGGTACACTCTACTCATGTTGCTGTAAATGAAATACATTACAGTGCTTCAACAAAACAAATGTTTTCAATCATCTCTCTTTTAGATCCTGCCTAAAATAGAAAATATACAATTTAATTGTTTTTTTTACTCATACAGTGTGTGCTTGTACATTTTTGTGATCTGGTCCCAAATATTTTGGATTAATGACAATCTACAACTAATTCTGCTTTGGTTAGCAACTAATGTAAAACAATGATTCAGTTTCATAATCACTAATTATATAATAGATATTTAGTCATTATGATAATATTAGGTAAATTAGCAGTAAATTAGTCATTATTATCATGAAAGGTTAGAAATCTTATGCACCAAGAAAGATCCAGTGATTTTAAATTACCTCAGTCCTCCTCTTTTATGCAGTTTTCCACCATATCCTTGAGGTTTGGATTTTCCATTGCCGCAGCAACTCTTTCCTTGTCATTGATTTGCTTGTTGACTGAAAAATAGCAGAAGTTGAGTTTTAAGTTCAAATAAACAAACATAGAACGATGTAAACAGACGTAAACGATGTTTACGTCAACAACTAAATTGTACTCATGACAAAGACTAACAAGAAGTAGTGATTGGGAGAAAAGAAGAATTTTAACTTCTGCAAAGAAAGTTACAAAAGGTTTGTAACTTTCTTACAGGGGAATTTTAGCTGCAATTTATTGAAATGAGGTTAGATTTGCATAGGTTGAAACGTGAAACTGCTTTGCATGGTGGAATACATCAGAAGTATATTATTAAACAATAATATAAATGAAACAAAAAGAACAGGAAAAATTCCAAAAATGTAATCTTTAAGATACTATTTGACTAAATAGAAAGTGATACAAATTTGGGTAACAGCCCGTGGGTAACAGCTAGTATTTCCATAAATACAGTAAGACATATTTATTCCCAATTTAAATAACATTAGAATTAACGAGTGCTTAGGTTTGCTGCTACGGGGAAGAATAACAGTGTTTTTTGACAAAACGTCAATAGTATAGGATGAAATAAATAAATTTGCCAAATTTGATCAACATATATCCATAAACAAGTAAACTACAATAGTTTTCATTTTCTCCATAAGAATAACATGGGAATTTTAAATTTGCACTTTTTTAATTTTCTCCGTAATTATTAGGCATACAAAAATGCTTCAAAATACAAAATTATTTCTTTTTTTAAGCTCTATAAAATGGTTGGTAAAGAAAATCAAAAATTTTATATTTTTAGGGTCAAAAATGGGAAAAACCCATTTTTACCCCATAAAACCCCCCATAAACCCCTGTTCCCATGGTCCGATCCTGCTGGTTCGCAAACTCGTTCAAATAAATGTAGGTTTACACGTTTATACCAAATTTCATCAAAATCGGATAAGTTTTGTTCGAGTTATCGTGCTAACGGACATATATATATATATAAATATATATATATAAACATATAAATATATATATATATATATATAAACATATAAATATATATATATGAATTTGAACGGATCGTGTTTTTGGCCTCTGGGGACCTCAAAACGAAAAAGTAATCGGTCCCGGGTCCAGGTCTTACCATGAGTACTACCATTGTACAATGGTAGTAGCTTATTCCCTATATTGGAAACTCGCTAAAAGAGGTGCCTGGTTAGAGCCTAACATACTTGAATATGAAGAAGGGACATAAAAAAGATAAAGGTGGAAGACAAGTCGTGATTTGTTGTTGTTACAATTAAACACCAACAGCTCACTCTAATAGCAATAATAATAGTAGTAGGTAACATCGGTATTTTTTTTAAATTCTTTTAACTGTCCTAAAGATGATGCAATATTTTTAGTGCCTCCTGCCTTTTACCAAATCCATCAACATTAGCTTGCGGACTATTCTATAAAAAATTGTTTCCTTAGATAATCTTACTCTCGTCCTCAGTATCATGAGCCCCTTTCTTGATCCGGATGTCCAGTTTGATCTGTTCGAGGAGGCAGCGTTCCACTTTGATCCGCATACACAGTCCGATGAGCGTCGCCAGACTGCAATGTGGCACGGTGGGGTTAAACTCTATAACCACCGTGTACGCCTTAGTTCCGTTATTTCTTGTCACCTGTAGATTAAACACAGGTTGTTTGTTAAACATTTTAAGTGTAGGGTACTTTAAAATGTCATCGATAGGTTGTGTTCAATATCACTATAGCCTTGATTTAATCACCGAAGTAATTAAAGCCTACCTCGTAAAATTTGAGGGTCAATCAATGATGGAAATTTCACCTTAATTACATTGGAAATTAATGTTTTTTTCTGGTTGCCATTTCTGATGAACAGAGTGTAAAAAGTGTATTGATCCTTCTTAGCTCAATAACATTGTAATCCCAATGTTCACATGGTACTTTTATCATCTTAAATAAGACTGTTCCAATATAAGTTATTGTACTTACTTTGTATGGTCGTCATTTCAATGAAAAGTATTAAAAGTAAGTAAGTATGTACAATTTACAAATCATGGTGTTACTAGCTGGATTAGTTATTCTTGACATCCCCTCCACAAGAGGATACACAATGGAGATGAATATAATAGAAAAGAAAGCAAAAAGTAAATAGGTGGGTAAACCGCGTAATTAATCAAATTTACACGAGTAAATTAACTAATCTACTTTACTAACTTACGACTTAAATAATCAGTAAGTTTACCCGTAAACTTAAGTGGGTAAATCCTACTTTACTATGTGTTTCTATACAGGGTGAACAACTTAACTGTGCCACCATCTGTATCTCACAGTGGTGAATCCAGGATGGGGGAAGGGGGTTAGGGGTTTGAACCCTCATTTTGACCTTAAAAAGTATTTTTTTACAATAATTTTTTTCTTCAATTAAAGAATCTCTTTTATATGTCTCTAAATAGCCTAAAAAACAAGTTTACAGGTTTTTCCCTGATCACCTCCTACCCTGGGGGGTATTCCATACCTCTCAGTGTAAAACCCCCCTTAAAGTCATTCTAGTTACGCCAATGGTATCTCATAAACTATAAGATTTAGAAAAAAACATTAAATGGAGAACTTTAAAATTTTGTATGGCATCAGGACGTGATTGAGCTATGCGAACGAGCTCATCTTGAAAATGAACGAGCTTTTGACATAAAACCACATTAGGACAGGACGACGTCTGTCGGGCCAGCTAGTAATGAATAAAAACGATTTTAATTGCATTTCCATTATAGAACAATCACAAAATAGGTCTATAAGGTGTACCCTAAAAAAATTTCCTATCAAGCTTACCTTCACCCCACTTTCGTAGACAACATCTAAATCTTCTAGGGTAGCAGGCTTTTCAGGGTCTTTTATTGTCCTTATGCAATCTGAAACGTACAAATTATTGGTATATTGCAATATAAAATAATGCAAAACTAATGTCCCCCATTTACCAAAATGAAAAACAGCTGAAATGAATTACTAATATAAATAGATCGTTGACACTGACAAATAAACCACCAACGGCAACTCATTTATCATACACACATGCTGTTTTTTCATTCATGGATAAAAAATTGAGTTTCGTTGTAAAGGTTTTTGGCAAGTTGAAATTGTGATTCTCTTTGAATTGATGTCGATGTTGTGTTGTCCTTTAAAATTTGTCTATGAAAATAGACCGCTTGAGTCGGAATAGCTCTCTGAGTTGTTAGCATTTTGCATTTTCAAAATCTTTCTCTCGCTGTTAATCCAACTACTCCAATGGCTAAAACCAATATGGATGTAACATAAATAATAACATCGTAGACTATGACCTACACTTTACCTTCCTAATCTAACCCAACTTCAAAACCCTTAATGCAGCCTCGAATCCGCATAAACCCCGATCTGCCCTCCCCACATGTCTAAAATAAAACCTATAATTTATTTGGTTAGTTTACCCTGACTAAAACTTATGTACATTCGACATTCGAGTAAAGTTCTGCAGTGAACCTATGATTATAGCTATCAGATTACCGATCAGTGTAGGCCTACAATTTTTGTTTTCATATAGCCTAGGCTTAAACTTAACTGTTGCTTATTTGGTAACATTTTTACTTCCAACCTTTACTAATTGATTTCCAATCTCTGCTAAACGTCGGCAGATCTCACCACAGACCAATAGCAACGCTCGCAACAAACCAAGCAACACAGCAATGCCTCAACAACCAATGTTTAGGTTGATTTTGACTAAAGTTCCCCATTTCAAGAAAACTTCTCCTAGGCCTATTTCAGGAAAATTTCCCATTCCTCCCGGTTTTTAACCTTTAAGTTATTACCTGGCTAATTAACCATCTCTTTCGTTGATTAACCTTGTTGGATGTCTTCCCCAAAACCCCAAAATTCCCACCAGTCCCCTAGTGAGTTGGGGTCATTGCTTATAGCTGATATATACACCTATTTAATTAATAAGTAATAAAATGAAACCTTGCTGCAAAAAAAGTCATCAAGAAAGTTGTAGTGTTATTGTCAAGCGTTTAGGCCTACAGAACATTTTAGGTGACTTGTGGGTCCGAAATAAATACCCATGTAACTTATAAAATGAACAAACCACAGTTGGTTAGAGCTAGAAAAATTTAATTTTTTTGTGAAACATTGCATCACTTGCTGGCTACTATACCTAACCCAGTACCGCATTTCCCATTAGGTCCACTGCCTGGGGTGCCAAATTTTAGGGGGTGCAAAATTTTAACCTCTTGAATGAATCCCACGAATGAGCCCGCACGTCAGACCGGTAGCCCTGCTAGTGCTATGAGCCCCCGAGTGTAGTTTAGATACCCCCGATCGGCTATCAAAATCTACAACTCCCTTCCAAACCACCTAAGGAACCTTGACGGTACAGCGTTTAAGTCCGAGCTGAAGAACTTGCTCACAAATAGGCCCCTGTATAGTCTTGACGAGTTGTCAAATGATCCTTTGATGCCAGGTTGAGAAATAGACACGCTTACCACAGCCTAAGTTTAAAGTTTTAAGTTTTATGATACTTTGTAAAACAAGTTTTGTATATAATAATTTTGTAAATATTAGTATAACGACGCAATCAATCCGATATACTTCGGTCAAAGATTAAGACAACAAGTATTCAAGTAAGTAAGTAAGTTTAATTTGCTGTGCTTAGCAAGCAAAAGGTTGCCTTGTTTGGTACTGCCGTGTTGGGAATAACCTGCTCTTTCGCGTGTGATATTTCGTTTTTGCTGTAGTCCCGACGACATCCATGCAGCGACTGCCTGTATAATTCACTCCTGTTTACTAACCTGATTGCCCAGGTTGTGTCTTTCTGTTTGTATGCTTTGTTAGTAAACAATGTCGAATCGGTCTGGTATTTCGCTTAGAGACGACAATTTGAATGATGTTTCGGGACATGAATGTTGTCCATCATAAATGTATTTTGTGTTAAGTTATTATGTATTATTCTATGGTTGATGTCAAATAAATGACTAAACAACTCATACCGTCTACCGGCCTACTTTTCAATTTATTTTATACACCGTCCAAATAACATTTTAGTAATATCAACAATTATTATTTTTTTTAAACTAGTGGGTTCATATATATATTTCTTGCAATACAATTAGTATTGTAAATTTTCCACTTGCTACATTTTAGAAGATTGAGATTTTCTGATTTGTTATCATTGTTCAGTTAATCTCATTAGAGGTGTAGTATTAGGGACAGATTATATATGCCAATTACTGTGAAGTTTAATGTGATGGTATTATACAGTTTAAAGGAGTTGTTCTTTTAAATATCAACGGATTACGGTATCCTTGTACATACTAGGCTATACTCAATGACAATGATCGTGACATTATTTACGTTTGTGACCAATATTACGGCAGGGAGGGTGCAACTGTTTTGTGTGCCCAGGGGCGCCGTTTGTCTAAATGCGGCCCTAACCTGACCATAGGCTACTTATTATAACCTTCAGTTCTTTTCAATTAACACGATGACTGCTGAAAACCACGTACAGGCGCTCCCAGTGGCGGGCGAAGCCCCGGCACGCAACCGAATCAGCGAACGCAATTGGCATTCAAATATTTCAGTCTGACGAATCACAAAAGAGCAGTGGTGACTGTGCTGCGTTACCCTGAGAGTGGATGTAGTTCACTGAAACACCCAAAGGTAGCAGCACTGCACGGATCCGTATCCAGTGTCTTTGTAATGTGGGTTGAAGAGAAAAAATCCCCGAAACCGGGACAAAAGCATTGCCAGACAGGATTTTACGGGAAATTTTAGTACCAACCTACACCAAAGTAAAGCTCGCATTCTAAGCTGGCAGGCTGGCAACGATTATAACGTCTCCGTCTGAGGCTAAGCTCACACTGACTCAATATGAATAAATAAATAAATAAATAAATAAATATATTTCTGTTGGTCTGGTGCCAACTTTTGTCGGCGAGCGCCACATCGAAGTGCTAGCGACGCAAAGTGCAACCAAAAAAAAAAAAAAAGTGCGACCGAAGTGCAGTCAACGTGTTAAAATCCTCTCCCCAAAGCTCTTCCCAGACTAAACCTAGGCCCTACACATTTGAGAAACCTAGGACTAAACAAAACATTTAAAAGTTTTATCTTAACATGAAGGTGACATTGTTCAGTGTGTACTGTAGCAATGACTAGGTCTTTTTACTTACCGAATATACTGTCTTGCAATTGTTCATTTTCTCCATCATTGTTGTTAGCCATGTCCAAAGAATCTCTCCTGTTTAAAAATAAGTTTTCGTGAGTCGCAAGAGATGAGATAGATATTTTAGTTGGACTGTCAGAATTATTCTCAACAATTCCCACTAAGGACTTTGTTTTATTTATGATAGCTGATAGCATTTTACCAAATTACCAATTTATAATTTACGAGTGTGGAAAACGTTCATATTTGATAGCGGATTTTTAAATTCACGAAAATTAGAAAGTCTTGTTTAGGCTAGTGCTTGTTGTTGTTTGTAAACAGTCTTAAAACTAAATTCAAGGACATGACATGCTAAAACGCACAGACATGTACACTTATTTTCTACAATCAATCCACTGCAAGACCAATTTATCACTTTACATGATAGCACAAAAATGTCTTAGATAATTATAATCACTATTTACAATAGTTAGTTGCAACACTCATATCACATAACCTTCTCTTCTATTTGAAGATTGATGTAAAATATGGATGCTAGAGCTAGCAGATTAGCAGAAGCAGAACGAAGACAACTTGGAAATCGGAATGGAATTGGGAAATGGGAACGCAAAACACTAAACAGTGAAGTGACGTATATGAGAACGAACAGCTGATTTCATTTCAAAGGCAGCTGATACGATAGACCGGGATCGTACCGACCTGAGGTACCGTATTGAGATTTTTAGTACAGAACCGAGAACCATTGACAGAATTCACCCATTGTTTCCACCTCCTGCTAGATAGGTTGGCGGAGAATTTAAATACAGGACCCATGCCGCTCCGCAGCGTTTATGATAATAATATCTATGGTTCTTACCGTCAACGCAATCAGGGGTAATATTTCACTACGGCCTAAATATTTATTTTTATAGGCGTATTTGGTATCAATTTAAAGCTCTTATCCTCTAGATGTGCCCATTGCGAGTTTGGATGATATCCCATGAAAGCCCTTCGTCCTATGGGCTATTATAATTTCAATTTCATAGATTTTGCTGAATTCCGTTGTCAATCATCTGAACTATTTCATGATGATCTTACTTTTGTTTGTATCAAAACAGATGGTCCATGATACAATTTTGTTTGCATCCATACCAAAATGGGGTTATCTGTAGTTGGTGATTTCAGTGAATTTAAGTAAAATGTTGTAAAGTTATTTGTATAAAATAAAAAGAAGAAAATGACGTAGAAATTGTGTTGTGAGAAGATTTTGTGTTTTCATAGTATGTTTTATTAGTATTTGCAATTTTTCTAAAATGTCTCGAAGAGATCGCGTACCTACGCAATAAAAATAATAGTGATATGATGAGACATAATCGGTTTCATCCTTATCAACTACATATCAAATATATCACGGATTTTGAAGTCTCGAAGTGACAGGTTGCTAGTATGATCTAGTTTTTGTAGGCATACGTTATTTTCTCTGTCACATTATTTTTCCATGCATGTTATTTACTTGTTTCTAACACAATCATGTCAAGGGTTTTATGTTCAGATGTCTATTTATTGTAAAGCATTCCTGCGTATAGTTACCATTGTCAAGCAAAATACATTTTTTCAGTAGAGGTATACGTCTACTATCATAATCAGCAAAGTTTTAAATATTGTTCTTTTTTTCAAATATTCATACTGTCATACTGGGCTCCTAACTTAATCTAGTATATTCTCCATCCAGCCTACAGCCTTCTTTTTAATTTTAAACTTTTAAATTTTTACCTGTTATTGTCTGTGATATTAGCTTATTAATCTAGTCTAACTGGGTTACTGTGAAACCCTATTTTACCATAATATGTGACCATGTCTATTGCAAGATTGTTTTGCTTAAGGACAATAAAGGATTTCTGATTTCTGATATCATGAACATGTCACTTATGTATTTGTAAAAAATGATGTTTAACGTGTAAATAAATAAATACATTAATGAAGCTATCTAACAAAAGTTAGAGCTTGAAAATAGTAGAAAAACCAGGATTTGAACCGGTCCCTTTCAAAAAGGAAAAAATTAATTCATTCTTGATTAGTTATTTTTTTATTGTAAAGCAAGAGCAACTTTAAATTTTTACGTATTTTGACACTAATGCGTTTCTTGAAGAAATAATAAATAAAGATGTTTGTCTATTGTTTAGGCCTACTGTCTATTAAACAGAGAATACAAATATGACTTGTTTATTAGTGGGAAACACTATATTAAAATATTCTAATCAGACAAACTGAAATTCACTTAAGTTTGCAGGTTTGCTGCGGAGGGAGTATTTGATCATTTTATGTCCTCCCTTCACATTTTAGGACACTAGCCCGGAACCGTTTTATTCATTACTTTGGATCAGGCTAGTCTTAAGAGGGTTACGGCATAATCAGGTTCACGTATATATATTATAAGAGCAGTTGATTTTTAACGGGATTTGAATTTGAGATCTCCAAGACTAAAGCCCTCCGATTAGCTAGTTTCTCCAGGATTTGTTACTGTAACAAAGCCACATCCTGATCCGATCTTAAATTTATATTTATGTAATTCTCAGTTAAGTGTAATAAATTCAATCAAACAATCCAGGAACTGAAAGGTTGTAAGCTCAACTACAACTAAAAACTTCCAAACTTCGCATAAATCTACAAGATTTCAGTAATAACAAAATCACAATATTTCAGTATGGGACGCTGAATGAATAGAGTTTATAAATTATGAAACGTCAAAAAAATTGTATAAACTGTTTAATGCAAAATGAAAACATTGGAGCGGCAGTGAGTGCAGAATGGTTGGATGTAGACATATCAGAGACGGCAGTTTCTGTCGTGTTGAAGTTCAATCTGAGTTGGTGGCGGCAAAAAGCTTAGTTGGCAGAGTAAAGAGGACTGATAGTCCGCAGAACACAACTGCGGCGTTGACGTAAGACAAAACTCCTCCGTAGTAGTAAGGACAATCTTCCACCCGATCACATTTCCTGTACGCATACAAGCACAATGTCAAATATATATTGTTATAAAAATTAGGTGTCTGCCAGTGGTGTCCTCACCATTGACTAAAAATTGACTAACATATAGGATTCATGTATCTTTTGGTAAAACCAGAGTGGTAACACTGTTCCCATGCTTTCTAGCTCCACTACACCACTGGTGTCTACCTGTCTTTTCATTCACGCACACATTACCGAATGTCCACAGGCACCACAGCTCTGATGTAAACCAAAGTTTGATAGCTAGAAGAGAACGAGTTGAGCACAAGTGCATACTGTGTAGTTCCAAAAGGTATAGGTGTAAGTTTATGATTCAAGTGTTTTATTACACATATCTTTATTTAACTTACTTTCTGAAGTAGGTACATATAAATGGGACGTCTACATTATTATTTAATCGACAATGGTATTGTAAACTACACTGATTTATTTGAGAAAGATTAAGCTGTGCAAAACCTTAGCAAATTTGTAAATTGTTGATGGAGCCGATGATTTTGGCTATTGTTTGTGCCAACACTTACATCTCCTCTATGATGATGACAGCGAGTCCGTTGAGCAGTTTGTCGGCCGTTGTGACGACACTGTAGACGAGAGCACCACACTCCGTGTCTGGTCCGATCAGGTTGGCTGTGACACACAGACTGACAACCATTGTGATAGAGCTACCTGCGCCTGAAACAAGCAAACTATTATAGTATAGGGAATGTCTCGATACAGTATACCCTCCCTAATAACCTAAAAGGTTAAAACAAGTAACTATGTATATGTAGGCCTATATGTACAATATTGTAGAAATAAATTCATTATTTGTCATCTACATATATATATATATACCATTTCAAATAATTTATTTATGTAATAAACCAGTGACTCGTAAACCCCCACTGCTGTAAAAATTACGGTTAAAAAATTATTGCAAATTCTGTTATTTTACCCATAAAATATCATAGTTACTCTCATTTACCCATGATATAGGTTATTGACAGACTGCTATTAACAAGGTAATGGGAGAAGGTATGTGTCAGACTGCTGGTTAACATTTGAAATTTTGAATTAAAATACTATTTTATATACTTTCCAAAACTTTTTGGCCCACAATGATTTACCTTAACTAAGTTTTTCCACAACAGCACTATCGCTACAATAAAAACTTGAACAAATTACCAAATAGTATGGCCACTCCAAACACTTTGGTTGTATCGTCCGTCTTGGCGTAGCTGAAATGTACTAGGACACAGCCTAGTAGACAGAAAGCACTGCCGATGAAATATGTGATCTGAAACAGTGGTGTACAATATAATAACAATGTATAATATAAATAAAATATATGAATGGAGTGTTTTTGCATCACAAAATATGTTGATAACATTTTATAATTTGCACAACATTTTCAATGCTATTAATTTCACCACTCAGTTGCTGTTATTTTTTTATGTGTTAGTGATGTTTCTTATGTGGCCCGGGCGGACATCGACTTACGTACACATTTGTGGTGGCTTCTTTAATCATTTCTTGTTTGTCAACAAAGACCTTAATTGTTCAACCTTTTTGTAAAACAAACTGTGAAATGTTACATCTCATATTACAGTAAAAAAAACTACTGCACAAAGACTAAATATAATTTCTGTTTGTGATGACTTATAACAATTTTCATTTCCCATCAAACTTTCCCATAGTCAAAGACAAAAAATATTTCAATTACAAAAACAATTAACTGAAACTCCGTCTTACCCTAAGTCCACCACAGTTTTCACTGCAGAGCTTGACTATGAGTGCAGCAAACGCAGACACCAAAAATGAAGCGAGGGGTACAGTAGCGAGAGCTCCGACTTGTGAGAGGATAGTCTCGTTGATAAACAGCGGAATGTAGACGAGACTGAGCGTCATGAAGAGACGACTGGACGTGTAAATGATCGCCACACTGTAGAGGTGCGGTGACTTGAAAAACTCTATAGACTTGGCCTTCAACGCCAACATCTCCTGTTTCCTTGGCAACCGCGGGGCGTGAGCGTAGTTCTTGAGCGACGTGTGGAATATGATCGTTCCTCCGATCCCGAGGATAGAAGTGAGGACAGCCAAGTCCTAGAAAATGTTTTATTTTAAAATATTGTTCTAACTCTGAATCACAGTAATTTTTAAAGAGTTAATTGGATTTAGGGTGCATATTTTTTTAAGATGAATAAAGGACCATTGTTGAGTGAGTGAGCTGAGGTAACAGATATGTCACAGAGAAGTAAGGTACAGAGGTAACATTCAAAAGTACACTTAGGTATCTTAATTTCATTATGTTGGTAGGTGTTAAAATGTATAGGTAAACTAAGGTTTTTCAGAATCACAGAATATAGGACCAAGGAGGGAGATTAACTCCCTTATAAAAACCTTGTTTGAAATTAACTGTTGCTCTCTGTGAGATTTCAGACGGATTGAGAGATTGTTTGGATAACAATTAATATTGTAAAATTTTTTTTAATAGCCTATATTGGTTTGTAGATATACAAATTCTGTGTTTAGCGGTTACAATTAAACCTTTTGTCAAGGGAGCGACCTCCTCCAGCATTGGTTTAGCATTAGCGCGCAGTTCGTTTTCTAAGCGGCCGAACTTTAGTAGCAATTCAGTTCCAATTGATTTAGTTTTATAAAATTTGCATTTGTTATCTCTTAGATTTTTAATATGAATAATGATTTGAGGTTTACATATTAATTTAATTTAAGATAGATTAGTCGAAGCCATTCCATGCACAAAACTTTATCCTAAGAATAATGGAATTTTAAGTTTATTTGATTTGAACGGGAAAACATTACTCAACATTAACAGCAGAGAAAGAAATGCACGGTAAAAAAAGCTTCACACAACCAGAAAATATATGTAAATTTTAAATCTTCTATAGCAAAATACTTGAAAACCGTATTATTTTATTTACCAGAAACCTCCAAGAATCTTCTGGTCCGATGAGTTTCATGTTCATGCCGTGAGAGGAGCTGAGGAACGCCCAAGCAACAAAGTACACTAGAATGTGAGCAGCCATTGATGCTGTGTACCTGCCATAAAAATTTACATTTTCAATCAACAGATAAAGTATTTCGTTAGAAAAAATCAAATTATCTCTGACATACTTAATGTTATTAAATATACATCAATGAATAGCTCCACTTTAGAAACATTCTTTTTGACCTTGATTATACTTCCAAAGTAATAAATTTTACATAATCGTCCTCCAAAGCTTCTTGATACTTACAGCGATACATGGTAATAAATACCAACTTTCTTCACATGCATTGGCTGAGCATAACTCTCAGAATACCGGATGTAAATCTCAACAAACTGTATGGCTGTAGCACTGACCTGTGTGCCGTAAGTTGAGCTCGCTCCTCAGTCAGTGTCGTAAGTTCGGGTAGTAGAGAGAGATGAGCAATCTGAACCACAGCCCATCCTACCTGGAACACAGATATGGAGATGCTGAAGTAGACCATTTGCGTCCACACTGGACCATCCACGATCTGCGCTGGCGTCGTGAAGATCAGCGGGAAACTGAACAGTACCAGAAGGCTTCCTGTCGGGAAATGAGTTAAAATTGTTACTTGCTCAGATAGAATTTATATGTTGTATAATACCATTGAGGATAAGTGCAAAAAGATTCATACAAGTTGTAAAATTCAGTGTGTGTTTAATGATTACATGTTGGTTTAAGATTGGTGCTGGTTAGCGTCGGTTTCATGTCGGTTACATTATTGAATGTGACTAATGTTTCTTGAATGTTTTAACTCTGTTATTTTAGAAAATGTTAATAATTTGAACTAAAATACTATGAAACCGGAGGATAAAAATAGTTTGTTAATAGATTGTAACATTGAGTTTTAAATGGTTTTCAATTTCTTGTAGCGACAAGAGACACAAACAACAAAGGAAGCTAACAAGCTCTTGAACTTGCAAAGTAGCTGGTGTTCTACCTATACCGAACAGAGCACCGACTGTTATCTAACTGTCTTCAGTTGATCTGTAAGATTTGTTGCAATGCAATACAAAAATAAAGTTAGTATTTAATGTGTGCATTAGTTATCAATGCCAGTTAAACCAAAAATAGCTTAAAATATAGGACATTTCCATCAATACAAAAGAAAATACAAATCTTCAAGGGGTTTATGGTTTTGTTGTCAATCTAAAATAACAAACACAATCTAATATATAAAAAAAAAAACAATTGTTACTCACCTATTAAATGCCATCGTTTCCTGTTGACAGTTCGATCCAACAGGTAGCCCGCCAGAGGGGTGGATGCAGCATCCACAGCTTGCCCTGAGAGAAGCATTGACTTTTATTCAATTTCGTAACAGAGGCATTTCCATACAGAAGACCAAATCAAAAAATTTTATTCATTTTGTGCATACATATACTTACGAGTGTGTTTCAAGTTACTTGAGGCATGTAACCTGCCTACCTTATAGAATATAGCATGTAGAAGTGTCAACCTTGGAGCCATTGTGAAGGGAAGACACCTGAATAATATACAACTCACAGGCAGGATGCCACAGTCTTAAAAACATTGTGGCTGACATGTATATTAACAATGTCTGCTACAACCGTAACAAAAATGAATAACATGTACTGTACCTGCCAAGGTAACCAAAACTAAAATAAGAAACTAATACAGGGCAAACACCTTAGATACCATAGACAATAAATCAAGGACTTTTCAGTTGTATTATCTTTGAGTCAATTACTTGATTGTGAATGAACTTTTTATATAGAAAAAAAATATTAATAGCAGTATTTTGATACTTTTAGAACATTTTGATAAGCCAGCAAAAGCTAAATTATGCAATGTAATAAACGGTACACTAGTGGCTGTGGTTAGTGCTCGGGAGTGTCCTGGGTTCCTGTATTCAAAACCCACCAATCACCTTGAATGAATCTTATCTATGTGATAACTTCGGTGACTCAAAGCCTATCACACCACCACGCTTTTTTAGTTAATCCACTTGTCTAGAAAAAAAAACAGATAAACCTCACTGTTGAGAGAACTTTCTAATCTATTTGGTGAATACTCCCTCGACTAAAACTAGACACTAGACAACAATTAGATAAAACCCATGCCTACCTATGAATAGTAAAAAGCCAGCATACACAGGTCCCAGTTCTGCAACCAGCTGCATGAATATAAGTGCGTAAGTGAACCATATCGCCGCACATATGTCGTTGTGGAAATGTCCGAGTCCATATGCCAGTTTCTGCGTAAGTGGCAGTTTACGATCGCTGAGGAACACGAGTGGTGTGTTCTCTTTTGGGGGTACGAGTCCATTTTTTAATTTCAATCCATTTTCCATGTTCCCTGCAAACAAAAAAACAGTTTGTAAAAATAGCCGTGGGAAATTGTAGTGGCTAGATTATAGGCTTGAATCCCACTAATCAAATGGGTTACTAATAAGGATTGAACCCGACTCTTGCACCAAAGTAAAATACAATAACCACACTTGTTTTTCAAAATACAACACACTCAATTTATCACCGAATGTAAATGGTTCATTGTACCTATCTATTCTATGATGCGGACATATTTTTGGAGATTTTGGTGAAAAAAGCTTTATTTTTTCCCTGATAAACCTAAAATACCCCCCTGCAGTAAACCTGCATACTAAGCGAATTTCTATTTTTCTGATTGGATTCTTACTGAAATATTTCCTCAAAAAATACATACTTCATTCAAATGCATTAGATTTATCGAGTAGGTAAAAGTGTTTTTTGACCAAAATGTTAACTAATGTTACCTAAATGTTAAAATATATTCATCTTAACAGTTGTTTTTTAACAATCGAATAGCAAGACAAATTTAAATGTAAATTTTTTTAATTGTCTCCATTGCCTTTAATTGCATAACACCTTAATATAGGCCTACAGTATTTTAATGGTTTTCCAATGTCTGTAATAAAAATTGGGAGTTTCCATCTTTTAAGAGTAAAAATTTGAAGAAAAAGTTTAAACTATTTTAAAATCCCCAAAATTGGTAGGTACTCTTTTCCCATGACCAGATCTTGCTGGTTCACAAACTCATTCAAAAGTTTATCAAGCTATACAGATTCATGCAAAATTTCCTCAAAACTGGACCAAAATAACTCGAGTTATCATGTTCACGGACAGGTTATATACCACATGAATTTGAACGGATGGTGTTTTTGGCCTCTCTGGGAACATCAAAATGATGAAATAAAACAGCCTCGGTTCTAGGTCTTATCATAAGACCTGTGGTAATATCTTATTATTCCTTGTATGGAAATTCCCTACAAAAATTAGTTGATAAAAGATAGAAACCTGCCACGTAGTGTGGCCTTTATGTATGGAAAGCTTGTAAAGCCACACACAAGCATTTGGTTTTACCCTTCATGAATGGTGGCCATTCCTTATCATCATCCAAAGATGACAGGGACTCTACGGGCATCCATATGTGCCGGATGGATTGCTCCTTTCTCTTCATCACCTTCCCTGACGTTAGAGATCTATATTGCACTGAAGTCGATATCATTTTTACATGAAACGGCGACTTTTTGTGATTCCCAAAATAGTAAATGGAACATTTCGCTTTAATCTTCTTTCTAAGTTTCGATGCGGTTTTTGAAAGTTTTTTTGAGTACTTTGAAATAATACCTGGAGGTTTTTTGTCTTCGGTACTTTCTTTGTAGACTGGACTGAAAATGACTGTCGAGGAGGTAGGTTCGCTTTTGTTCGGCACTTTCAGAATTATTTCTTCGTTTACCGCAGTTTCTTTACTTTCTTTCTTTTTCACTTTGTTCTCGTTTGGATCCGGAGGAAATTTGAAACCTCTCACAGAAACTATTTGCTTGTCGTAAAACACTTTACTTACAGGAATCTTTGTTGATTTCGGCGATGTTGGTGAATTTATTTTCTCTTTGAAAGAGTCTGTATTGGTTGACATCGCCACTTCTATCATTTGATGTTTTATTTTTACACAAAATATCGATGGAAATCAACACAAATAAATAAGAAACATTCTAGCTGCACCTATACTTTTGTGAAACTGTGAAAATTTTCAAAATTTGTATTTCACCCAGTTTAATCAAGTTATTTCCTGTCCAAAATATAAATGGTTGATGACACTACTTGGTGATACTGGTATTGACACAACACAACACTTTTGGCCAAAGAGATTAAATAGTTTTTAATTGTACAAATTTAACACACCATAAGGAAGCCTATCACATTTCACTGAGATTTCCCAGGGTGCATTGCTAGTTACATCTTTACATTCCTTGTATACATAACAAGGTATAGATAAAGAAGACCATAAATATTACAACAAACACACAACCTTGAAAACATACTCTTCTCTTTAGTAGAACAACATAATTTACCTTAATTGATGAATTTGTTGAATATTTGGTTATCAATGTTTGTAAACACAATAGCTGTCTACAACATTTAACATTTAAACAAAATTTAAACATGCAAACATGTGTTAATTGCAAAGATTTTGGTCTGAAAATCACCAAATAGAGAAGTCCCAATTTTTTATTTTTCTATTCATTTTTGTATTTTGTGACATTTTGACGATTTTAGAAAGGTTTTAGTCAGGGAGCAGTATGTTTTTTTTTTTTTTATGGTATCTGAGTCAAGAATTTACGCTGCTCTGGATCAAACCAGCAATGATATGACTGAAGGCGAGCAGAAAAACCTCGCGGCCGGTTCTAAAAATTTTCCACTAAAACTGAAAATGGTTGATTAGTACTTAAACGCTTTACTATTCTCAAGGAATATGTTAATAAAGAATATTGTCTATTGTCTAAACAGGTTTTTATATTCAACACTTGATTCTCTTGAGTAAACAGGTGTGGATGTGATAATTTTGAAGATGTCTTAAAGTGTTCAAAGAACGTTCCAAGTAAAATTCTTAACAATTCTCTGCATTTGTTTGAAATGTTACTGAACGTTAGCGCTACTAATATTGAAAATTTTGTATTTCCAATAGTATGTCTATTTTTCAAATACATTAATAAATTCCTTCAGCCTTTTTAAGTATTGGGTAAAAATGATATTAAAACATTACCAGATAAATGCAATTCTACGATTATAAAACAGAATATAAGTGTTTTCATTGTCCGTTGCAATTGAATACAGCTAGTCAGTCCTGATAGAGTAACTTGAAGCCCATTGTAAACTTATTGGCACTCAAGGCTGTGTATTACAAAATGACTAGACACCCTGTGACCTTGGAAGGTTTATACAGGCTCTTAAGAACAAGGTGTGTTGAGAATATATTTGTCATGCATCGTAGGTATTTTTTATAAAAAATTTATAGTGACTTCTTGATCAATATTGTACATGTTGTTAAATTTACAAAAAGAATATAGTACAAATTTGTCTAATAAAACATATTTTTATTTTTACACCTTTACTGTCGACTCGCAAGAAATAGACTAAACAATTACGTAGACTTGTAAATAAGTCATATAAAATGGCGAAGTGATGTTTGATTATTGATTTCGATTGGACACTCCAATCATCATCAGACCCAAATAGGCAATCTTTTTAAAGCACAAATCTTTTCACCATACTGTAGAGTATATACAACTTCTATCACTATATCCTTGATTATTACAATATTGAAAAAGAACACTTAAATAGGTGAATGAGAAATCATAAAATAAGAAAATTATCTTCCATTGGCATTATGTAAGAAACAGCCTTGTGTTTTATTCAGGAGTAGTAGGAGTAGGAATGTAGCGGAAGGGGGGGGGGAGGGCTGGATAAATCTAAGGCTTCAGTTGTTGGTCTGCTGAATCAGAAAAATTTAACAGAATCTATTAACATTCTTATATAACAAAAATCATATAGCTACTGTTTTAAACTGTGTAGTACGGTAAACCTTTTTGTATCAAATGTAATTTCCCATAAAATGTTCTTAAAAATATTCCAATAGTAAAATAAGTTGTGTTTGTACTTGAAGTATTGAAATGCCCGGTACTATAAAGTAAAAATTAGCGTTTTAATATTTTCAAAAAATACATTCATCCATAGGCATATAATTTTGAATGTAACGAAACTGAACAAAACCACAATACAGGCATTTCAAAATCATAAGCATTACATAATTGCTAAGTAAAATGAAGTGGAATAAATTTTTGTAAAGATTCTTACTTTTATTAAACACTGCTAAATTTTACTAGATAAAAACTTCAATCAAAATGTCAGCAACATTTGACCACAAACTAATTCAAGATGGCAAAGAATTTAAAATTAAAAAAAAAAAACAGCAATTCTCGTTTTTGTCAATTTTAATTAGGAAAATATAAACTTAAACTTTAGATAAATTACTTTAATTGATCTACTTTAATATTGAAATAAATTTATCATTTTATATTTTATTTGTCTGCTTTAGTCTACATTTTTGGCAATAAGTTTTTCCTGTGAATATCAATAATAAAACAGATGTATTTTATCCTATTGTATTTTTTTTTTTTACAGTTTACTAACCGATCAGCATTACATTGCTCTACAGGTTAGGTAATATAAGAAACAAAATAGGATTATTAATTACATTAACATAGGTAGAGGTCAGCTATGGGTAGCCCCTCAGGCACTATCGTCACTGTTTTAGCGGGTCGGACTGGAAAGGCGCTATCCACCAATGAAACAAAAATGAAAAAAAGGTTATAATAAAATATCTTGAAACAATCTGGGTTTTAGCCGGAGTCTCTGAATTTCAGAAGGTCGACCTGAGTTATAAAATCTAATGCTGCTGGTAGATGGCAGTTTCGTAAAGAATTTTAATGTCATTTTCTTGATGAAATCTTCTGTAGGTTTGATTCCCAGCTCTAAATGTATTTGACGGGTTCGAACATACCAGGGACATTATAGAATTATCCTTAAAACTTTATTTTGAAACGTCTGCAGTTTACGAATTGAGCTTGATGAAGCAGTTCCCCAAACCAGGCAGGCGTACAACAATAGCGGACGTAGAAGTGTTTTGTATGGAAGGGTTCCATTTTTAATAGACATACCGTACATGATTTTTCGTTGATTAAAGGAAACAATTTTGATAATCTGCCATAAGCCAAATTTAATTTTTATTAATATGAGATTTCCAATTTAACTTTCGGTCGAAGTATACACCTAAATATTTTATTGCTTGGTCAGGAGGGTTCCATGCAATCTGTTCATCTAGAATTTCAATATTTGGAGGATCTGACGGTTTTCGGAGGGTAAAAATCTTCACTTCACTCCTATTGTATCCTATTGTATTTATCCTCTTGTAAACTCACTATTTGTTGATTGTTTTTCTGTAACAATCACGTAAACTTTACATGCTTAGATTTTTTGTTATCGCAACAGATGTAAGCTATGTAAGTAGTACAGAGGAAATTATAACTGTTGTATTCTAGTTTGACTAGTTTGTAACTATTCAGTAAATAACAAGAAATAAATAGTAAACTTCTAAACACACTGCATAAATTGGACAGAAATATAGGTAACTGGTCTGTATATGGATAAAAATCTACATAAGAATATTTTGAAAAAAAGCTTAATTTGTAACACATATTAATGCATTATTTTGTAACTAGAGTTCAAATCCTTCGGGATAATCTTAAAGTAAAAATTATATACACTTCTTAGTATTAGCTCTCTTTGTTACTAAATCCTAAAAAAAACTTAACATTTAATAATAATAAGTCCTACATATTAATATAAGCTTGTTTTACGTCACATACAAATATGTACTCCTTATTGACTTTCAAATATGTTTTTAATTTGAATAAAGTTTGAATGATTCAATTTATACTGTCTCACAATTTAAAAAAAAAGTATTAAACTTATGCTCACCTAATATAAAGTGACTGTTTATATATCCATCATGCAGCACTGATAGCTCAGGCTAGACTGACCACTGAGTCTAGTTATATAACAACTGTCTGGCTCAGGTTACTTCTGCAGGGGCTTCGTTGTTAGATTAGGACATTCTAATATGCCACTGGCTTACTGTTAATTCTCACCTTTATAATATTCTCACATATAATGTTATTTTATAGAATAGGGATGTTGCAGTTATAAATATTTATACACTGGCTGCAGATGAGAAATTGTGTGTTTTGCATTGTTAACTCTCACCGATAGATTGCTGTATAGTTTGTTTAATAGTTGTTTCAACTAGTTAGATGTGCTCAAAGCCGTAATTATATAGAAAAATATACAAACTGTAATTTTAGGTGAGAAATTAAGTTATTTATATGAGCACAATCTAAATATGCCACCTAGCTCACTGATATCCTTTACCTAAGATAAAATGTTGACATAAAATTGTAAGGTTTTATGAAAAAAATTAGAGATGTTACAGACAAAATACGCCTCTCGCAGCTAACCTTTAGACCAAGCGAGTTTCCATTTTCCTGATGGATTTTCACTTGAAATGTTCTAAAACATTTCAAATTTATTCCTTATCTAAGTGGACATTAGATTTAACGAGTACCTTGCCTTAGTTACAGTTTATAATCATTACAATCCTGTTCTATCTGTTATCAGCAGTAACAATTAATATAAATCCAAATAAGCTTATTTCCTAATGTACTTCATTTAGATCAACAGCTGATCTTATGCCTTTATTTCTTTCTCCCCCTAACATTATGAAGAAAGTATTGTTTTTTTAAAAATTTTCGAGTTTGAAAATTTTGCTTATCGTTAGGTATGCTTATTGTTGCATTTTTGTTCGAAATATCAATGGTATACCTAATTTACAGTAACACAATCGTAACAAAATGATTAAACCACTTACCAAACAAATAGCCGCTGCTCGGCGCCCCCTCAGCCACGGCGCCTGGGGCAGCCTGCCCTGGTTGCCCCCCCTTCAGACAGCCCTGCTGACATCGGTTATCAATTAGTAGCTTTTAAATTTGCTAAAGGTGGCCAGCAGTGGCCACAATACGTCTGAGCGGTGAGGGACGTTCCAGAAAAGGCAGGAAAAGAGGATATTCAATGGTACACTTCAGTAGTGTCTAGCACTAGTGCTGGTGTCTTGGGCAAAGTCATGCACCAGCCCCCTTGATAACATGTACTACAACAACAATGCTCACAGTCGAGGAAGACCCTGTGCCCGGTGGGGTAGGAATTCCCGGACAGTGCTCGACATTCGGGCTCTCTAACGTTATGTCTCAAAATAGCGTGAAAAACGCTAATTTCAGCATATTGTTTTTAAAATTTTCCCGGTGGAGAGCCCCGGACCCAGAACAACTCCTGTTTCAAGTACACTCTTGCCCCTCCCCTCCTAGTTTTTATCCTGAGTACGCCCTTGTAGCTTACCTTTGAGCTAACTATGATTATTGATATTACAAGTTGATATTGTTATGTATATCACACATAACAAACCTAGCTCTATAATCCAGCGTTTATAAAGTGGCTTTATATGTCCGTGAATGGGGTCAGGTCAGGTTGCTTAGCTTTACAATACACATTTAACTGTACTTTTTGTGTCCATGCCAACTTTTCACATCCATTTAACACCCGAAATATATGGTAAATGGTAAACTATTTTGAAGAATACTTGATGACTTATTTCGTAAGAGCAATTTTCGTTAGGCCTTAATTTTGTTGAATGCAAATAAAACAAAATATAATGTCACAAAAAATAGGTTTATATTAATTCATATTATACTACCTACCCAAATTTGTTAGTTTATTGATTGCAAGAAATTGGTCTGTTTATTACTACTGTTGGAGTTTTTAGCAAATTTCCCCATAGGGAATAAGCTATTATTTTATTGAAGAATAACTCAGAAGGTGGGAAAATCTCTCAAAACTAGGTCCAAAATATGGATACTTTCCTCAAGTTAATAAAACAAAATTAATTTTTAATCATGATAATATTTCCAAACAATTTAAAAAGAAAATATCAGGTATGAAAATTTGTAAGGGTAGCCAATTTCTTGGTGGATATATAGGTTCTGAAGAGGAAAAAAATAAACAGGTTTCTGAAAAAATTCAAAAACCCAAAACATTAAAATCTGGCAAATAATGGGAGAGATTCGTGAGTTGAAGATATCAGGTTCAAGTCCCATCTGGAAAATTTTTTTCTTGTTTTTTTCAAAATTTGTTTGTATGAACTATAATCAAAATACTCAACTGATAAATGCATGCTTTTCAGTCTAAATCTTTATTATTTTGTGTTTTTATGCATGACTAGCTGTACCCGCGGGCTTTGCCCCGTTTAACTTCATAAGTGAGCTCGTTCTCATGGCTCAATCACGTTCTGGTTGAAGTTCGTTCGCTACGCTCACTCACCTTTAGGTTGGAGGTCGTTCGCTGCGCTCACTTGCCTTCAGGTTAGCTCGTTCGCTACGCTAACTCGCCTCCAGGTTGAAGTTCGTTCGCTACGCTCACTCACCTTTTGGTTGCAAATTAGCTGTTGTCATAAATTTAAAAAAAATAATAGTGCTGCACCCTGTTGGTAATCCTTGTAACTTTAATGCTATTGAACATCATAGAACAGAACCAACTTGTTTATTTGAAACAGCTGTTAAGATTCATTATTTCCTTTTAAATATGAAAAATCATAAGGTTAACATGGGAAACTCCAGAGCCACTGGGGTGGAGCCCGAAAGCCTGATCAAAATAAAAACTACTTAGTTTCCCTATTTAATGCCCAAAGAATCGGTGTACCGAATTTCAGTCTCCTAGGTAAATAGGAAGTGGGAGAATTAGTGATGAGTGAGTGAGTGAGTGAGTCAGTCAGTGAGGGCTTTGTCTTTTATATATATAGATATTCTGATGGGATATCCCAGGGATTAGGATTTGGGTGGACATAGGGATCCCAGGGAGTTCCCCAGGAAACTCTGAGGACTTTGAGGGATTTACAGAGGATATCCTCCATATCCCACTGGGATGAACAGAGACATCCCAAAGGATCTTCTTGTGTTGTGTGGGCCACTCGCTTCTTCATTCCCACATAAAATATGGTATCGCCGTCTGGGGATCAGCCAGCGCAAGAAACATGAAAGGATCTTAACCATCCAAAAGAGTACAATCCGGTCAATCCTGAGATCATTCCTGAGACTCCACTATAGAACATTGCAAATCCCTCTTCATAAAAACTCAAAATCCTAACAATAACCTCCCAGTATGTATTTGACACAATACTCTTAGCCAAAAAATCATCCCCCACCCCACGATCAGATATACATACTTATACTTACAACACCCAAAACAAACACACAATTAATACAAAGCAACACCGACTACAAAAAACGAAAAAAGCAAGCAATAACACCCATCAATTAATACAGGCACTTATTTTTACAATCCATTACCACTTACCAGAACATATAAAATCAACAACCATAATAAAAAAACAGCTTCACAAAAAAACTCAAAGAATACCTAATTAGACATGCAATATAACAAAACCACAGATTACTTTGAACAGCACACATTCCAGCACCTCAAATGAACAACCTCGTCTTTGACGACTCCCCGATCTGAAGATTGTGGCGATGGACTTCTTGAAGTGGACTTCTTCTGGATGTATTTGATTTCAATGCTTCATTTTTCTGAAAAATATGAAGTGCTGTTGTAAACCTACCCTTCCCTTCTCAATGTTCCATCTCAATCTGCTCAAAATGTAGTAAAAGCTAGGGATGATCAAAGGCCCCACTAGAAAGACCCCGTTGTGTAGGCCTAGTTCATGTTCGTTCATGACATGGTGGCAAACTGTACAGACCTGCACCTGTACAGAATTTAGTTTTTCTAGTGGGGCCTTGGATGATCATCCTCGTGTATTCATAGAACCTATAACCGTCATTCCTTTATAAAGCTACATAATTAGACGGTGTGTTATTGCTCAAAGTCTTCTCCTCTTGTTAGTTGGTTGTACCTTGATTATCTCCTAGTCCTTTTATCTACAAAAACTTGTTGTTCTTTATCAGAGAACTGTCAGATAATAAAATATAATGCACTACGTCCTGCACGTCTGTAGGTACAGTTTGCCACGATGTCATGAACTACAATGACACATACAACGGGGGATATTCAATGAGCGTTAAAAAATAAATATGACTATAATTGCCGCTTGTATCCTACACCTTACACGCACCTTGCTTATGTGTCGCGAAGGCCTGCATGTCAACAGCCATTTTATGAACATTTTATTCGCAACATTTCTCTAAAATAACGTACAATCTAATTAATAATAACATGCGAAGCTCCCTAATAATGTATTGCATTCTCAGTGCTGATAGATTAACATTTAAAAATGAACATAGAACAACTTAAATGTATTGACCCATATTGTACAACAATGTTTCACACAAAAATGTTCCCTGTTTCTGTTTTACATATACATATGTTTTAAAAGGGTACTATTATTTTAACTATGCATGTTCGTGGTCTATTCACAGTTCTTGTGTTGGCGCCCTGTTAGTTTTTCACCAGTTGGTTTGGTTTAATGGTTTTTGGTTGGCTGCCTTCTTGCCCTAACGTCAGCGTCAACCTAAGACAAATTCATTTTAAATTTTATAATTTGTTTTACGTTAGTTTTTGGTGATATAACTATAATTTTATATATTGAAGCAGGTTGTTAGTGTGTTATAAAAGGCGAAGAATATTGAGTCGAGTTAAACGACGAGTGACATGTTGATTCACATTGCCCACTCCTAACGAGCTAAATTTTAAACCCCAGTTAACTGTCGATGTCTCTAGCGATTGCGAACGTTAGACAAAGCCGATATTTTATTAGTGTGTATGTAGTTCTTATTTTTTCATAATTTGTGTGTGTTTAGTGCCCTAGATATGGATGAAGATTTCAGCGCTATAAAATCTGGAATAAGCGTTGACATCAAAAGAACAGATGGTAAGTAGCCTAATGTTGCTAAATGCATGTTGTCACTAGACCCTACCCAGTCTTGTTTCTTGTTTTATCAAGCAAAACTTAAAATCGGGGGTGTGTAGATTTATTAAGTCATAATTTAATGTTAGGCCTAATGTTTTCTTTTGTATTTACGCAAATATTTCAGTGTCTTAAAATCTGGAGTAAAGTTTAACCGTTGACATAATAAGAAATGGTGGTAGGGCCTAACTAGGTCTGGCCAAATATCAAATTAGCCTGAAAACGCATGTTTTTACCTGAGCAAAACCAGTCTTGTTCAATCAAGATGAAAATTAAAAAGTATCATATCATAAGTGTTGACTGAAAGTATAATGGTCCCTAAAAGTAAACACAACTTGAGCCAGTGCTAAGGGATTTAGGTAATTTTTGTAATAGGCCTAAGTTTAGGGTGACTGAAGTTAATGTATGATATCCACGTAGGTAGAGTTAAAATTGTCTGGGTAACTGAAAATCTCATTGGTCTAACTAAGTACTTGTGGCAGAACTTTGTTTTAACATGTAATGACTCCATTGGTTAAATTTAGGTAGGTAGGTAGCCTATTGGTGATTGTAAGTTAACTTAACATATTAATCGTTTTTTAAATTATTATTCATTGGTCTTAGCCAGGGTTGCCACCCGTCCTGATTCTGCCGGGACAGTCCTGATTTCGGTTCCTTATGCCCGCATTTATGCCTTTGTTAATCCGGGGGGAGGGGGGGCCATGTCCCAATTTTTCCCTAACCTAAGGTGGCAACCCTGGTCTTAGCGCAGGGCCGTATTTAGAATCGATGAGACCCGTCTATAAGTTAATTCTGATTCTTCGAAGGTTGGAACTTAAGGGTTTAGAAATACACTCAGTCTGACCTATTGCTTCGAACAACTCGATGAATTCAGCTTTTGTTTCCAACAATCCGGTCAGCAAAAATACCTAGGCCTACTTAAGTTAGGAGACTAAGCTAGTTAATAAATAAGTTTATTAATTTTTATAATAATAATATTAAGTTTAAAAACTTAGGTGTCTTAGGCCAGACATTTGTAATTTTATTTGTGTTCTTAAGAAAATGTTGACCTTCGGGAATATGGGATAAAAATCGGGTAGTTTTGTAAATAGCCTACCGGTAATTAATTTAAATATATTAATTGATAGGCCTATACTAAGTTATACTGTAATCGGTTTATACAAAATCTGTAATCGCGGCCAAATTGTAGCGCCTTCTGTAACTTAGTCACAGTAAAATCGTGGAAATCTACCACGGTCATGGAGGGATTGTGAACATCTTCAATATTCAGTCGGACAAAATAACTTAGCGAACATCATGCGCGATTGAGGAGACATCATCTTTGTCTTATACAATCGCTGTGAAATCATTAATATCTCCTGTGGTTGGGGAAATCAGTGAATATAGGTACTGCGCAGTCACGGAGACATCATCCTCGTCTCCTCCAATCACAGTGGTATCATGAACGTCTCCAATGGGCGCTGAGATTTAGTTAACATCTTGTGCGAGCGTGGAGACGTCATCTTCGTCTCCTCCAATCTCAAAGGAATCAAAAACGTCTCCTATGTCCGCAGAGAAATCGTTAGGATCTTGCGTGAATGCGGAGACATAATCTTTGTCTCATCCGATCACGTCGAAATAATGAACGACTCCTTTGGCCGTGGAATTAACCTCTTGCGCTAGCGCGGAGACATGATTTTTGTCTCCTTTGATCATGACAAAATCCTGAAGATGGCTCTGCAAAAAAGACATGATCTTCGTTTTGATTTAAAATCGTGGACATCTTCCGGGATCGCAGATGAATAGGCTGGTGACAACTACTATAAACCTTTTGCGGTTGGGCAGATTTCATCAACGGTTTCCGCGATCACGGCGAAACAGATAATAGGTAGGCAAAATACATTACTTATCAAGAAGTAAATTTGAGGCTACAAGTGAGGCCCCCGGCCCTGAAGTAGACATCCCATCCAGGGTATAATTTTGTCAATACCTTTGGGTTGAAAATGTGAAACAGAGAATCCTGGCCTGACAACTTAACTTAACGTCTGCACAGAGTCACAAAGAACACATTTTTCAATATTGTCAATACGTTCGCTACCGTAATAACTTAGTAGGCTACTAAATTTTTTGCTCATAGCCTATTGAGTAGCTTCGCACGATGCGACGGCTGGTCACATTAAAATTCAGACTGACGACATATTTGCGTCAGTGTCCCAATGTTATTAAGAAGCTTTAACTTTTCTTCGTAACGGTCTATTGGAAGGCCCTGACCAATTAACTTAATTAGGCTACATTAACAATTGTATTACAAATTGTATTAGTATTTTTGCCATAGAGTAGGCTCTTCCAGTTAATAAGGGCTAGAACTGTTTGTTGAAAAGTTCCATATTGTTGTTATAGATCTTACAATAACATTAGGACGAGTTGCTTTTTTCTTAACGACTACCTACACTGGGAAAGAGCGTATCAGTAAAATGACACGATGATCTGATAAAGAAAGTTTAACAACATTCACCGAGAGCAAACACTGTTTCACATTCGTTACCACATTGTCTAAGCAATCAGGTCTGAGTAGGGTCCCAGACCGTGCATCGGCAACCGACTATTTGAAGCACATTATGAAGAAGTGCACGGTAGGCTAACTATTATTGTTTTTAAGCACATCTATGTTGACACCACACATTAAAACTTTGGCATCAAATTTATTTGCAAAAAAATTTTCATGTCACTAGCAGGATAGGCCTAGGGATAGGCTAATAAATTCGATAAGCTTCACAGTACATATTTCAAAACAAAGTTCAATACAGAAATAGATGTGTATTTAAAACTTCAAAGTCCGTAGCATTGGGGATATAAATTGCCACACCAACGTGGATAATGCTTGAGTGACAAATGATGCACCCCAGGCTATAGGTTAACTTTCAATACCTATTATAAATACCTTCCTAAAAAAAAATACTGCTGTTAAGCTAATGTTCGCTAAAGCACAATAGCCTACACTAAACAATTTTGCATCTTGAATAGCATGTCCAATTCATCAATTTTGTTGGTTAAACACTGAAAACATGACTATAAAATATTGATAATTTGTTTAAATTAGCCTGCTGATCCTCTAGGCAAGGGGGGGGGGGGGCGATGCACTATTTTGTTTATAGAATTATAAGGACTATAACACTAATCATCACAACAGAATGTTTTCCAAAAATCAGTTTTTTCAATATGGTTTTTTTATGAGAAAATAACATACGTTAAAATTACTTTTGAACTGTAATCTTAACGGACTTGTAATTCGTACCATTTTGTTCAGAATTTAATGGACCCAATGTTAATGGACACCACTTTTTTTTTATTCAGGGGGGGACCCAAAGCCTATCCACTCAAAACTCAGCTAGAAAATTTTGACAAAAACAATAGGCCTACATTACTCCTACTATCATTGACTATTGGATACTGAAGTCTAGACGTCCCGTCTATACGGACCAGCTGTAGCCAATTTTTTGTTAAAAAAGAACTTAGTTGTGTGTATCCAGCTGGTGCAGTACCCATTTCGTTCAAAATTTTGATTTAACCTAACCTAAAACCGTGATGTATAGTGTTTGAAAGACTAATTATTTTTATGCTTTCTTTAGTAACTGTAGGAAAAATATAATGTGTAGGCCCTAACACGTTTGCAAAGTACCTTTGCTGCACTCGAGATACTTTCCACACTCGCTTTCGTGGCTCAATCGTAAACATTTCTCTCATGTATTGCAAAGTTCTATTTCGCACACTAGTTACACAAATAAAACTATTGTTTTGTTGGTAATTTTTATGTCAACACGTAATTTTGACTATTTTGGTTTCTCCAAAACTTCATCAATTTTAAGTTGCCACAATTCTGATTGATAGAAATCAAATTGGATACTATATTTTGTATAACTAAATGGTTTATTAATGGTAACACAATTGCTAATTGAAAATGTAACTCTCTAATCATTAGTAGTTTAGCTTAATAGCTGGTTCTGTGACAGATCAAAAATGGTGAAAACTACCTTTATTGTAATATGAGCTTACTTTATTGGAAACTTCTAATAAAGTACGCTAGGTTAGTAATTTCAAAAAAGAAAATTTTTGTTTTAAAGAACCAAATAGGCCCGCAGATTTTGTCTGATGTTGAATTAGTAGCAGCTTCAGTTCCACTTCAATTAAATGTAACGGACTTGTGAGTCAGTAGTCAACTAGCAAACAAGTTAATCGCTGTTCAACTGTCACTTTCATAACACTTCAACGGCCGTTTTATGAACTAGACTCTATTCAACTCCATTTCTTAGATTTTAGATTTTAACAGTTCAAACATTTCATATTTAAAATGTGGTGTAACGTAGTTCATTACAGGAACAAAATTTAGTACTTTTCCAAAGGGAACAATTATTATCGATGATATTTTGATACATCGATATTTTTGTTTTACTTTACAATCCATAGGCTATATTCCTTCTGTTTAAATATCTTCAAACGCATTTAAGTTACAAATTGACAACTTATCTTGTTCAGGCTAAAATTTAAAGGCCTAATATGGATTAAGAAATTAAACTGTTTGAAGCTAATCTAAAATAACTAACTAAACTTGATGTACCATTTCAAAATTCTGTTAGATAGCAAAAAAGACAAGTGAAAAACAACAAACAGAATTTTTAAATGTTACAGCAAGTTTGGTTTGTTTGTTATGTTAGGTTAGTTTAGAACAGTTCAATTTCAATATAATTTTTTTGGAATACAGTTTAACTCTTTTTGATATTGAACAATATTTATTTAGGTATCGTAGTTTGTCAGCTCATATGTTTCAATTCGTTAATATCGTTATATTGGATAAAAAAATAAAGTATTGATATATATAGAGAGAAAAATAATCGATGATAATCAGAAAGTACCCAAAATTTTGCTTATTCAACCCCAAGATTGTTGTGAGGTTAATTTCTAACCAATTTATTAATATGACAGCATTA